CACTAGGCTATGCTGCCACGCAGGGTTTTCATTTTCGGCATGCCGACCACTGCAGCTTCAGGACCTGAATAACGTCCACTCAGACCCAAGCCCATTACCAGAGCATCCAAGGCCGAACTGTACTAACATCCACTCAAGCCACATCCATTCCCGAGAGCATCCAGCACACGGCCGAACCGTTCGAATGGTCACACAGTGTGTGCAAGCGTCCTCGAGGTCAGCTGGAAGCATCTTCGCCGGAAGACCGGTGACCTCCATTTCTACGCAGATTGCTCTCTGGATGCCACGTGCAGATCCTTGCTTTGTCGATTGGCGCTCTGCTCACAAATTCACTCATGCTGCCGAGCTTGTTTGTGCGGGCATACATTACACACACACACACAGGATGACGGCTAATCTTGTTACTGCCTTGCTGCTGCTACTGCTCGTTGCTGGTGAACCCAGCGGTGGGAACCTCAACTTGCTACTAGCAGGGTCGGGAGGACCACTGCACAGCGCAACTTGCATTTGAAGTTCGTTCGTAAATCCCAAAGCTCGTCCATACATAAATCCTGATGACATCCCAAGAAGAGCTTTCAGAAAATCAACAAAGCCCTTGCAGCCCCCTACCTAGTTTCAGCCGCTGAGAAGCCCTCGTGCAAAGCACCCATGTAAAAATCATTGTCATAAGTCCCATCGAAACCTACAAGGGTCCTGCGAAAAACTTTTGCAAATATTATACCTAAAGCTTTCTTTCGCCAGGGCTCTGGCGAAGGGGAAGTTCCCCTACGCCTAAAGCTCTCTCTCTCTCTCTCTCGCGGACTCAGAGGTCTGTCAGCCGCGCGGTCGTCCAGCAGACCAGACACCAGCCCCAATAGCCTAAACACCAAAACCCTAAATGGGAGTTTCCGAAAAGGAGGGGTACCTTATTTTGGGGTCCTTATAATAAGGAACCTACTATTTCAGCACTCAGGTGCTATATTCGGGTCCCCCATTTTCGGAAACTCCCAAATCACAGGGAGCCCAAGGGGCGAGGGGGGACTGAGCCAGGCTGCAATGAGCTCCACGGGTCGAAGGCTCTCCAGTTTTCGAGCCATGCTCTGATGAGCCTGTTGGAGTGGCTTAAAGGGCTTAGGGTTTAAGGGTTTCAGCACTCACTCTCCAGGGGTTTAGGGGTTTAATTACGGGGTAGGGTTTAGGGGATTACAGGGCTCAGGGAGTAGGAGAAATGTTGAGGGTTTTTGCGTGCTGCAGTTAGGCACGATTTCCCCTCTCGCATGGCTAGGGATCTAAATCTATGCCCTTAGGCACGTTTAGGGTTTAGGATTGTTTCGGCTGCTATTTCAGGTACAGTTCTGGTAATTCTGACATGCGATGGTGTCAGCTGATGGTGGCGTAGTCTGATTATTCACTTCAGCCGGCTTAAGATCTATGTCTCCGCCAGGTTAGAGAGCCTGGAGGCAGCCCCGACTCACGCGCAGATGCACGCAACTTGTTGTGGTTTCATGTCTCTCACTCTCTTGCTTCTTCCGCCTCTTCTGCTTCAAAAGCACTACGGCTCGAACCCCCTGCGAGGGGGCATTTGCTGTGCAGTCTCCTTGCTCGTCCTGTTAGTGACTTTTAGTGGTGACGGTTACTTGTATTATGCGGCTACAGCCGTCGAGCTAAGCATGGTGGCAGACACATACAGCTGACTGGCACCTCGATGTCCCCAGAGAGCCCAACACCCCCCTAATTAAGGAGTATAGCTCATAATATGAAGCCCTATATAATCTAAGCCATATTCCTTCATTTCAGGGGTATTGGGCTCTCTGGGTCCGTTTCTCTCATTGCAAGTTTCGTGGTTCTTTCAGAGAACTCCAGGAGGCCTTGGAACCTGGTCCTATCCCTGCCATGGTTCAAGGGTTAGTATATGGGTACTATTAAGGGTTAAAGGGATAGTGTAAGGGTGCTGTTAAGGTCCCTTTATAAAGGGCTCTATAAGGGTTTAGAGTTTCCTCCTTGGGAGGTCCAGAGCTGAAAACTTGACACATTGATGGTATGTTCCTCGCACTCTATGCTAGAGTCTGGCCTTCTGAACAGGCGTACCTCAGTTCACGGTCCAATCTTATATGTTGGCAGTGAAGTGGCTGCTAGTATGGGTGCTGCAGCTTTTCCTTAACATCTTTCATTTGCTTGGTCCTAATGGGCGATCTACAGAGATCAGCTAGAGTGAGCCCTAGAAGGCTGGGTAGAGATACCTGTCTCACTTTCTGCGAACCAAGGTGAAAGGTCTTTTGCTTCAATCGTGGGGACCCTACTAGTAATATAGTACCTTAAACAGTAGGATTCTTATTATCAGGATCCCAAAATAAAGTGCCCCCTTATTTTTGGAAACTCCCATGCAAAGAGGCAAGGCGAGCTTCTGTTTCCACGAGCTGCTACGGGTAGCCACACAAAAATTCGCTCGGGGAATCGGGTTTGACACTCACATTCGCGAAAAACACCCCGCACTATGCTAGCAAAGTTTGTGTCCCTTCTCTCCCTCTCTGCCTGTCTTGCCGGTCAACTAAACCTTCAATCTGTTTCAGGAAGGCACTTCCCGTGAGCCGTGAGCCGAAGCAGAAAACCGGCGCCTGAGCTGCCATTACTGTGAGCATCTTTTGTGCACAAATCACACTCTGCGCTACGACGGTATCACTCTGAAGTTCCCTACCTGGCCTGAGCAAGCAGGTTCTCAACTTGGAGCCGTAGCCTTGGCTTAGGATTTGATATATCTGTATATATATATAATATGTATATACACATACTTTTCCTAAATAAATACAGATAGATAGACAAATCAAAATTTGTATATATAAGTGAATGTAAACAGATATATATATATATATATGTATGTATGTATGTGTATGTATACATACGGCCTAAGAAGCACTCTCCCGAGACCAGCAAACAGCAATTCACAGAGGCTCGGATGTATCCTAAACCCTAAACCCTACACCCTAAACTCCAAGATAAGCCTGGTCTCTGGTCCAGTTGTGAGCGCGTCGCCTTGCCGCTGAAATGTACCCTGCAGCAAAATCCAGGCTCAGTGATGTAGGGGCCTTAACGAATAGAATAGGGTTCCCTTAAAAGGTTCCTTTTAAAGGGCTCTATAAAGGCCATTATAGGGATTTAGTATAGGGGCCTTAACATATAGAATACGGTTTGGGGAGGTCTATTATATTATGATTAGAATAAGGAACCACCAAGACCTTATTCTATTTGTTAAGGCCCCTACATTAGTTGTGTTCTATGCACCAACCCGGATCGCATCAGCAGGCCATGCACGACGTCGAGAGTACCGCATCTTTTGTGAGAAGGCGTGATTTTAGGGATGTACGAATGACGCGTGCCGTCATGTAAGTATGCCTGCATGCGTACATGTATCTACATGTTCTCAGCTTCCCTTCAAGCAACATCCAGCGAACCTGGATTCCGAACCAGTTCCGGCACGTTTGGCATGGAAGCCAATGGCGCCAGCATTCAGCTTCAGATATCTGACTCCGGTCTGCTCCTTCGTTGCAAACAGGTCCATTGCATAGCATTTCGCCCGGACAGCTGTAAAGGCTGATGGTAAAGTCAGATTTGCCCTAATCAACAAGACTTCGACCAAATCCGCATTCAAGCGTTGCGTGCAACAAACGGCAACACGAAAATATTAGAAGTCTCCTACTACTGCTGCTCCTCGCCACTACTGCAACTCCACAAAAGCTATGATGATAATAACATTGCCCCTGCTGACATGACGACTCTTGCTACTCTGTGTATAGCGTACGAATTTCACGGCTGCGACGAAGATGCAAACTGAAAGCCCGGCACTACTAGTCCCTACTATCACAGAATACCACAACTCCCTTGCATATAACTTCAACTGCATGTGTAGTTAAACACTGCAACAGCAGCAAGTGGAGAGTTCATGCTTCATGTGGACCAGATGCTCCCAGACCAGCGATGTTCACTGCATCGACGCCGCCCGCAATCTCCAGGATCAGCGAGCTCGGATATGCCGATTGGGTGGCATAACCTCGCGGCATCTGGCACTCAAATCGGCCGTTGTCTAAGCAAGCTCGACATAAAATACATATTACGCTCTAGCTTGTACATAAACGTGGATACAGAGATCCATTTGCACCTGTCTGTGTACTTTCATAATATGTACATATGCATACATGAAATATTTAGCATGCCTTTGCGTTCGCTATGTACCTGCTTTATCGGCTTTACCCCAAACAGCCACCGACTCTCACGGGATCAGCCAGGCCTAGGGCGGCCTTGTCGGAGTTGAGCGCCCTCTCCGACTCGGACCAGGCACCAGCTCTGGCGTCCACACACCGAGCGGCGCCCTTGTGAAATCTGAAGCCTCACAAGGATGCCCCAGATTTAGGAAGTATTGAGTCTAAGGCACACGATGGATGGCGTGTGGCTTGAGCTTTGCTGGAAAGCCATGCCGAGGGCTGGACGAACGTAGCCACGCCTAGGATGTCAACATAGTCTGTGCAAAACCCTGCTCCCCGAGGAGAAGCATCAGCCGCTTTCTCGCTGTCTCTCTCTCTCTCTCTCTCTCTCTTTTCTTTCGCCAGGGCTATGGTGCTCTCTCTCTCTCTCTCTCTCTCTCTCCTGGGCTTGAGGGCCGGTCAAGGCCCCCGGGCTTCAAGCCCACCCGATCTTTTATCGGGGCGAGAGGCGTGACGAACGAGTGTAGGCTTGGATTTAGGCTAAAGCCATAAAGAATACAATAGCGAGATCATCCAGCCGTACGCTCTCCCTCTCTCCCTCTCTCTCCGTCTCCCTCCCTCTCTCTCTGCGCAGTATTGATGGTCTCTTGACACAAACATACACAAACCAAACCCTGTGGGCCCCGGCATCTCAATCAACGAGTCTCCAGAATTGCCACCAAGTGACGCTTGCTGTGAAAGCTGAAACACCTCAAGCTTCTTATCGCTCCACCGTCTGCAGGCTGACACGTCACATCTAGGACTTGCCCCACAGCAACACAGGCTTCAATTCCCTCCCTTGCTTTTTCTCTGCGACGCTCCTTGGATTGCAATTTTCTCGAGGCGGTGGAGCAAGGCTCCCTGCATCTCAAGCTCTCTGCAAGTCTCGCAGGAGTTAATCACAGCTTCGAAGCTCACCATGTCTGGGTTTATGGGCCTCAATCTCTCCAAGCAGTGTAGGCTCGCCTGCCAGCGAGACGCCTGACTGCAGGATCGGATGGCTCCGTTGTATGTGATCAAGTTGATCTCCATGTCAGTCTGCACAGCGTCTGTCAAGAGTTGTGCTGCCTTCGACCATGTTCCCCGAGCAGCACAGACGTTGATAACAGAGTTGAAGGTAATGACATCACGCTGTAGGCGGACGGAGAAGTCGCAGGCAAACAAATCCAGAGTCTGTTTCCAGTTCTGTCCAGCTTCCATGGCACTTAGGCCAGTGTTCAGCGAGATTTTGTCGGCTTGCAAACATGACCTGGAACAGGTGTTCAACACTGTAACACTGCCTGGCGGTGCGTGTGTGCGTGTGTGTGTGTGTGTGTGTGCATATGCGTAAATGCAGTGAAGGGCGGGCAGTTGTTCTACTAAGTTCACCAAGCTGCCGATGGAAAAAGCTTGAAGAAACAAGGTCTCAATCAGCACTCCGGTCCTGTATTGGTGACTTCGATTAGAAACCTAAGCATCTGGCGTTCACTCTCGGACACGAAATACCAATAGGAGTACCAGTGGTGGCGGCGGGGTTTGGAGTCCAGATCTGCAAAGCTGAAAGGCTGCACGGTTTCTGGGCTCCGAGCCGCAACCCAAACCCTGCCGCCAGGCTTGACCGATAGCCAACCCCAACCCAATGATGATTTTCAGGGATACCTGAAGGTTACGAGTACCTTAATTGGGGTTATAGGTAATCAAAAGTACTATAACCCCAGTAATTCTCGATCATTCTGGCAGCTCGCCTCCTGAAGACTTCGAGGATCTGAATCGCAGATCTCCACTGCTTGGCTTCAACGGACGCAAGGAGGGCAGTGTTGTGGCCAATGGCGTTTGCTTGCGCAGTCATGGATTTCAGGCCCCAAAGTGTCGAAAAAGCCTTCTGCCACTTGGAGCCCCGACCATAGGAGCAGAGCTCGGCGTTGTGAGTCACAGAATCTGGCCTTTGCCTCGTGTGCCTAAACTCTTTGAGCAGTCGTGCTGCAAACTCCCATCGGCCGGATTTTTCACAGCTGCTGACGGCGGCATTGCAGAGTACCACACCCAAGCTTGAACCAGAGATCACGGAGCTCACGAGCGAGCGAAGTGCAACTTGCCACTCTCCAGCAAGCTCACAAGCTCTCACAAGCGAGCTGTGGCTGAAGGCATCCTGCTGCAGTGTAAGAGAGGGTGCTTGTGTGAAGCAACAGAATGTGTTTTGCCAATGGCCTTCAGTGCTGGATGCGCTGATCAAAGAGTTCAGGGAGATGACACTGGGCCGTAAGAATGTTGCTCTGAGCTTTGCGAATGAATGTGCACATTGTTGCCAGCGCCTGGACTGATCCAGAGTGTTCAGAACAGCATTGCCAGCAACAATGTCTCTTTGAACCGCCAGCTTCCGAAGATCTCGGAACAGAACCAGCCCTTGCAGCCAGTGATGACTTGCTCCGCAGGAACTGACCGTGGTGCTGATGGTCACGATGTCAGCCTGCACGTTCTTGTCAGATATGCATGTGAGCAACTGCAGCGCCTGCCGCCATGTCTTCCCAGCAGCAGTTATTGTGCCGTTGAAAACGATTATGCTCTCTCGCATGCTATGAAATCGAGCCTCTGACAGCAATTTCCAACCATGATGCCATGCTGCGCTCCGTCCGCATGCATTGGCAATGGCTCCATGTACAACCGTATCTGTCTCAAGCCGCATTTTCGGCAATTGCCAGAATGCCTCCAAAGCCGTCCTCCACAGCTGCCGTCGCCCATGGTAGCTAATTGCTTTGCTGTATGACTCCAGGGTACTAGTTTCCCGAAGCTTGAAGAAGCTATTCGCTTCCGGCATCTCGCCAACAATCGCGTCCGCAAGGCGGACATTGGCCCACACCGCCGACGTCGTCGCCGCCAGTCATGCAAGAACAATCACTTGGGGGAGCCTGCCTCTTGTCCCAGATGTAAGCCAAAGGCTGTCTCTTGGCAGCGTGGCAATGTCAAGCTCGCACGGCATTAAACTCCGCACTCTCTCTGCGGATCTGTTTATCCCCCAGATGTCGGGGAGGCTTCCTGGCGACTACATGGAAGGCTAAATCCTGAGCCAAGACATCATGGATGCATCAAGCGAAGCATGAGCAGTTCCAGAGGGGCAAGTCGTGACGCGAAGACAAACTCTAGATGCCGTGAAACTTCATCCAGACTGTGCAGGTGTAAGCGCCCTTTCTTTCCGATTGGGCTATGTGCAGTCGGCCACACAGAAAAGAGTTCTTTCATGCGCGGCCTGGCTTTTAAAGAATGTAGAATCGTTGAGACTGTCAGGGCCGTCAGGTTCGAGACCCTGTGCTCATGCACTATGACGTGGGACAAGCTAGGAATACAGAAGGACCACGGCAAAGCCAGCTGCTGCGTGGTGAAACCGACACCCGTCAGAACCTTGAGCTGCTGGTGGTGTCAGAAATGGCAATGGACAAAAGTTTGTGCTGGCGCGGCCTGGCCCGATGATGTGGCACCCTGCCGCCTGGTTAGCTCTCGAATTGCCGACGCCAAGTTGATCATGTCGGATTGTGATTCAGTGACACGGCGCCAATTGTCCTGTGTCACCTCCAACGAAAAGCGATTGCCGACTGCGACGCGCAGCTTGGCTCTTGTTAAGCACGTTTGGAAGATGTAGCTGTTCTGCACCTAAGACGGCTGTGTCTCACAACGTCTACGAAGCTCTGAACGAGTCGAGCACTGAGCTCCGAGCGGTGAGGACAAAGGCCGAGAAATCGCTCAGGTCGACTGCGAACGTCATGAACTTCTTGGGCGCTGCTCCCTTGGCTGCCTGGATGAGATCTACCAAGACTTCGAGGAACGTCCTGATGGTGACAAACGGGTTTGCTTTGGCGTTCTCCAAGCAAAGTGGGAGGAACTCGAAGACCAGAGCCTTTCGGGTGAGTCCATCTGCAAGGAAATGCTTGGTGAGTGCCAAGCGATCATTGCTTCCAAGGCCATTCCATGCGCTGTCGAGATCTTCGATGTCTTTCGGAGTCCGTGCACGGACTAGGCATGCAAGTCGGATTAAGGCGAGGTCTGCTGGTTTTTCGGGAGTAATTCCAAGCTGCACACCCCTGTAATGTATGTATGTCCAATACAAAGGCGTGGCAGGCGCCTCATGAGCTCGCTTTAGTATAGAGAGTCCCAAAATCGTCGACTTTGCATTATGGACCGTCATGAACTTGGATCCATGACCGCCAGCCAAGCCACTCATGAAACCCAGCAGGAACAGTATGTAGAATTTCAACAGGTCCTCCCCCTGTCGTGCCTGCATGTACCGCTGGAGCCGATCCAGGTTTTCAGGCACGTTCTCTCCTTGGATCATCTGAGCAAAGTTGAAGAACTCCTGCAATTCAAGGACATTGTTTGCCATCTGCAGCATCTGCATGGACATACTGTCAATGGACGGCATGCAGTTGGGATAGTGGTTCAATATATATCGCACTGCATGCTCGGGTCGCTGATAGTTGGTCGGCAGCTGCCGAGTAAGAGCTTTATACTTGCCGATTCCTCGAACAGCAAGGAGGAAGATCACACCCAAAAGTTGCTCTGCATCCGGATTTGCCCATGTCAACAGGGTCTGAAGGAGCTCCCATTGCGATTCCTCCAAGCGGTTCTTGGGATCTTGAGGTGCTGTATACCTGAGCTTCAGTCTTTCTCAAGTCCACATGGGTGGTTGTCAAAAGTATGGTCCCTGTTTGGGCACCCTATATGTTAGGTGCCGTATTATAATAGGGACCCAAAAAGGGAGCCTAATTTTGACAACCACCCGCGTCGTTTCAGCACTTTCACCAGAGCACACAAACTGTCAAGCGAATCAGGCCACGTCATTACCCATAAACCAGCTCAGACAGGCTTCACCATGCTTCACTGCATTGCATTCACTTGCTTGTGCACAGGTTGCGGTGGTGTGAGGGGGCCGGAAGGGCGCAATTGCATGCCGTGGCTATCTCGTATACACGCGATGAAGACGGAACCCTAAGCATCCAAGGTTAAGCACGTCTTCTCAGCCTGAGAAGGCTACTTCCACCTGTTGTTGGTCCGATACATGGGGCAGACGTTGTAGCGGCAGTGGCGTCTCTTGCAGTAGTGCAAGATCTGATCTGGCACTAGCTCCTATTTCTGTAGCAATTTCTGTTGGACCGCGCCCTGCGCATCAACTTTCGTCTCGGGTGCTGCGAAGATCTCTAGCCTTCCCTGCTTCGCTTACCCGGTGCACGCAAACACGGATGCCCCTGTGCGGGACGTGTGCTCTGGGCCTTGTCAAGCCAATATGACATGGCAGATGACTGAACACGTGGAGAGCACTCAAAACTCGGCAGGAGTGATTGTGCAATAGAAGCAACGCAAGATGATGGTGGGCCACATATGCCTTGCCCCAGACAGGCCGCTTCAGTACTCGCCGGAGCAGCAGAAAGCAACACAATCAGAAGCACTGTCTCAATGCGGACGCACGGAACACGCAGCGCAAAAGCCCCATAATTTGTCAAACTGCAGCTTCCCAAAAGACCTTTCGGGCCAACATTCAATACGGGCCTGCCAAATCCATGTTTGTTCAGTTGTGCACCATCTGGCATTTGCAATGTTTTGTTGACCAGAAGCTTCAGAAACTCACCGCCAACGGTGTCCAAGCCCGAACCCGGCGCAGCCCTTTCCGTGAGGGAAAGCTGCACATTCCGGATTCCACGAATAGTTCGCAGCTGTGTTCAGGCCAGGCCACCGTTTTAGCCAACATCAGGTTTCGTCTTCTTCGATGTGTGATAAGAAGCCCGCTCATGAAACCTAATGTTATGAATCCTGCGAGCTTCCCAACACCCGATGAACCTGCAATCTGACTCAACCTATGCAAGCTGCGACTCGAAGTCCCCACGAACCAAAGCAACGAGGCTGATGATAGCCGACTCAGCGCGCTCTTGCTCGGAGTTGGCCTGGACGTTTGCAAATCCTCGGCTGATGAAGGCCCAGCTCTTGTCAGTTCAGGGCTTGTTTTTTTTGACACTCACACTCGGACTAGCCTGGCAAGGTCTGCAGCAATAGGGACGTCGAGTTCGTTTACTGCAAGGATCTGCAAGGGCTTGTTCAGGGTTTTGGGCTTGCTGTCTTGAGGGTTTCTGACTTTCACGGTCAGTCTATTCTCCCTTCTTTAAGAACAAGGGCAAAAGGTAGAGAAGATGAATGTTCATGAATAGACCAGGATCTAGCATGTAAGCCGTCGTCTGGGTCCAGCTCCACAAAAGACCTGCGCAACAGACTTACAGCGCGGAACACAAAATTCTTGTGGTATCTTGAAAGAGGTGAGTATACTGACAGTAGCTACACCTACTTCTGCTACATTCTGCTACCACCACTGCCACTACCACTGACAGCACTACCACTAGTTACTAGCACCACTACTGCCACTACGACTACCACCACTGCCATTACCACCACCACGACCACTGCCACTGGCCACTACCACTACCACAACGATTACGACGACTACTACTGCTATTACTACTACTGCTACTACTACTCCTACTCCTACTCCTTCTACTCCTACTACAGTTACTACACTACTGCTGCTGCTACTGCTACTACAACTACTAGTGCTACTGCTACTGCCACGACTAGTGCGACTTCTGCGGCGACTGCTACGACGCCTAGGACGACTACGACGACGACTACGACCACTCCTCTTACGACTACTTCCTTATCACTGCTGATGCACTACTAATACTCCCCCTGCTACGACTACAAACGGCCTGTCTGTTCTGTACCAGCAAACAACGGACAAACAGTGGCCTCTGTAGCTTCGCAAGCACCCCGTCGATGGGCTCCTGATAAGCGATTGAAAGGGGCCATGCTTCCACTTGGACTCCTGGCCCTGAACTGGTACGTTCAAGAGTCGGAACCTGCTAAACTTGTGCCGTTATACGCCGCCAGTACTACACAAACTTGGCTATCCCTGCTATGGCGATTGTTGTAGGACTCTTCTTAGTCCACGCTTCTGCTATGCCATGCTCAGTGTTGCTACAAGCTGAAGATGCTTGGATGCTCTGCGCCCTCTGCGTCCCTGGGTGCCTCGTGGAAGAGAATGTGATTCACAAGAGCTGCCGGGCCCATGGAAGGCGACGGGCCGATGATGTCCATGGACTCATCTTTCAAGGTTCGGGCGCTCGACAACTTCATCTCCAAGCCTTCCTGGAGGTAGGACAAATCCAGGTTCCTTAAGACCTTGCGGCTATCCACGTAGAGCTCGAGGTAGAAGGAGTTGGCGTGGCAGGCGTGCTCTGCACAAGTGCCCTCTTGCTCGAGGATTTCTTCTACGTAGCCCGCGTCTTCCACCGAGTTGTGTTTGGCCACGAACTCCAGGGCATATTCTACAAACATTGTTGCGCACATAGGTGAATTTGTCAGGATCGTGCAAAGGCTTTTGCTTGAAAGGGCATACACATCTGCGAATGAAATGGTCTGCAAGCTGTATCCGTGCATGGCAGCTTCCACATAGAGGGCAACTTCCGCAAAATACCGAAACTCGTCGGCAAAGACGTACGGAGAAGCGTTGTTGTTGGAGATGTTCACTGCGAATTTGCCAGTACAAGTCAAGTACATATTCTCGGCAAACGCGCCTGCAGAGAACACGGACTCCGCTTCACAAAAGAACATCCTCTCCAAGTCGCGGCAAATCTCCTTGAAGACCTCGGGAAAGACCTGGGCCGCCAAGTCAAACACAGGATGCTGTTGGAGCTGGCCACCGAGCTGCAAAAAGGCGAGCTCCTTCTCAAGCCTTGGAGATACTAAGCTGTTGTCGAAATTGAGTTGAGAATGCCAGCCAAGCTTGTAATCTGCATAGCTCATGACACGCATCGTCATCCCGGTGGGCACACCCTTGGTCTGAAGGTAAATTCTGAGTTGACGCCGCCTTCGACTGTTTTCACTGCTCACCTGCCTGATCTCGTTGAGTGTCCCAGTCACAATGGATAAGGCCGAGCCAATGACAAGCACGACGGTGATGAAAAGCAACACGCATGCGTAGTGCTCCATGGTACTGTCCGGCTCAAGCACTGGAGGATTGGGCATCAACAGGATCCAGGCCACTGCGTGCACATACTGATCTGCAGGTGGCAGATTCCTCAAACACGCAAGAGACGGTAACCTTCTGGTAATGACTACCAGGGACTGTTATTAATAATGAGGATGCTATGTGGCTCGATTGGTTCCCAGATCCGGGGGACCAAAGCTCGGGGTTTCCAGAATGGGAGCTTCGAATCCTTGAAGCGATTGTCCCTCACTTCCGAAACCTATCTTTGCTTTGCTTGGGGCTTGAGGCGGGAGAAGTCCTCCCGCAACCTATCTTTCTTTCGCCAGGTTTATGGTGTAGAGGTTTCCCTCTACACCGTGCGCATCAGCGCCCCCGACTGTTGGGGGGTGAGCAAGTTGCAAACTCATGCCCTCGGCACTGGGTGCTTTCGTGAAGCGCAACTTCCCTCAGCGACTGCAATTCGGTAAGACAAATTAGGACAAAATCAGACAAAGTAAGACAAACTAAGACAAAATAGGGACAAACTATTGAGGACTATCTCTCTCTCTCTCTGTCTCTGTCTCTCCCCCGTCGTTGCATCCAGAGGGTCTCTCCCGAAACCTATGAAAGCTAACAATAAAAGCAACAACCAAAAACATCACAGTCATAATCAAGATCACAACCAAAATACTAATACTAAAAAGATAACCATTATAAGAATACTAAGAATAGTCACAATAACACCCGTGGTAGACCATTGGCTGCCAGGATTCTCGATCCCTGCGAGGTCAAGCCAGCTTCTCTCGGAGCTGTTTGACACAGATTGACCTGGGAGTTTCCGAAAATTGAGGGTAGCTTTTTATGGAGTCCTTATAACAAGGATCCTCGTAGTCAGCGTGCTATATTAATAGGGTCCCCTATTTTCGGAAACTCCCACCTAGAGCATACCAGAAGCAGGCCAGAATGTGGGCCACGGCTGCGATCGACACCACAACCTTGCCCACCGTCAAAGTCAAAATCAGAGAGTAATTCCCCGTGGCGATAACCAGGTTCTCAAGAATCACACTGATTTTCCCGATTTTAAGAATGCGCAGAACTCTGAGCATCTGTAGCATCCGCAAAACTTGAGACAGACTGTCATCCTGCTCCGACGTAATGCATGCAGCGATATCCAGCACCACCATTGTGATGTCGAACGCAAACCACGTTGAAAGGTATCGCTGTGCGATCTCTGATCTCTTGAGGCGCAAGTGGCCCTTTCTGTAAAACCCTGTGTTAAAATCCAAGATGATATCAAGGGGCCATAAGACAAGGGTAGATGCAGAGAAGACCTGCAGAAAAGCTGCCATTGAACCTGCGTTCTCAGCATGGCCAGGCGAAAAAGTCACGCCCCAGGCAGTGCAAAGCGGAAGAATACATATTTCAAACCCAATCACGAAACTAATGGCAGTGTCCCATGCGAGACGGAATTTGTCATCCGGCAGCAGGACCCTACAGTACGCTGGATCATTGATGTCGGCGCTGAATGTGCGAGATCTGGTGGCTGTTTTGGGGATGTCTCTGCTCGATGCCCATCGGCCCTTACCGATGGCCTCCACAGCTTCTTCAGCCTTCATAGACAGCTCCATTAAGTGGGAGTTCAAGCGCAAGTGTGAATGGCCTCTGCTATCACGTTCTAGCTGTGAGGTTGCCGACCGCTGTAACGACAAGGCTGCCGCAGACAAGTTGTGGGCTTCTCCCTCCCCCATGTCGGGACCATCATTCATGACCCAGGTCTCTTCCTTCAGCACCATGGACTGCTGGCCCGTGAAGGCCTCCAAGCCATCTTCCGACTTTGTCCTGCTTCTATCTTCCAGGTCCTCCACGGCTTCCCGCAGCTGCTTCACCTGCTCCTGGATCCCTGCAAAGGCACCCTGCAACGCATCGTCCAACTCACGGATTCGATGAGTCACGGAGGTCCTCGGATCCCCGATTGCAACGGCAGGAACCAAGCTAACAGAAGCTAACATAAAAGCACCGCCGACTGACCACAAACTTGCCGAATTCAGAACAGTCTCTGCATGCCGACTTTGATGTGATTTTTCAACAACCGTGGATGATAGGTAGCTCCCTAGCTACTGCCCGACTAGGAGAATGAAGTTGCTGCAATGGCTGCAATGCGTTACTGCACACGAACACAACCAAGCCGAGCAAATGCCGACCACGCGCGCTTCTGAGCCTTCGCAGCTTCCGGGCTCGGGCGGTCAGAGTCAACCTTTGCATGACTTGAGCACTTGGAGGTTCATGGTTAGTTATAAGTAGGTTATAACTATAGTTACCCAACTTAGTACCCCACTTATAACTACCCATGAACCTCCAATCAGACCGCAGTAAACTATCCGACATGACTGCAGACATCTGACGCTCTAGGACTCTAGGCAGCAGTTGTTATTTGGCACACACCATCCCATCGCGTCTGCGATGGTCTCCCAAAAGACAAAGTGTCTGGTGCGAGACAGTCTCCGCCAAAAGCGGCAGCTTGCGCCATTGGCATGCCATGAAACACGCTGACATGACATGCTCATATGGAGCAGCTGCAAACTCTACAGACGCAAGCCGGATCTGCGACAGAAAAAACCATGCAAGCCGCCACTGACTCTTGAAGCCTGCCAAGATAGCCTCGTAGGACATGGAGTTGGGCTGTACAGAATTCTGAATTCGGGACCACAGGGCCAACGCATGATGCCATTGAAGTGATTTGCTGTATGCCTTCCAAGCAGAATTGTAGGTGATGAGCGTAGCCTTGAGAGATGTATGATCGACTTCGTGGAGAAGGTGCGTTGCTTTTCTCCATTGCGCGCTCTTCGCGCAAGCGCTCAAACTTGTGTTGTATGTGATGCGGTCTGGCAACAGTCTGATGTGATGGAACGTTTGGAGACATTGGAATGCTGCCAGCCACAGCACCGCCCTGTCACATGCGCTTAAGACGGCATTCAAAGTGACCGCATTGGGCTGAAGCCGCTCAGCAGCTATCTGGCTTGTGAGAACAGCAGCATCAGCCCACTGAATAGCACGTGCACAAGCGGTGACTGCCGCGCTGTGCGCAATGGTATCTCCAAGCATGCTATGTCCAGTGGGCCATCGGAGCAAGTGCGAAGCAAACTCCCAGGCCCCTTCCCTCTCACAGGCACTGATCGCTGCATTCTGGGCGATGATGCTACCTCCTGGCCTCGTTCCAAGGTAGATGAGACTCAAAAGCATGCTGAGAGCATCATGCCACCTCTGAGAAATGATAAGGGCAGTGAGGGGCCTTTCCTGCTTGTCGGGCAAAGCCAGGGCCAAGGCCCGCTGCCACTCGGACTCCCTCGATTCTGTTGCTGCAGTCACTGCCATGCTTGCGGTCAGGGTGATCACATCCGGGTGTAAGCCTCTTACCTGAAGCTCCTTGACTTGCATGAAGGCACATGGCCAAGCCGAGGACTTGGCTGTCATGTCGACGCATGAGTTGTGTGATGCAATGCTGCATCGCACACTCGAGAGTGGCATCTCAGCCAAAAGCAGTAAAGCGGCCGGCCAAGAACCACACGAGCTGATCTGTGAGTTGCACATGAGAGTGTCAGCAGGGATGCCAGATCCGCCCAGAAGTTGCAGAAAGACGACGGCCCTTTCCCAGGCCAATACAGCCGAGCATCCCCTGGTGCAGCTACTGAAGGCAATGACATCTGGTTCCAAGTTCCGCAGCTGGAAACCATGAAGAACGAAGATGGACCTTCGCCAAAGCATGCATGCCCTGTGCACACAGCTCATGATATTGCCCAAAACTGTGTTCATTTCGAGGCCAGCTTGAAAGCTCCAATCTTGTACACCTAGAGCTCGCCTCCACTGCCTGTCCTTCTCGCATGCATTCAAAACCGCACCTATTGCGAGGACACTAACCTGTACAGAGTTCTTTGGCATATGTGACAGACTTCGCCAAGCTTGTTCCCACAGGGACACCTCGGCGTAGTTGCAAATCGACGTGGTGCATGTCACAGAATCGTAGCTGAGGTCTTGTTGACGAAGCTCTTCCAATTTCATGATTGCCAAACCCCAGATGTGCTGGTTGACACAGGCTTGCATGGTGGCATTGAACGTGACTGTGTTTAGCCGAGTCGAGCTTCTATAGAAGGCTCGGAGGATGTCCAGAGTCCTGTCCCATGTGGTCGCACGGCCGCAGGAGCTAATGCAGGAATTGTACGACACAGCGTCCGGAGATATTCGTGCAGAACACATCACACGAATCACCGCCAGAGCATTTCTCCAGCTTCTTCTTCCTTGGAGACTGATGGCCTGGTTGTATGTAAGTACCTGCTCCCGTCTCGCAGTTGCATGGGCCATGGTCCAACATTCACCGTTTGCACAGCCAAGGGGCCGAAAAGCCACCATCAGCCGGTTCACTTGAGCCCTAAAGGGAACTCCAGAAAGTTGGAATATGGTTTCAGGGTAGGATACCTTATAATTTACCATAAAGGGTTTAGGATAATCATATTCCAACTTTCTGGCTTTTACTTTAGCCTCTGTGCACAGGAAAGCGCAAGCCGCAAGATCGTAGTTGCAGAAGCCGCTCAAGCAGTGCGACAAGCCCACAAACAGCCCTTGCAAATTTTTGTCCCGTATCATCATCTGTTGAACAGGAGAGCGCCTTTGACATTTAATCCACAACAAAATAGACAACGATGTCTATGCATGATGGCAGCTGATATCATTGACACCTGCATTTGAGCGCTCCCGCTATGCACAGCCGGCAAAGTTTCAGCACGAGGTACGATTCCGGTATTGCCGTTCCGTGGCTTTGCCGCAGCGACCGGATCTTCTTCGAGTCTTCAAAACTCGACTGCGGGTTTCGGCCTAGGTGTGTCTTTGACCTCGCTTAGGCAACTCGCATCTGAGAAAAAGAAGCATGTTTTGCGGCCCCGCAAATCGCAACAGTTGTCCTGCTAATAGCATTCGCTTCATGTCTAGAAGTGTCGCCCAGCAACTTGCGGCACAGCTACCAACCACCTCAAAAATGGCATTGAACCAAGACTTGCTGCTGAGTTGGGTTATTCGTGTCCTCCATCTGTCTCGACTTGTACACGAGCTCGCGCACGGAGCCGGCGAGCAGCACAATGTCCGAAGGAGGCTCGGTAACTCTCCGCCAGTTCTCCTGCGAGACGTCCACACAGAACCTTTCCTCCCTGAGGCTCAAGGTGGCTCGAGCCAGGCATGTTTGAAAAACGTAGCTGTTTTGCACCATCAAGATGAAGGCCGCGAGGTCTGCAAGGTCCACAGTGACTATTTGATGGCCTTTCGGAGCGGCCGACCGAACCGCCTGAAGTAGTTCGACCAACACCTGCAGGAGCGTTCGAACTGTGACAAAAGGATTGGACCGAGCTCGCTCCAAGCAAAGCGGAAGGAACTCACAAACGATTGCCGGGGTCGTTATGCCATCGGCAAGGAAGTGCTTCGTGAGCTCTGCTCGTTCCTGCGCGGTGAGATGGTCCCAAGCATCTTGGAGCCGTTCCAAGTCGTCCGCCGTCTGAGCCCGGCAGTTGCAAGCTAAGCGCAGCAATGCCAAGTCTGATGGCTGCTCCGCACGTCTGCTCAGTTCAAGCCCCCTGTGGTGGATGTACGTCCAGTACAAGGGCGCTGGGTCCTGCTCTAAAACGTGCTTCAGCATGGCCAATCCCAAAATTGTGGTTTTGGCATTTCGCCGGGTCATAAAACAGGACCCTTGACCACCAGCTAGCCCACTCATGAACCCGAGGAGGTAGAGGATGTAGAACTTCAGTAGCTCTTCGCCTCCACGCGGTTGGATGGTGTCCTTGAGGTCCCTGAGATTGGCTGGCACATTCTCACCCTGGAGCATCTGGGCAAAATTGAAGATACCTTGCATCTTCAACAAGTTCCTCACGAGATGCTGGACATCGCTGCCCAAGCTGGCAGAAGACGGAACCGCCAACGGAAACGACTCGAGCATGTACTTCATGGCCTTCTCCGGGCGCTGATGGCCTTGTGGAAGCTGCCGAGTTAGTGACCTGGGACTTTCCGACAATGCTAGTATAGTACCCTAAATAGTAGGATCATCATTATAAGGACCCCGAGATAAGGTACCCCTAATTTTCGGAAACTCCCACCTGTACTTGCTCACGCCCTTGACTGCAAGAAGGAAGATGACCGCAAGCAGCTTTTGGTCAGTGGCATCCGTCCAGTCAAAGAGGTCCCGCAAGTTTTGCCACTGAGTGTTGGTTAGGCGGTTTTGTGGTGGCTGCACCGCCGTGTACCTGAGCTGAGGACCAGGGTAAAGTCGTGCGTATTACGGTAAATGTCGCATACAACTCTTGGAGGAAGTCGGCTTGGAAACGTACGAGTTATAAAAGGCACAAGTTCTGAAATCTACTAGGTGGCATGTTGTAGTCGTCCCGGACAATGGCCACAAGGCTGAGAATGGCAGATTCCGCTCTTTCCTGCTCCTTGGCATCAGAGAATCTGGCGTGCAACCCGGAATCTGGATCAAGCTCGACAAAAGCCTCGCGCAAGCTTGCGAGCGTATCCTCAGCAGGCTCTGTGCTATATACCACTGAGGTAACGAAGTCCATGGGAGTCAAGTACCCTCCAAACTGTTCGCCAGCGCCGCGGAGCTGCGCTGCTGGCTGAAAGGTTTGAGTTTGAGAATCATCCAAGTCCTGCTGCTGACCAGAGAGAATGTGGCCCATGGTAATTGATTTCACTACGGGACTCTGCAGATCTGATAGGTCCAGTGTGTCCAAGACCAAGCGACTGTCCACATTCACCTCGAGATAGAAGGAGTTGCATGCACAAGCAGCTTTCGCGCACGACTGCTCTTGCTCGATCATGTCCCAGACGCATACCTGAGAAGTCGCTGAGGCAGACGAAAACCGGACAATGTAGTCATTGGCATACTCCACGACCATTGTTGTGCACATGGGTGAGGCCCCAAGTATTCGAGCGAAATCTGAAGCTGTAAGCGAGAAGACTTCGGAAAAGGACTGAGTGTGCAAAGTGTAGCCGTGCATCACAGCCTCCACATACAAGGAGATCTCGGCAAAGCACTGGCAGTCATCTTCGAAGAAGACCTGATCATGCGAAACAAACACCTCAGCCGTCAGCTTGAACGTGCCGTGGTTGCTGACGTACATCTTCTCGGCGAGCGAGCCCTCGCTGAAGACGGCCTCACCCTCGCAGTAGAAATGCTTGTTCAATGCGCGGCAGCACTCGGCAAAAACAGTGGGATACGATGACGAAATAAAGGAAAACAAGGGGTGTGCATTCAGAACTGAACCGAACTGAGATGTGGCCAATTCCGCCTCAAGCATCGGCGAGATCAAGCTGGGATCATAACCAACCGGCGAATGGCGGGTCATCTTGTAGTCAGCGTAGCTCATGACTCTCATCAAGAGCTCGGTGGGCACCTTCCGGTTCTGCAAGAAGATGCGCAACTCGCGGCGCTTCCTGCTCCGCTCGCTATTCACCTGGCGGATCTCGTTCAAGGTGCCGGTAAGGATCGACAAAGCTGAACCAATGACCAGCACTGTTATGACGAAGAGGGTCAGCACCTAGGGCGAGGAAAAGGGAATGACGGCTGGAGGGACAGCAAGCAAAACAGAGCTGACGAAAGCTGGCGAGGGGGGCTGGCTTCATCCTCACCATGCAACCACAACCGCATCAGCAACAGAGGGTGGGGGTTGCTCGATATATGCATATATATATATAATTAAATATAAACAAATAAATAAATAAATAAAAATATATATATATATATATATTATATATATATATATATATATATATATAATACATATAGTTGCGGCCCGGCGCCACCCCCAAGCCCTTTTGTGGAGGGGCTCGGGCCTTGAGCTTGGAATGCTTGGGTGGCGTTGGTTTAAGCCTAGCCTTCTTCCGATGTGGTGGTTTCCGAAATAGGGACCCCCCCCAAAAAAATAGGGTTGAGGGTTTAGTGGTTTTGGAAAATAGGGAACCCCCCTTCCAAAAAAAATAGTAGGATCCTTATTGTAAGGGCCCCAAAATAAGGTATCCCAATTTTTGGAAACTCCCATTTGTGTGAACAGCCCCCCCCCCCCCCCTCCACCCCGCCAGCTTGTGTGGAACGGCTGGGGTCTCGAGCTTCGGAGTTTTGTCCCCCTCGCCCTGGCTCCGGTCTCTGTGGAACCGGGCACGGCACACATGCGCCGAAAGCTCCAAACCGGTGAATTTGGGGGGAATACACCATTTGGGGGGGGGAAAGGGGGGAGCGCACAACCATGTGAGGAATTGGGGTCTGGCCGGCATCCAGGCCCCCACTGCTAATGCGGATAGAAACGCAAGCCTCGCCACGCTTGACTTCGTGATATGACAGGCCATAGCCAGCTCAGACTCACCTATGCAGCAGGCTCGTGTTCCCCACGGGAGCTAGGCAAGCATGAAATCGAACGGAGCGATAAAGAACGACTGGTAAATGACACGAGGAGACTAAATGTGCAGTGGTTCTGTAGACCGGCCTCCGCGCACGAAAGACTGTAAGACACCTTCCCGGTCTTGCCCGCTCATGTTTCTCAGCCATTTCGCAGCCCTCTCCTGCCGCAAACTCCCCAAATGGCAAAAACCGGACCACATGCTATCCCTCACACAGAAGACCGGGACATTGCAGGAACCCTTGTGTGCAAGCCTCGCGCTCGGCAGTATTCTGTCGACCTCGAGACGACCCCCGACACCCGTGTCGGCTGTGCTGTCTTGGTTGCGGGCGTATCCGGTGGAGCTAACAACCGAAACGCTGATTCCTGAAGCAAGATAGTGCCAGTGTCCGCATGTGAGCCTTCCCGTGCTGCAGCCTGAGGCTCGAGCTGCCAGCTGCTCAATGCCACTGAGGGGATCGAGAGGCGCAGGGGCAGGCGGTAGTAGGATCCATGTTAGTGAATGTATATACTGGATTTGAAAACCTTGGTTGTCGGTTTAGGGTTTAGGGCCTTGAAAAGTATTTATGAATAGGTACCCCTAATAGGAACCATAAGTGTATATACTGGAATTGAAAAACCTGGTTCATTGTTGGGATAGGACTAAACATGTACATGTTTATTCCTTATATTGGGTTCAAGTATGACAAAGTATATGCTGGATTTGAAAACCTGCCTCTTTGAAACTTATTTACTGCTATGGTTCTCTACAAGATAGTAGGGGAAATTAAAAAGATCCCAAAGGACAACCCAGTAACTTGCATCTTGGATTCGAGCAAGTTGTAGCCAGCTGGGCGGGCCCGTATCGAATGAAGATACGGTGTCGCCTAATGCAAACCACACGCATGCCAGAATGTGTGCGACGGCCCCGATGGCTACGAGCATCTTCCCGACTGTGAAGGCCAAGATCATCCACTGCCGTCCCATCGAGATAACAAGATTCTCCAGCAGCACATTAATCTTGCCGGCTTTGAGAATCCTGAGGATCCGAATCGTTCGCAGTATTCGCAAATACCGGGCGGACCGCAATGGCTGCAAAATGTCTGAAGGCGCATCCTCTGTCGCCTGCCCAGACCGTCGGCAATGCCTAGAGCCTAGAACTGCAGATGCTAAACCGCTATGGCAACGGGGCGCACTACTTCGGAACATAGGCCTTATACACCCAAGTGTCCCTTTGACAGATGCCTGCCCCAGGAAACCTGCAGCAAAGTCCAGCAAGACGACGCAAATATCAAACCCCAGCCACGTATACGCATAGCGCTTCGCAATTTCCCAGCGCCGGGTCTCGATGAAGCCGCGAACGTAGAAGGCGGTGTTGAAGTTCACTATGATATCGCACGGCCAAAATATCAAGGAAAGAATGGCAAACATCTGCAGTACTCGGCTGGAAGCGCTGTCCGATGCAGGCATCGGGGTGATCTCCCACTCGCTCCACGCCATGGTCATTGGAAGCAGGAAAGCATCCAGCATAATCAGGAGCACACCGGACAAATCCCACACCAAGCGGAATTTCGAATTAGGAGGGATCACCTGCAGAATAGATTCGCATCTTTCCAGCTCCGTGGTGGGCCCGCCGGATGCATACGAGTTGGATGCGTTGACTGCGTAAATGCCAGTGCTATTTCGCGACTTCTTTAGCACATGCACTGACTCTGCAGCTCGCATTGACAGCTCCATCAAGTGAGAGTTCAGTCGCATGTGCGAGTTCGCGCTGGTGCCCAGCATCTCGGCAGAAAGGTGCAATGCATCAGCCGAAAGCTCTGAAAGGGCGCCAGGTCCTTCATAAGGAATGGACATGACATCGTCCTTCAGTAGCCAATCGCCCAAAGCATCAACCTTTTCAAAAGCATCCTGACGGTGGTTTCTTGAATCAGGCTTCGTCGCAAGGGTGTCTGATCCAAAGTCTTCACGCAGGAGTTTGAGATGATTCTGGATGCGAGAAAAGGCATCTTCTAATTCGGTCTCCAGATGTTGCAGGCCTTGCACGAGGCCGGGTGAACCCATGGCTGGCATGCTGCGCCAAGTGTGGCCGTAACTACTCCTAATCCTAGTCTTCTTCATTATGTCATTGAGCATGTACATGTAGGATCCGGCCTAAAGCATCCCAGCGAGACAGATTTCAGGGGTCTTGTTCTGACCTCTACTTGCTCGTTTTGGCTTCCAGACGGACATCGGAAGCCCTTCTTACAACATACTGCATTACGCTTGTCGTCGCTGTGGAATCTCGAAGGAATTGCTATCTCATCCGTGTCCGCTCGGTGCTCGAGTACAAACCAACGGCACAGTACCAGTCGCACATGGGCGGATTTGCATAGCGGCAAAGCACCGCGGCAAATAACACAAGAGCGACACGAGGCACGGCTGGTTCGTGCGTAGCACAAACAGAGATCACATAGCTTACCACATATATACTTACCGATGCAATCGTCAATTCTATATTTGCTCTTATATAATATACAAATTCATATAAACAGATTGATAGATATCGGGCTGCAAACACGAGGTGCGCTCGCTCCAGGGGCTTTTGGCTGCTCCACGTCGTGAATTGCTAGGGTGAAACTGGTGAAGGCTTTCGCCTCTGAAAAATCATCAGCATGTCTATGTCTATGCGAGCAAAAGGGCATGGAGTAGAGCCGCTTTAGTCTTACCGAATCTACACTGCTATCATGCCAAGGTCAGGCACTGGCAATGCATGATTTCAGAAGTGGCAGTGCACCAGAACTTGCTGCTGTGCAGCACTCTTGGCATCTTCGCTTCTCCTTGACTTGTACACGAGCTCGCGGACGGAGCCTGCGAGCAACACAATGTCAGAAGGAGGCTCTGTGATCCTCCGCCAATTCTCCTGCGAGACGTCCACGTAGAACCTTTCCTCCCTGAGGCTCAGAGTGGCTCGAGCCAGGCATGTTTGAAAAACGTAGCTGTTTTGCACCATCAAGATGAAGGCCGCGAGGTCTGCAAGGTCCACAGTGACAATTTGATGGCCTTTGGGGGCAGCCGACCGAACGGCCTGAAGCAGTTCCACCAAAACCTGCAAGAGCGTTCGAACTGTGACAAAAGGATTGGACCGAGCTCGCTCCAAGCAAAGTGGAAGGAATTCACAAACGATTGCCGGGGTCGTTATGCCATCGGCAAGGAAGTGCTTCGTGAGCTCTACTTGTTCCTGCGCTGTGAGATGGTCCCAGGCATCCTGAAGCCGTGCCAAGTCGTCCACCGTCTGAGCCCGGCAGTTGCACGCTAAGCGCAGCAATGCTAAGTCTGATGGCTGCTCTGCACATCTGCTCAGTTCAAGTCCCCTGTGGTGGATGTACGTCCAGTACAAGGGCGCAGGGTCCTGCTCGAGGACGTGCTTCAGCATGGCCAAGCCAAGAAGCGTTGCCCTTGCATTGCTACGCGTCATGAACCGAGAACCCTTGCCACCAGCTAGGCCGCTCATGAACCCGAGGAGGTAGAGGACATAAAATTTCAGGAGCTCTTCACTCTGATAGGACTGAACGGCTGATTTCAGGTCCCCCAAGTTGGCTGGCACATTCTCACCCTGGAGCATCTGGGCAAAGTTGAAGATACCTTGCATGTCTAGCATTTTTGTCATCAGCTCCTGGGCATTGCTGCTCAGACTGGCTGCTGACGGAACCGCCAATGGATATGACTCGAGTATGTACTTCATGGCCTTCTCCGGGCGCTGATGGCCTTGTGGAAACTGCCGAGTTAGTGACCTGGGACTTTCCGACAATGCTAGTATAGTACCCTAAATAGTAGGATCATCATTATAAGGACCCCGAGATAAGGTACCCCTAATTCTCGGAAACTCCCACCTGTACTTGCTCACGCCCTTGACTGCGAGCAGGAAGATGACTGCAAGCAGCTTTTGGTCAGTGGCATCCGTCCAGTCAAAGAGCTCCCGCAAATTTTGCCACTGAGTGTTGGTCAGGCGGTTTTGCTGATTCTGCGCGGCCGTGTACCTAGACTGAAGACAGACAAGCCTCGACCAAACACGACCCTTACAAGCACGAGTTGACCACCACCATGAGGGTAAGCACACCCGAAACATATCCAAATCTACCAGGCGACATGTCGTAGTCGTTCCGCGCGAGGGCAACTAGGGAGAGAATGGCAGATTCCGCTCTTTCCTGCTCCTTGGCATCGGAAAACCTGGCGTGCAGCCCGTGCTCGAGATCCAGCTCCAGGAAGGCCTCCCGCAGGCTCGCGACTGTGTTGTCTGCTGTACCCTGGCCGGGAACAACGGAAGTTACGAAGTCCAAGGGGGTTAATGTAGCCTCCGCTCCCTTGACGCTGAGCCATGCTGCAGTGTGGGGGGTCTCAGCGCCGTCGACTGGATTCTGGGGAGATGCAAGGTCCAAAGTCTCCAGCACCTGCCGATTGTCCACATGCTCCTCAAGGTAGAACGAGTTGTTTGTGCAAGCCATTTGTGCACATTCTCGCTCCCACTCAGCCTTGTGCCATATGCCCCCTGGCTTTGTTGCCGGGGCCGCCGTGTAGCAGGAGATGTACTCATTGGCGTACTCTATCACCATGGTCGTGCACAGAGGCGAATTGACAAGAATCTTGGCAAAATCCGCTGCGGTCAGCGAGAAAACTTCGGAAAAGGAGTCCGTGTGCAAACTGCATCTGTGCACCGCCGCCTCCACATATAGGGAGATCTCCGCAAAGTAGTGACAATCGTCTTCGACGAGGGCATGGTCATGCGGATATGCCTCTGCCGTCAGTTTAAACGTGCCGTGGCTGCTGATGTACATCTTCTCGGCCAACGAGCCTATAGCTCATGGTTGGGTCCGTATTTAACAATACATGCTTATTCCGTATTGGGATTGGTTACCCATAAACATGTAAAAGGTTCCCCAACTATGACAAAGGAGCCCTCGCTGAAGACGGCCTCTCCTTCGCAGTAGAAATGCTTGTTTAAAACGCGGCAGCACTCGGCAAAGACCGCCGGATACGACGAGGAGATAAACTCAAACAGTGGATGGGCATTCAGAACGGAACCGAACTGAGATGTGGCCAATTCTGCCTCAAGCATCGGTGAGATCAAGCTGGGATCATAAGCGACAGGTGAGTGGCGTGTCATCCTGTAGTCTGCGTAGCTCATGACCCTCATCAGGAGCTCGGTGGACACGGCTCGCGTCTGCAGGAAAATGCGCAGCTCACGGCGCTTCTTGCTGCGCTCGCTATTCACCTGGCGGATCTCGTTCAAGGTGCCGGTAAGGATTGACAAAGCCGAACCAATGACCAAAACAGTTGTGACAAACAGGATGAGCACCTCGTCTGCCATTCTGCTGCAGCCATGACAGGACGAGTCAAAAAAGTTCATTGCGATGAGTGCGATGAATAGTTTGAACCCAGCAGTTGTGCACAGGCATCATTATCGCTCCCCCCATTGCAAATCCCCATATTCGCTGTATTGGATTTGCTCGGCAAGGCGACGTGTTGTGTCGGTCGCAGTACATGATGCAACTGTTTAACAACATCCGCCTTACCCCTATCGGACGTATCCCTGTCGCCATGGTAAGGCAGTCTGCTTTCTAAAAGACTCCCCATCACCATCTGACACCTTCAATCCGGCATACTGTAAGGGTCGGCTTTTATGAGTGGGTGGTGCCCCACCAAAACGTCCCGCACCCAGTATATCTCTATATATATGTGTGTGTGTGTGTGTGAGTGTATGTATGTATATATAAACGTCTACTCATTTAGTAAGCTATCTATGCATGTATGTCTTTCGCTGATTTAAGTGTTCTATCCAATCTGGGTCTGGTTGGAACACTCACGCACAACCAACCACCCAGGCACGCTGACATGCACGCGCGCCTTGGCAAGGTTGCAACTTTGAAGCTGGCATCAGAAAGAATAATATTCGATTTATGTTCAGAACGATGATGGACATAGAGATGGCAATCGTAAGAAATCGTGTGGGCCGTCCTTCGTATTCTAAACTCAGCTGTGAAACCCATGATGCAAGCAGGCCGTTGTGCAGTTGTGCATCTTCATAACGCAGTTTCGGGACTAGCAAAGGAGGTGTAGTGCGACAATTGCTGCCTTCATGTTCCTCGACCGGATAGGAAACCGGTGTTACGTTCGACAGGTCTCATCCTTGGGTATACACGTTGGACACCAAATGTCAACAACGAAATGCTTCAGGCGAATCAGCACAGCATTGGCTGCAACACGCTTGCCATGCCTCTCTCAAAAGCGTCGGCAGTGCCGACCCACCCAGATCTACGTCGACCCACACGCTGCTACGAAGCTGCAAGTAGACACTGGGCTTCAAGGAGCACATCCCGACGGAGTTGTCTGAGGACCCAGCGGCCAGATGCTCAATGCCACTGAAGGGATCCAGGGGAGGCGGTGAAGGCGGAAGTAGCATCCTGAGTTCTTTAGGGGTTTATGGTTCTCTATAAAATAGTAGAGGAGATTAAAAAAGATCCCAAAGGACAACCAAGCATCCAAATCAGCGAGTGAATGTACTGGATGTGAAAGGTTGCTCCTTGCTCTCGTGTGATTCCGGCAAATTCTAGCCAACTTCGATGTTGGCCGGCAGATTGCACAGTGTCACCCAGTGCGAACCAGATGCATGCTAGAATGTGCGCGACGGCCCCGATGGCTACCAGCATCTTCCCGACTGTGAAGGCCAAGATCATCCACTGCCGTCCCATCGAGATAACAAGATTCTCCAGCAGCACATTAATCTTGCCTGCTTTGAGAATCCTGAGGATCCGAATCGTTCGCAGTATTCGCAAATACCGGGCGGACCGCAACGGCTGCAAAAAGTCTGCAGGCGCATCCTCTGACGCCTGCCCAGACCGTGGACAATGCCTAGAATTGTAGCTGCTCAATCGCTACGACAATGGGGCCCACTACTTCGGAACACGTGCAAGAGTTCTAGGCCCTTTACACCCAAGTTTCCCTTTGACGGATGCCTGCCCCAGGAAACCCGCGGCAAAGTCCAGCAAGACGACGCAAATATCAAACCCCAGCCACGTGTACGCATAGCGCTTGGCAATTTCCCAGCGCCGGGTCTCGATGAAGCCGCGAACATAGAAGGCGGTGTTGAAGTTCACTATGATATCACATGGCCAAAACGCTAAGGATATAATGGCAAATATCTGCAGTACTCGGCTGGAAAAGCTGAAGGAAGAAGGCATTGGGGTTACTTCCCACTCGCTCCAAGCCATAGTCATGGGAAGCAGGAATGCATCCAGTACAATCAGGAGTACGCCACAAAGATCCCACACCAAGCGGAATTTCGAATTGGGAGGGATCACTTGCAGAATAGATTCACATCTTTCCAGCTCTGTCAGCACTGTGTTAGCTCCACCTGATGCATACTGACTGACTGTCTGGGAGGGAGAGAGATATCCGGTCTTCATGCGTTCCTTCTTCAGCACATGCGCAGACTCAGCAGCTCGCATCGAAAGCTCCATCAAGTGAGAGTTCAGACGCATGTGTGAATGAGCGCTCGCTCCCAACATCTCGGCAGAAAGGAAGAGCGCGTCCCCACATAAAGAGCTTGGACCAGGCTCCTCATGGGGCATGGACATCACATCGTCTTTTAAGAGCCAATCTCCCAAAGAGTCGGGTACTTTCCATGAAGCTCGCCGCCCGGTGCCAGCTGAGAGCATGGAAGCTTCGACTGGAGAAGGAAGCCCAGGCCCATCCTGACGCAGAACTGTGAGATGCTTCTGGATCCGGGCAAAGGCATCGTTCAACTCATCCTCCAAGTTCTGAATTCCTTCTTCCCAGGATCTAGAAGCCATGGGAAGGGAGAGGTGAACAAAAACCCACGTCTTTCAGCTCTTCCCTTTGCTACGAGTATTTGTCGACATCTTCGAAGTGTTTAGTTAATTTCAAAGGTCGACACTGAGCATTGACAGTTATATGATTTGAAAATAGTCTTCATGTTGGCCAAACGAACTCAGTCCGCAGATGCAGCGATACCTTGAGCCAGTGCCAGAGACTCGTTTCACTGAGTGCACTGTGCCAGGTGGCCCGCTCTCGTTCGACGGCATGCGCTGCACTTGCTGTTGGCTGTTGGTACCAGCACAAGGGCTGCTATCCATGCTGTTCCCTTCTATTCGTCCTGGCTGCCGTACTTCTTTCTGCCTCTTGCTGGAGATTTGTGCTGCTACCAGGACGGATCGAGAGTGTGCGGATCGAGGAGCTTACAACTGCGAAATGCCTTAACAAAGTGCTGAGCATGGGCCATGTTTCGGGTGAGCAAAGTCTTTCAGCCGCTGCAAAGACAACTCGGTCAAGCTTGTCAGAAACGGGTGCAGTTGAAAGAGGCGAGCTCCGAGCTCTTCGCTCAAAACTGCAGCGCTCAAGGTTACAACATCGATTCGCAAGGCCTGGCTGCGAAATTTCTCAAACACTTGAAGTGCCTCAACCCACTTTTGGCAAGCTACACATGCCCATAACACAGCATTGCAAGTAATCACATTTGGCTGTATAAGTGCATCCTCCAGCCGTCCCAAAAGGGCCAGAGCGGGTCGCCAAGAGGCTCCTTTGGCACAGGCGCTGATGGCAGTGGACCACGTGATCACATCAGTTTGAAGACGAATGTTCTCCATGTCGGCAGCAATCACTAGAGCATGGGCCCATTTCCCACACTTCTCGCAGGCACTGATGGCAGCATTCATCGCGACCTTATCTGGCTTCAGACGCTGTTGAACCAACACCTCCAGCAGTTCCAATGCATAGTTCCACTGCTGAGCCTTTTCGCATGCGCTAATGGTGGCACTTAAGGCAACCGCGTTTGGCTTCAACTGACTCCGCGGAAGATCCATCAACAAGGCCAATGCCAGCTGCCATTGCTGCCCCTTCTCGCAGCTACTTATGGCAGCGCTGTGTGCGATAATGTCCGCCGGAAACGACTGAGCATAACTCTCAGACAGCAGCAAAAGTGCATGCTCCCAGTGGCCAGCGTTAGCACATGCGCTGATGGCACTATTTCTCGAGATGCTGTTGCCCTGAAGTCTTGCAGCAGAAAGCTCGAAGAAGAGCGTCAGAGCGAACTGCCACTGACTGCCTCTGCCACACGCACTAGTGGCCGCGTTATACGCTATGAGATCTGGCATCGGTCCTGATGACAGAAGCTCCTGAAACACCATCAGCGCAGCTGGCCACTGCGAGCACCCCTCACATGCAGTAACCAAGGTTCCAAAGGTGATGATGTCAGCTGGCAGGCGGCGCCATCGTTGGTTGCAAAGCAAGGCTAGGTTCTGCAGCCATTGCTCAGAAGTGTTCAGAACAGCAGCAACGGCATTGTACGTAATCGAACTGTTGAGCTGCTGAGCCTCGGAAGGTCCCAGGAGGCTGAAGGCCCGCTGCCACTGAGCGCCGGATTCGAAGCAGGAGATGCAAGCCACATACGTGAAAGCATCAGGCGACTGTCGTGACCAAGAAAGATCTCGAAGGAACAAGGCTGTGGACCACTGTGATTTACAAGCATTGATGATCGTGTTGACCATCACCAGATCAGGCAGGCTATGCAAAGCAGCGACGTCTTTGTGGACGTGCAGGGCCTGCTCCCAAACAGCAGCCCTGCTAAAGGAATTGCATATGGAGTTCAACGTAATCATGTTGCCCTCCTGCTGTGCTCGCATCTGAGCCTTCAAGGCGATTGCCTTTTGCCATCCCATGCCTTCAGAAGAAATCATCGAGTTGTAGCTGACAAGATCAGGCTTCAGTTGCACCCGTCTGAGGTCTGAGAGCAGTGCACCAGCTCGCATCCACTGGCCTGTGCTTCTGCCCAAACTTGTCGTTGTGATATTGTATGTTACCAGACTGCTTTCTAAGCTTGCACCTTGAGCATCTGTGAGGAGGCTTAACGACTGAATCCACTTCGTCTCATTCCGAAGGGCATACGCTGCAGCCCCGTATGTCACGGTGTTTGCTTGAAGTGCCGGTCTTTGCAAATGACAAAGCAGGCCCAAAGCCATCCTCCACCGCTTTGCTGAACGGATTGCAGACGTATACATGCTTTCACTCACCTGCAGCTCTTGCTTTTCCAAGTCGTGTAGAAGTTGAGCGCCCTCGGCCCAGTCCGATCTACCAGGGGATCTTCGAGAGCTAAAGCTCCTGGACGTCTCCGGCACAATCACTTGCATTCTACCTGGCCGGGTAAGTTGGCGCCATGCTACCTGAGGGCTTGAATTCAATGTGCTGCAGTATTGGGATGTGCGGACATCGAAAGGAGGAGGAAGAAGGCTGCGATGATGCTGCGAAAACTGAACAAGGATACTCCAGGATGGCAACTCTTAGATGTAACGAGCAGGAAAGTACTACGAAAGCAGTACTCATAACAAGAACACATGTGAATAAAGACACGCGCGCACACACACACACACACACACACATGCACACGATAAACTACGCAACAGTCAAGGGAATACTCGTCGAAGTGGCGATTGGACTAGTCACAGTCGTTTGCGTCGTTGTCTGCGTCGTGCGAGTTACTAGTTGTCGTGGTTGTGGCTGTAGTAGCCGCAGGAGCAGTCAAGCCAGCAAAGTCGTAGAACGAACAATGGCAGTAGCAACAACTAACAGTCGCAGTAGCACCTTATGCAGGCTGTGCCACACAACTTCTGAAACCTGACGCGGTAAGGCCCTGTGTTGCGCTCCATCGGCCAAACACATGGGAAGCATGGGATACCAATCTGGCATGGTCGCAGCACACCAGCTATCACCAGTTACAAGCCTCTTTTCACATCGTGCAAATTGCTCAGGCAGTCTGCTGAGTTCACGGATGACATTAATTCCAGGCCCTGACACTGCACATGATGAAGAATGGAGGCCGCCTTGTTCGGCTGCCTCGCAATGACACACGCGGCCATGACAGAGTTGCAAATCACAGTGTCTGCCTTCACACTGCCATCGCACAGCTCCTGCAGGAGCACGAAAACTGGCTGGCAGCGCTGAGCGCTTAAACATGCATCCATCGCTGATGAATGCAATACCAAATCTGCTTGAGATCGAGGCAGAAAAGCCAAAGCCAGCTGCCACTTAGTAGATCTTCCAGCAGCAGCTACAGCGGCGCAGCCTGTCAAAATTCCAGGAACGAGCCGCTGCTCCACTAGCTTGGCCACAACCTGCACAGCATCCTTCCAGATATGACCCCTCTCGCGCGCATTAAGAATTGCATTAAATGTAGTGAGGTTGGGTTCCATGTGGCCGTCTTGCATTCGGCGCAGGGCTTGAAGAGACTCTTTCCATCGCTGCTGGCTCCCACATGCATTCATAAGCGCCTTACTTGCCCAGTTTCCAAGTCGAACCAAAGCTGACTTCTGGGGGCTGGGGGGTCATGTAGAGATTCTGAAATTCTAGTACTCTAGTACCCCCCAGAAGGTTCAAGGCTACTTCCTCCACACCACTATACTCCACCAAGCTGCGTTCTCTGCCGTGACTGTCGCTTGGAGACCCCGTCTTCGTAGTCTCCGAAGCAGAGATACAACCGAAGGCCATTGCGAGCTCTTCTCACATGCACTGGTGGTGGCGTTGAAGGTAACGGTCGAGTCCGTAGGCTGCCCTGGAAGGGGGTTTGCAGAAGAAGTGCCCAGATTTTTTGCGAAATAGAATGACATCCTGACTGTCCTGACATGCATAACGAACTGAACACTATACCACAACAATGTACTTGGCAACACTCCAGCGGCAGTAGCCATATCAAAGCCCAGCCAGTCTCTGAAGCATGTCTTAATTGCTCTGTCACCACCCTCCCACCCCCACAGGCAAGAATAAGCAGTCCTTCCTTTTTCCTAGTTCCTCCTTCGTCTCAACCCCCAGTACAACAGTGTATGCCTTTTCTAAACCGAAACCGCTCTAGATCCCAACGATAGCCCGAGAGTCAAGCCTGTGATGTAGTTGTCAGACATGGCATTCATCAAAGCAATCGCTTGTACCCAACAGCAACTCTTTTCACATGCACTGATGAGGGAGTTGCAGATGACGGCATTGGGGAGTAGGGCCCTCCTTAGCATCGCAGCTAAAACTGTCACAGCACTCCTCCATCGTCCATCGCCTGAGAAGGAGCTCACAGCTGTACCACATAGAACCAGGTTCCTCTGCAGAGCTGGTGTTTCCAAAAGGATCTTCGTGGCATGAAGCCATTGGAGCGATTGTGCTAATGTGCTGTGGACTGAGGAGTGTGTGATCACATCAGGTTGAATACCGTCAGAGTGCATGTGGCGCAATGCGCAAATACCGATTTGCCAAAGACCATCGGCATCACAAGTGGCGAGTACGACGTTGTGAGTCCGAACGTTTGGCCTCAAGCCGTTTTGCGACGCATGCCGAAACAGAAACTTTGCCAACTGCCAGTGATTTGACGGTCTCGCTGCAATGATGCATGAGTTGTACGTGATGACATCTCGTTGCAACTGCATCGCGGCTAAAATGTCTATAGCCCATGACCACCCCGCAAGCGTAGCTGTAGGCTCAGACATTGGGTCGTCTTCCAGGCTGTTGATGAGAGTGTTCAAAGTGAGCACGTTTGCCCGAATATTTGCCTGAGTTTGTCCTTTAAGCCCTTTGAAAATTATCTTTTTGTTATGGTTCTCTACAAAATACTAGGGGAAATTAAAAAGATCCCAAAGGACAACCCAGTTGCAGGCTGCATCCGGCCGAGAAGCACACGCGCCTGCACCCACCGCCCACCACAAGAAGCCAAGGCGGAGCTGTGAGAAATGACATCCGCCTGGGTAGTTGTCAAAATATGGGTACCCTAAATATTAGGTGCCGTACTTTTATAGGGACCCAAAAAGGGACACTAATTTTGACAACCACCCGCCTGTAGGATCATGCGTTGCATCTTTGAGAGGGTCGAAGACGCAGTTTCCCAGTGACTGCAACCAGCACAAACGTTGAGGATGGAGTTGTGCGTGATGGTATCCGAAGAGACAGCAAGATGACCAGATGCTTCGAGCAGATCTCGAGCTACCCGCCACGAAGCGACCTTCTCGCAGCTGTTCAGAGCTGTGTTGAAAGAGAAACGATCCTGCTTCAGTGCGGCAACTTTCATGTTCTTCAAGAGCTCAATGCCACCCTGCCATCGAGCATCGTCGCACATGCTCAAGGCTGTGTTGTAGGTGACGACATCTGGCTGAATCGCATGTGGTACCATGCAAGCAAACAGCCAGCCAGCTTGCGCCCATTGGTGACACTTCAGGCAGGAAGCCATTGCGGCATTCATAATGAAGGAATTTGCGCTGAGGGCTTCGTCTTTCAAGCTTGTGACGTGGCAAAGGGCCGTCTGCCACTGCTCTCCAGTGCGGCATGCAGATATCATCTTGCAACATCTCTTCAGCCTGGCTGAACGGTCTGGCTGCATTCCGGCTCTCGCTGCGTCGGACAGCTCAGGCTCAGAATGTCGCGACCGGCTGTGCCAAGATCCTGCTACGGCTTGAGCATGCTTGAGCCGGCGGCGACCTAACGAACTTTTTCAGCGTGGTTCCGTACGACGATACACCCTACACTGCCCTACATTTCAGCTGCAGCAGAGAAGGCGCAATATGGCGCAATGTGCGCTGGGCGGAGCGGTTTTTTTTTTTTCCTAGGTCTGGCCCTCCCCGGCTTGCTTTCCTAAGTCTGGCCCACTGGTTGTGGTTGCCAACAGCGGCAACTGCGGTCTTTGCTGCATCAAGCTATTGGGGAACTAGAACTTGACGGCTCTGGTTTTGCTTCTGTTTTGCATGAAGCTATTGGGGAACTACAACTTGCGGAGTCTGATTTTGCTTGTGTTTAGCATGAAGCTGTTGGGGAACCACAAGTTGCAGGGTTCGGTTTTCTTTGTGTTTTGCATGAAGCTATTGGGGAGTTCGCATTTGCAGGGATCGGTGTTGCTTGTGTTTTGCATCAAGCTATTGGGGAACTACAATTCGCAGGGTCTTCTTCTGCTTGTGTTGTGCTTCAAGCTATTAGGGAACTAGAATTTGCGGTGTGTTCTTCTGCTTGTGTTTTGCATGAAGCTATTAGGGAAGTACAATTTGCGGTGTGTTCTTGTGCTTGTGTTTTGCATCAAGCTAATGGGGGAACTACAATTTGCGGGGTCGGCTTTGTTTGTGTTTTGCATCAAGCTATTGGGGAACTCCAATTTGCAGAGTCTTTTATTGTTTGTGTTTTCCATCAAGCTAATGGGGAACTAGCATTCGCAGGGTCTGGTTTTGCTTGTGTCTTGCATGAAGCTATTGGAGCACTACAATTTGCAGGGTCGTGTTTCGCGTGTGAATATTGCGGGATTACAATTTCAAATCTTCTGTCTTGTGTCGTTGTTTTTTGGTGTCGTTGTCGACATCCTCGTCATCGTCGTCGTCATCGTCCTCGTCGTTGCCGTCGTGGTAGTTGTTCTTGTTGTTGTTGTTGCTGTTGCTGGTGTTCTTGTTGTTGTTGTTGTGGTTGTCGTGGTGGTTGTGGTTGTGGCTGTTGCTGTTGTTGTTGTTGTTGCTGTTGTTGTTGGTGGTGGTGTTGTTGTTGCTTGTTGTGTGTTGCTTGTTGCTTGTTGCTTGTTGCTAGTTGTGTTAGTTGCTAGTTGTGTTAGTTGTTTAGTTGTTAGTACTTAGTTGCTAGTTGCTAGTTGCTAGTTGTTAGGTGTTAGTTGTTCGTTGCTAGTTGTTAGTTGTTGGTGCTAGCTGTTAGTTGTCAGTCGTTGGTTGTTATTTGTGAGTTGCGAGTTGTTAGTTGTTTCTTGTTAATTGTTAGTTGTTTCCTGCTTATTGTTCCTTGTTTCTTGTTTGTTGTTTCTTGAAAGGGGTGAGGGATCAAAAAAAAATTAAATAAGGATCAAAAAATTAAATGGAAAGATCAAAAAAATTAAAATAAGGATCAAAAAAATTAAATCGCTCAAAATACAGCAATTCCTGGGGCAGAGGCATCAAAAAAAATTAAGATAAGGATCAAAAAAAATTAAATCACTTAGAATACATCAATTCCTGAATTTTTCCAAGGGAAAACACTGTTTTCCTAGGGATTTTCTTTTGTTTCCTTAGGATCTGTTTGGTTTTTCCTCTGGAAAACACGATATTCCTGCGGATTCCGTGGTATTTCCCTAAGTTTTCCTTGATTTTTCGTAGGAAAAAGCCTATTTTCCTCTTACCTATGGCGTTCGTGTCATTTCTTCAGGTTTTCAGAAGGACAACATATGGTTGTTCCTCGGGAAAATCAAATTTTCCTTACAATTTCACATTTAGGACGGATTTCCTGTTGTAGCTGTTTCTGGTATTCCGCTTCATCATCTATCTTAAACACGCCCCTCATTTGGCGATTCTGGTTCAGCATGTATTTACAAGGGCGGAGACGCCCTCATTTGCTGGGTTTCAAAAAAAGGCATATGCTTCAAAGCAACCCTGCACGGCTTAAAACAGCGGGGGGGTTGGGGGGGGCGCAGCCCCCCCCCATTTGCAGAGACAACGTTCACATGATGGGCTTCGAAAACACTCTTTGAATCAAGCTTGCACGTCTCGAAAAGCGCGGCGGCGGGTGTTGTGTTCTTCCGTGCCTGTTCGTGTCTCTTCTTCCGTTAGCATTCTAACCTAATATATATATAACATAGTAAACCAGAAGAACGACATAAGATGGTTCGACAACACAAAAATGGTGTGACATTTTCTGACATAACAGAACCTTGCTTCTTATAGCATATAATAGCATACTAAAAATACAACAATACAATATAACGGAAGATGACATAGAACAAAACAACATCTTAGTTTATAGTGTAGTACATTGTAACATAGTTCAATACAGTGTGTATATTTACAACATAATATGTAGTATATTTTATAACATTAGGTTACATTATGTTATATTATGTTACGGTACATTACGATATTATGGTATATTCGATTGGACTATGTAGTATCCTGTTGCTTGTATCTTTGTTTCTGTGATTATTTCATATTATTTCTCTTTCGTCTTTTCCAACTTTGCTTTTTTATTCTGGACTTTCTTTCTTTCGCTCGTTCATTTATTTTCTTTCTTTCTGTTGTTCTTTCTTTGTTCATCTCATACTCCCTTCCTTTCTTTCTTGCTTTCTTTCTGGTTTGATTTATTTCGTTCTTTCTTTGGCTCGTTCTTTCTTTCGTTCTTGCTTTCGTTCTTTCTTTCGTTTTTGCTTTCGTTCTTTCGTTCGCTCTCTCGTTCTATCTTTCTTTCTTTCTTTCTGTTTTCCTTTCTTTCGTCCTCTTTAGATACAGCAATTGTGGAATTTTTCCCAGGGGAAACACTGTTTTCATACGGATTCGTTTTCATTTCCTGAGGATTTGCTTGGTTTTTGCTCGGGACAACACGATTTCCCTACGGATTCCGTGGTATTTCCTTAAGTTTATTTCTTTAGTTCTTGCTTTCGTTTCCTCTTGTTTTTGCGTTCTTTCGTTCTCTCTCTCGTTCTTTCTTTATTTCTGTCTTTCTTTCTTGCTTTTTAGATACAGCAGTTCTTGAATTTTTAAAGCACAATGAAGCGATAGTCTTACGTATCGTTCTTCTTTATTTTCCGCGTCTTTCTTGTTCCTTTAACTATTTCCGTTTTCTTTCTTAATTTATGGCCTTCCGTCTTTCTTTATTTCTCTGTTTTTGTTCTTTGGTTATTTCTTCATTGTTTGTTTTGTTTTTGTTTCTAACTCTCTTTGGTTCTTTCCTTGTGTTTTCTTTTTTCTTTCCTTATAGCTTGCTTTATTTACTTAGTTCTCTATTTTTGTTTTCTTTCTTTACTTGTAGCTTTCTTTATTTACTTATTTCTCTATTTCTTGCATGGCTTTCGTTCTTTATTTATTTCTTTCTTTCTTTCTTTCTTTTGTTCCTTATTTCTTTCTTTCGTTGTTTTTTGTATTTTTTTAAAGTTCGTTCTTTCTTTCGTTATTTCTTTCTTTCTTGCTTTCTTTCTTCCTTCCTTTCTTTCGTTCTTTATTTCCTTCTTTCTTTCCTTCTCTCTCTCTCTCTCTCTGTCTTTCTTTCCTTCCTTTTTCCCCTTCCTTTCGCGGATACCAGTTTATTTTGTTTTTGATCCTTAATTAATTTTTTTTGATCCTTATTTCATGTTTTGATCCTTATTTAATTTTTTAAACCCCTATCCCTTTCTTGATTTGTTGTTTGTTCTTTCTTGTTTCTTGTTAGTTGTTTGCTGTTAGTTGTGTTAGTTATTTAGTTGTTTGTTGTTAGTTGTTTGCAGGTTTGAAGGTTCAGGGGTGCAGGACCAGGAGAGACCAGGGGACCAGGGAACCAGGGACCAGGGGACGACCAAAGGACCAGGGGACCAGGGACCATGGGACCAGACCTAGCAAGGCCCCCCAGACCAGGCCAGACCTAGGAAAAAAAAAACAGAGGACCCATGTGCGCTGATGGTGGCAAAAAAACTAGTTGTTTTGAATGCCGAACTTCCTACTGCTGCTTCATCATGCCCCCTTTGACTCGATGTGCATTTTTTTCGAAGCGTCTCGCTGCATGCCCTGATAGTCATCATTTCCAGACGCGGCGGCAGCTGAACTAGCAGCAGCTGCTGACATGACGACTCAAGACTCTCAAGAAGTGTACAAATAGGTACCACGTCTAGCCGCAACGGCGGTTGTGATCGTTGATACCTCCAGTACAAAATCAGACCTCGCTGCCATTGCGTGCTGCGCCAAGCCTGCAAAGCAGCAGCATAACACCCCAAGTTTATTTATCTCCAATCTCACGTGCTCTGTTTGTCCCCATAAAGACACAGGTGTCTGCCAGTGCTTTGAGCCACATGCACTGATGGCCGTGCCGTAGGTCACAACGTCGGCCTCTAAACTGGAGGACTAGCTCCATGATAAGCTGCAAACACAGGTGCAAATGCCCGGTCTTGCCGCAGCCAGACATTGCTGTAGTTTTTTGCCTCCTGCATGGCTGAGTACACGAAGCAGGGAGTCATTGCTGTAGTGAAAGTACTGGTAGTTCTTGGAGGTTCATGGGTAGTTATAAGTAGGGTTATAAGTCCCCTAATAAGGGTTGTAATTAGAGTTACCCTACTTATAACCCCACTTATAACTGCCCATGAACCTCCAAGTTGGCGGGGTCTGGATCTTTGGGAGGACCTTGCAGAGCTGCAGCGCGGCGATCCGCGCAGAACACTTTGCACAGTCACTGGCTGCGGCGTTGGAGGTGATGGCGTCTGCTTGCACTCCAATCTCGTAGCGCCAGGCCAAAAGAGAAGCAACTTGCGACTACTCTTGCATCCACTACCGCTCCGAGCCACTCTCACGCGAGTTTAGGCGTTTAAGCCTTTCGCTTAACGACACATTGCAGATTGCAGTCCATGCCAAGAGCACCCTGCAACTGCCCCTACTGTCGCCGGAAACATGGGGTGCAAGCGCCAGAAACTGCAACTACGAGTAGTTCTCACTTGTCTGCACCACGCTTCGAATCTGGGATCCCCTATTCCAAGGCCCTACAGTAACTGAGACCCCTCGCAGCCGAGGCACTTCCTCGACCTCGCCAAAAGCTGCCAGAAATTGACCCAACTCCTCGGTGCCCTTCTCGAAAGGCAAAGGATCGACAAAGACCTTTGAAGCGGTCTCTGGTGGCTCTACCCAGAAGCGCCATAGTAGCTCCTTTTTGGGAATACCTCGTAAGATTCTAAATATGAACCCCCACAAAGAACTACTTTGGGGCCTTGGGTAATAGCCATAAGGTGCCCTCGTTAAGTCTAAGTAGTCAACCGCGTGGTCAGAGCGGGCTACTTCTCTCCGGCCTCCTTGTCTGTTGGCAAAGCAGCCACGTCAGGGCGCACCATGGGAATCTCATCGAGGTACAGGCAGAAGTCTTGTGGCGGAGTGACCTGGCCATCGTCGACTAGCCTACTGGGCCTACTGACCAAGAACAGATCTGAAGATATGGGAGTTTCCGAAAATTAGGGTACCTTAGTTTGGAGTCCTTATAATAAAGATCCTACTATTTGGGGTATTATATTAGGGTCCCCTATTTTCGGAAACTCCCATATCTGACAGTCTGCAACTCTTTCGAAGCTGAGGAGTACGCAAAGTCATCTCGCTCCTGCCGGACTCCCATCATTCGAGCAGCAAGGCTTCAATCATTGCTGCCATGTCGGAATGAATAAGAATACCTGCGAATTCTTGCACCCGGCTCCGGCGGATGGACTCGCCAGCAGTCAACCTTATCGCAAGCAGCGCCCCAATGACCTCGGTGCGCAATCAAACTCGCAGCTTTCGCCTTTCGCTACGCCTGTCAAACGGCCTCGACCCTTGCAAAAAGAACGCCCGGGATTGCTTGGCATGCCGAGGTGCACATGGCTTTCAGGGGATTGAGGTCGATGGCACGGCCGAAAGGGTGCAAATACCTTGAACTCATCACAGCAAACGACTCTGTCGAAGACTGAGTTGCTGGCGGTGCATGTGGACTGCCCCACCATTCACTTCACATTCACTTCACTACATGTGGCTTCGTCCGCGCGTGTATTAAATACAAACCACATTCTGCTCCGGTACCACTACTCAATTAATGAACAGCCACTACCCTACGACGACGACGATCTCGAATGCAGCGACGACTGTTGAGACAACAAGGGTACCAAATGTACCGCTTACCAACATGATAACTGTTCTTCGTTTACTGGTTGATGCAGTCTTGATTGAGCACGATGAGTTTCGTTGCCAGGGCGGTCTTGACCACGCAAAAGATTGTGGCGAACAAGACGATGACGATGATGATGCTACTGCTGTTTCCAGTCTCGGCAAGACCGCTGCTATATGTTGTGGCTCACACTGTCGCATGCATCAAGCCTTGCCCAACGTTGGCCTGAGTGTGGTTTGTAAGCACCTGACCAGCAGCCCGCGCGCTCGCATGATGAGCCGTACTTGCAGATTTCATTACGACCTGAGCGAAGGAGACGTAGGGTTTGTGCTGTCTCGCTCGGACTATCCAGGCGAGGCTTGTCAGGGTCGCAGGCTCCCCTGTGCATCTTACACCTCCAGCCCGGCCATGAAACGCTGTCCCAGTTTTGCAGTCAGCGTTTACTGCTGTACTCGGAACATGTGCTGCCTTCCGACTACGCAGCATTGTCTGACTCACACCGCAGGACCTGCAGGAATTGATATTGGGGTATCACTCGAAGTTGCGAAACGGGCCAGTTACAGTTTTGGAGTGAGAGCTTAGGATATGTGCCAGAAAGTGTCGGCACACTTGAATGTCTTTCGTAGAGCTTCATACTTCTCGACACCGGAAATCAGTGACGACCCCGACGTTCGTGTCGAACCTTAGGCCTTATAGGCATGTCTGGGCAGCCTAGACCTTTCATATGCCCATATAGGTCTAGCTCAAGCTCCTTATCCCGCCGTGAGAAACCTCGCCAGGAGGCCTGGAACAGGCTGCACGGCCTGACGAAGAGAGTCCGACACCTCGGGAGCTCTCCTCTCCAGGCCCCATCGTAGAACACGGCTGTCACGGCGTTGCTGGTTTCTGGTTGTTTGGTTGAGTTTCCGGATTGGGTTCTGTTTATGTTCTTAGATGTTCAGAGGGAGCTGATTCATGTTATGGTTTTCTCGTATCAGATGCGTTGGATCCGAGAGACTGGAAGCCGCGGAGGTGGGAAAGCGAACGGCCTCGGACGCGTTGCGGTCCTTGGTTGCACCGAGACAGTCCGAAAACCGATGCACTTCTTGAAGACAGCCTAAAAGCGAACTCCATAAATCGCACCAGCAGCGACATCAGCCAGGTCTAGAGATGCAATTAATCAAGACCAGGCAGCAACCATGCATGGGGCAGAGATGCAGCAAACGTACAGCGAGGTACGGTGAGTGTTTTGAGTTCATTTCCAGCTTGAGAACTGCACCCCCGGGGTTTTGAAGGAGCTATCTCTAAAGCTGTAGCAACTAGCATGACAACAGGTTGACATGGACGGCCGTCGCTACAATAGCGCCACGACGTCCAAACTCTCAACTCTCTAGCAGCTCTAGCAGGATGAAGATGGATGACGTCTTGCGGAACGAGGAGACTTCGAGTGACGGCCGCGTACGCTTCGAGATGGCAGTTACCGTTGCACCAGTTACTGCTCCTGCAAATGAGGTAGGTGTGTAGGTCGGGTAGGTAGGTGTGTGTGCGTCTGCGCCGAAGTCGAGACACAATCAGCAGCAGCCGCGCTCTTGCGAGTGGAAAAAATCCGGGGTTGCCTGTCCTGAAGGACAAATTCCTCAAACCCCCAAGCCTACGTCCTTCATCCTAAATCTTACTTCCACCCTAACTCTGTGAGAGACGAGAGTCCCTGGAGGCAGTGACGGAGGCTGCGCCTTGGGAATCGTAACCTTGGCTGCGGGCATGAGACTCGGCCACACCCATCGGTCTAACACAGAATAGGGCTTGGGGTATACTATACTATACTCTCAAAAAAGGAACCCCCAAAAAAACCCTGTTCTAATTACTAAGGACTTCTTGTTGCGAGATGATTGCCTTTGTACTATAATGTGTATGAGCCTGGACATGAATAGCTTTCAGCTTCACTGTCAGTCCTGCTGCCCGGCTGTTGCTGTTACTCTGCTACTATTTACAATATTAACACTACCGCTACGACGACGACATTGACGACCGACGGCAGACTAACACCACCACCGCCATCGCCACCCTTATCGCCATCATTACTGCTTGAGCACGCCCATGTCGTTTTGTGAGGGGGCTGCTTGGGTTTACATGATTCAAGACTAGTGCTACTACCAGTCGCAGCCCGCATCGCAGCTGGTGAGCCTGAGGAATGAAATCGCAAACCGCTCCTTTCACAAATTGGGGTTATTCTCACTGATTTGCCGAAATGGCACCTGTCCTCAAACCTATGGTTGCCTCTCGGCGGGTAACCGGATCTCTGACCCTCACTAATATCTATAGACTTTATACATATATATATATATATATATAATATTTTATTGTATTATATCATATCATATATATATATATATCATATGTAATAATATTATATATATATACACACATAATTAGGCAACGGCGCCTGCGCCACCTGGACTGGACGAACTTGTGCACCTGGGGCCCGGGGTGGGACACCTGCGCGAAGTTGAGAGAAGTCGTAATTACTTATTACTTATAACCCCAATTAAGGGACTTATAACCATACTATAATTAGGGTAACTATACTTATAACTGCTTATAACCCCAATTAGGGTACTTATAACCATACTTACAAAGTCCCATGATCCTCCAAGTATAAAGGCATAATGAGAAGTCGTGGCAAACTGTTCCATTGTCGCTGCGCACACCTGACTGCACGGCCTACCCAGGGACTCCAATATCCCTTAATTAAGGAATATACCTTAACTCATATTGGGGGTCCCAGTATAATTTAAGGTATATTCCTTAATTGAGGGGTATTGGAGTCTCTGGGTACATCTGGCTAGCCCAGGACTTTACGTCATTTGCAGGTGTATTGCTGTGCGACACGAGCGGCCCCTTCCCTGAAAGGCTGGAGGCGGCTCCATGTTGAAGCATGACAAGGCTTGGCAAGGCTGTGAGTTGCTGCAAGGTGCTGCTCGGATGGTCAACGTTAGGATCAAGATGATCCCCTAAAGTTAAAGAACTCTTTGCCACGGTCGCATTCGAGCTTGCGAATATGCGCACACATGAACCAAACGACTCCTGAATCTGGAGTATCGGGCACTGCACGACTGCTGAGTCTATGGGCCATTCAACGCCTCAAACTTTACCTCCAAGCAAAAGCGGACGCCCGTGTTGATGCATGATGCCACTTGTTGAGGCACGTGCTTGCCCTACTCGTCTCAAGTAGCACAGGACAGCAGATCTTCGCAAACGCATGCCATCATCGCTTGGTTTGAAACCTTGCTGGGTGAAGCGAACTTCACATGTGATGGCACTGCTCACTAGAGATGACTTTACAGCACGTCTCCATGTCAGGTCGGGGTCGTCCCTTACATCGCGGCCAGTCCCGACATGTCGGGCCGGGACTTGGCGCCTCCTTGCAGGTCACTTGCCTCGCAAACGATCGTGGATCGTGACAGTTATCAGAGCAAATCAGGGCAGTTTGGGGCGACAGTCTGCAACATGGCGGCAGCGCTTGGCCTTCAAAGAGAGTCGGCTCAGCTCGCTGGCCTTGGGTTTAGCCTGAAACACGCGATCAGGCACAGGAGCTTGCACACCGGAATAGAGATAGGAATAGATTGCTATCTGAGCTACGAGCACAAGTTGTCTGAAGCATCCGCACTTGGCCCCGGGTGCGGAATTGCCCCCGTGCTTTGCGCGAGGAGCATCGAAGAGCCACGTCACCCCCGGCCTATGCTTTGGGAGCTTCCTGAGGATGATCCACCTGAAGCCGTAATCACGTAATCAACTGCGACGCTTAGCATTTGACGTCGGGGTTGTCTCGAGACATAATCCACCTAGATCCCAGCTTAGACAATGGAAGCTAGAAAGTGGCAGCCAATGCCCTAAGCCCTAAACCCCTAAACCTTAAACCCTAAGCGTGTGGCATGCAGACAGGCGGCTGCTCGCCCTATTGGGATGCCAGTCGTAGTACCCTTCGCAGACCGCACCAGGAACGCGAGAATCTGACATGCGACTCCTAGCTGCTTGTACCACATGCACAGCATGTTCCAGCCTGCACCCCGGCGACGCTGAGCTCACCTGAGGTCATATGGAGTACAGAGACATGCTGTCGCTAGAGGGCAACACTGCACTTTGACCTCAGCTCGTGTTGCAGCACTTCCGGGATCTCGCAGAAAATGCTTTTGCAACAAAAGGAACGCAACGCTTCGTGAAGGACGAGATGCGACTTTCTTCATGTCTTCGAAACATGTAGACCAAGCTGAGTATGGCCCAGAGAGTCCAAGCAAATTTACCTCACTGTTCATACGTGCCACTCTTGTGAAGATCTGGATGCTCGACTAGCCAGCCGACGAAGTCACAGCAAGAGTGGTAGACATGAAACACAGCAGCTGGGTAGGAGCAGCAACAGCGGTGATGGCAGCAATGCAGGGGGTAGTGGGAGTAATAGTTGTCGCTGGCGCAGCAGCGGTACTGGTAGTGGTACTGGTGGTGGTGGTGATGGTGTTGGTGGTACTGGTAGTGGTCGTAGCAGCTGCAAAAGCCAACAGTCGAGTGTTGGCACGTCGCAGTTTAAACGAGTTTCCGGGGTAGAGTGTTTCCTGCCTGTTCGATTCCTGTTGTAGTGTTAATTAGTCTTTTGAGCAAGTTGAAAACATGGACAACCCATGCCGCAAACCATCGTCTGCACGAAAACCGCAAAACAACTCAAGGTTGTTGCACACTTTCTGCAAACTCCTGTAAAAACGAGCGGCACACCCTGCGCGGTGGCAGACGCGCCCACTGCCTTTGTCCTCCTTGTAGTGGTGGTAGTAGTGGTGGTAGTAGTAGTGGTGGTAGTGGTAGGAGTAGTAGTACTAGTGGTGGTAGTGGTTGTGCTACTGGTACGAGTAGCAGTAGCAGTGGTCGTCGTTGTTGGCTGTTGCCGTTGTTCTTAACGCAATCGTGATCGTCCATCTGCTCCTTGTCAGATCTTTTTCTACGGTTGCCGTGGTGGTAGCAATGCTAGTGCTGTCGTGGCAGCAGTCGGCAGTAATCGTCATAGCTGTCTATGACATACGCAGCAGAAGCAGTACTGCAGCAGCAGCAGCAGCAGCCCCAACAGTCCCAGAGATGATTCACCACAAGCACGTGCGCCCAGAGTCAGCGCGGGGACAGACCTGCTTGACACATGCGAGTATAGCTGTGTGCCAAGTTGCCCAAGTAGGCTGCGATAAGAAAAACCCAATCGTGTTGTGTCGCTGGGGCATCAGAGTAGTTCTCCTTCAGGTCGATGTAGCCTGCATGCAAACAAATACTACATCGTACATTGGTACAAAGTTTAGAGGATATGACACATATTGCGCGTGTACAGCCTTTGATATTTCCTTTCTATTGTGGCCTGAGGCCGGCGGGCCTCCAACCCCCAAGGTTTGGTAGAGCAGCGTTAGCATGACCTTGCCAAGGACGCCGCTTCTGTGCAGCCAGGGGCTCTTCACATTGGCCGCGCTTCGAGGTTCATGGGTAGTTATAAGTGGGGTTCTAAGTAAGGCAACAATAATAGCTATAACTTATACAACTTATAACCCGCATTGGGGGACTTGTAACCCTACTTATAACTACCCTAAACCCTAAACCCCCATACCCTTATAGAATCCCTATAGATCCCTTTAAAGGAGCCCTTATAACTACCCAACAAACCTCCATGTCTGATCCTTCAGCCAGGGAGATCGCCGAGGCCCAAGCATCGCCGAGCGTCAAGCTGGCCGCTTTCTCGCATCCTTGGGCTTTGAGTTTAGGGTTTTTAGAGTTTATAGGGGTTTAGTGTTTAGGGGTTTAGAGTTTAGGGTTTTTTGGGTTTTGAGTTTAGGATTTCGGCGCTCTCGCAACTCAGAGGCATCCAAACCAGGTTCTTGGTTCGCATCAGCAACTACAATGGGCACAACTGAGTCGGTCTGAATCGTGAGGTTTAGGGTTTAGGGGTTTACGCTCTCGCAACTCGGACATGCCTGACGAGGTCTCTGGTGCGGTGTACTTTGACTGATCGGCACTAGCAGCTGATTGTCTTTAGAACTAAACTACGACAAGCCGATCTACCATTGCAGCGGGGCTTCGTTTGCTAGTTCACTCCACTACTTCAAAGCTGTGCCTCATCTTTTCCGGTGGGCTGGTTTTTGATCCGTAGACACGCGAAAGACCATGGTCGTCAAGCATGTCGACCCTCTCTGCTCCGTTGAGAACATGCACAACAAGGACTTGCTCGAATGGTAATTGCAATTAGCCTTTCCAAAACATCATACGAATGCTTGCCCACATGGTTGCCCAGCGAAGTTAATGGCCATCTACTACAGCTTGCCATGTATCACCTGAACAAAGATAACACAGGTAATATGGCTTTCCGAACCTACCGAAGCGATTTCGGATTTGGGTTCGCCATGCCAAAACCGCACGATGAAGAATCAGTCAGTTGGTCGACATTTCAGACACATTCACATGCTCCCTCTCTTGCTGTCTCTCTTCGTCGTCTTGCGATGAAGGGTCATAGAACTTCACTGCTATGACACAAGCCATAGGCAGCACAACCATCCTTTCGGACATAACCCGCTTCAGCACAGCACTGGAAGTGAACTTGACCTTCTGCTGCCTCACTACCAACGAAACGCCGCCAAATAGCGGTTTTGCCACGAAGAGTCCTGGCAATTACGAGGAAGCGTGCCTCGGAAGATCGCGCTGCGCGTGAACTTCCCCCGAGCAGTTGTGATAATGCTTGCCAGGCTGCCGTAGACAACAGCCACCAGGACGAGGAAGATCGGAAGTATCAGCAGGTGCCTTGACAACAGAAGCAACCAATTTTCCAGCAAGAACCCCCGCAAGATCCTCAATCACAACACTGAGTCGGAGAGCTTCCATGGCAGTCCCCTCCGAAGACTCCCAAAACTGCCAAACTTCTATCTGCTAGGCCGAGAAGCAACCCAAGGAAGATGCAGCACGACACTTTGGTCGTCCTTGGCCGGAAGTATGTGTCGCAGCTTCAGGGAACGACTTCTAGGGACTGCGACAAACAGGGCAGAGGCCACTATAGTGACTATAGTGCAGTGCCGGCAAGAATCTGAATAACCAACTGCCGCATTGATGCACTATGCATGGGAACAGCGCCATGTACCCAGATCTCGAAAACGTCTCGTAAAATCCTCCCTGCTAGAAGGTGTGCTGTCGTCTGCGAGTTAGCCTGGCCAGTTCAGCGAAACCCCAATCACATGGAATTACCGCGGTGCACATAGGACGCCTTGGTGACAGTAGCTGGCATGACTGAAGCCCGCGACAGATTCTTGTGAGCTGGTACGGCGTCGATGCACGCCATCATGGATGTTGCATGACATTGCGCATGTTCTGCATACGGCGCAGAGACATCAACAGACCGAAGCTCCGTGAATATTTCCGTTCAGAAGCCTGAAGGATAGGGCGTTTCCAAACTATGTGAAGCTAGCAGGCACTTCATGGGCATCGTGCGGTGATGTTCCTTGCGGGTTTTGACGTAACACCGAACAACTGCGAAAGAGCAACGACAGGGGTGAGACTCCTACATGCACCGGTCTCTCTGCGGCACGCCTCTTGCGAGACCTGAAAACGGCGTGCCAGCTGCCTACGGGACCAATTAAGTCACCGTGTCCGCCATCGGTGCTGTTATGTACATGCAGTTCCAGACAACCCCCTACGCATTCGTGCACCAACCCATCTGATGACGGACGCTCTCATATTGCCCACCAGCATGTGCTTTGCACTCTCCGGAGGATCTTCTTTCACACTTTTGACCTCTTCTAGTCTTCGCCTTGGCCTCTGCTATACTGTGCTGTGCAGCACATTGCGCTGCACACCCTGCAGATCTCTGGAGACCCATGTTATTGCTTGCAGCTTGTAGCCTCCGAGATCTGCAGGCAGCTGTTGCGCGGCCGACAGACCTCTCGTGTTCTTCTGGAGGGCCCCCAAGGGCCCGCGAGCATCTGGCAGCTTCAAAGCGTGCTGCAACTAATGTGGGGCTCTGTTGGTCCCGTTACATGCTATAGCTTCCTACATCCTCACCAACAGCCTTCCGCCCTCCTGCCAGTCAAGGAGAAAGAGCTGCACTCAACAGGCTACTTCCTTTCCATCGAGGTCAGTATACACGGGCTAGACATTGCTGGATGCCAGATTCTGCCAGATCATTTGGCCGAGAAAGAGAGCTTTGTCGTACGTATTGCGTCGGGTAATAGTACATAAACCCTTCAATATTGAGCCTCCCGCGATTCTCAGAAATCACACAACAGTGTCGCAAGGTCACGCTCTCGTCCGATGTGGCAACTTTACGCCAAAAAATACCGGCGGACCCTTACTACTAGGAGTGGGAAAAGTTTATCACACGTCATGATCGCAAAAACTATAAAGACAGATTCATTAGAAGCTGCCCCCACCCTGTAATAGGACTACAAGGATTATATTAGGGCCCTATGATATTCCGATTATACCACTATTACAGGGTGGGGGCCCCTTCTAACAGATTCAGGACAAATGAGGCCCATGCACCAAACTAGTCCGCCCTTGGCCTTAAAGTCGCCCCTATATTGGTACTTTATACTCCGAGGGCTCCGGAGATCCGGAGGTTCACTCAGGACATCCCAGGACCCAGGTTTCCCAATATGCTACTTGGAGGTTCATGGGTAGTTGGAAGTGGGGTTATAGGTTCCCTAATAGGGGTTATCACCATAGTTGCCCTATTTCTAACCCCTCTTGTAACTCCCCATGAACCTTTAGGTACGGAAACCCTCGGCTTTGACGTTGCAGCCTTTGCTTTGCCTAGATGCAAGAAGATGCAAGTTGGTTCTTCGGCGCCAGCAAGCGCCAGCAGACACCCGCAATTTCTGGCCGCAGGAACTTTCTTTGGCAGAACTTGTCTGCTAGCTTGATCTCGCGGCAGTGGCCGAGATTCGACTTCTGAAAAGAGCAGGCATCGGCATCTGAGTCATCAGACCGCCTGGCTCTGTTGAAAAGCGAAAGACGGTCAAAGAGGTTTTGCCGGACCGGCAGCACGCAGCTTTCAGCGCTTACTCGTTCATATTGAACATGCCGGTTCCGAAAAGCTAACCCTCGTGCACTGTACAAGGTGTGAGGATGCTCCTCCGTACAAGGAGCGCTGCGAGGTCGGCAAGCTCCGGCACATCAGATCTGTAAACCGGCCCCGCAGATCTAAGCTCGGCCCCATGCACATGAGCTTTAAAATTTGAAGCAGCGATGGGCTGCTTGTTCTGATTACACTAGCTGGAGCACTGGGTGATTCTCCCACACACAGCGCCGGCAGAAGCAAGGGATCTGCGGATCTTTGCCTGCACGGGGTAGGCTGCCCAGGCTGCAGAGTGTCTCTCTACCTACACTCCCGCACAAACATGCTTGGACAGGCATCATTAGTATGCTTGCACAATCTTGGAGACTGTCCACACTCCGCTACGTCTGCTACGGCCAACTTGCTCCAGGCAGGACACGCATCTCCGATCTGTACTGCTCCTGCGCGCGACTGGACGGAGAATCTTTTGTGAGGTGATCTCCGGGCATTTTATTGTCGGCTACTATTTTGGGCGTGACCCGTCTCTGGTCGTTCTCTCTTATCTTCTCGCGGTGTCTGTCTGGAGGGTTTTTCGCCAGGTATTGTGACGGGAGTTGCATCCAGCTTCAGGAGGGTGGATTCAGGAAGCCAGGTGCTGGTTTGTTCAGGGGTCATTCTCTGCCAAAGGCTCGAGGGCAGGAGTGTGAGGTATGATAGAAGTAGCAAGCATGCGACATGAATTCGTAGTAATGACTATTGAGGGTGTTGACTGTCACAGTATAAGGATTAGGGAATGCCTGGCTTAGGGTCAGCCTTTGTTGCGGCTCAGGGCCATTGGAACCCTGCCGCCTTCGATTCTTGAAAACCCTCCCAAAGTGGTGCACCCTCTCGCGACACCAGTGGCAAGTCCGTCGTTCTGCTTTCTCACTTTCCAGTGTGACATCCTCCTGTGCTCCGGCGCTATCAGTAAAACTTGTTCTTAGATGCTGATGCTTGCTGCTGGTGAGCGTGCAGGAATGTCATGTGTTGGAAAAGCACATCGGGATGTCTACAAAGCCGTGCGACGCTGGGGACGGTTTGACATGCAACAGATGAGAGCAGACAGGTGGCCTGCATAATGGCGTTTTTGCAAGTTTGCAGTACTGCTGCCGTCCCTGTCTCCTTTCAAAACATGCCGCCCGGAGGGCTCATCACGAGAACAGCACCGAAGACAACGAGCAAATGACCCTGCAACGACTGATGACTCGTGGCTCCTCCAATCCATTCGATACTAGGGTGTCGCGCAAACCGCGGTGAAAGCGATACGTGAGCACAGCCTCAATTGAGACCTGATCTTGGAACATCTGTTCTGCTTCACGAACCGAACTGGACAGTCGACATGAACTTAAAGCCATGTCACATGCCCGTGAGGTCTCGCAGGATCTCTGGGAGGGGGAGCAGTTGTTGCACTCCATATCTGCGGAAGTCCTCTGGCAACGCCGCAGCTGGTCTTGAGAGCGAACACATCGAACGCTGGCGTGCTGGACGTGCTCCTAGAAACTGACCCCCAAAATTCCGAAATCGCGACTTGGACTGCCGATGTGCTTAAGTCTACTCAGGAACTCCTGCGGTGGACACTCGCGGGGCGTCACCTCGATTTTCGCACTAGTCACTACACTTCTCTGCGGGTTGTCATAGCCCTCGACATTGTGCACAAGGCTCTATGCAATTCCATAGGTTTGGTGGTTCTGCGAAATCTGCGAAGCTGCAGCACAACATTCCAAACGCCACGTCACGGTTTTGCCCCCTGGAGAGCGGGTGAAGCCAGCAGCACAAGCGACTGCCGTGCAGAAGGTGGCGAAGGAACTCCTTGGCTTCATGTTCGTGATACAACTAGGTTGTCACACATGAATAAACCGTTAGTTTCCGAAATTCCGATTTGCCTGTCATCCGACTGGTGGCGACCGACTGGCATCAGCAGGTGTCGCCAGGCGAAAATCAGTTTCAAGCCAAGTGCCAGCACTCATTGGGAGCGTCTCAATCCACTTTTCAACCGCATGTGTCAAAGCAACTCCGCATGTCAAGACAGTTGCACTCAAGCAAGCAGACACGAGACAAAGGTTGGTTAGAGGCAGGGCAGAAAGATGGAACTGCAGCTAATACCCTCAGCCAGCTCACGGCGATGGTTAAACACGTATAGACAACGACTCGTGTGAAAAGTCATCACCGCCACAATGTCACGATGTACGATTCGAATTTCTGCGGCATGCATAACCAACCCACGAGACGTTCAACCTAGCTGGATGCCAGTGCCAACCTGTGTGCTTTCCGGCAGAACATATACGTGTAAGCCATGTAGTGAATGGGGAGTTTCCCAAAACAGGGGATCCTGATATAGTGCCCTAAATACCAGGATCCTGGTTTTAAGGACCCCAGAATAAGGTGCCCCCAAAATTTCGGAAACTCCCATGTAGTGAATGTAGTGAGAGCTCTGGGACTTGTCAGCCAAAGCTCTTCTTCGTCCTCGGACTCGGACCTGCGCAGTCTTGCTAGAAGGTGTTTTTAAAGCGTTTGAAAAAATATTAGTAGGCAAGATCCTCCTAAGCCCAATAAGAGCAAATATAGAATGTCCCCAAGCCCTACCTAGCTTGGGCTCAGCCAACTTGTCACGGTTCATTTTCCCAAGGCCCGGACTCGCTGTCTGCGGATCCTCAGCTCAGCGCACACAGAAGTGCATTGCAGAAGCCATATGAAGCCGTTATGCATCTGCAGGCCAGCCGCTACATCCCGAGCTTAACCAGGCGTTTTGGTGCAATGTGCCACTGTTTAATCCCAATTGTCTCACATGAGCGTCACGGTTTCTACTCCGAGGCTCGGCTCACAAAGCTGATCGTCGACTGCTCCTCGCGAGAAACAACTTTAATTTGGGCACGCGCCTAGATGACCAAGTCGCGAGGACTCAGCACTTTCATTTTGCTCAAGTTCAGTGGCAGAGAGGGAGAGGGAGGGAGAGAGAGAGAGAGAGAGAGAGAGAGAGAGAGAGAGATAGAGAGAGGAGATAGCAAAAACATGTCATCGCTCCTGAGCAAAGGCATCCCATGCGGAAAGAGGATCGCTCTGCCCACATTGGGCTCCTGACAGCACTTCTACCAAAGGAATGCTATGGCAAACAACATTGTAAGAGAATATAAGAGAATACAGCCCCCCCAAGCCTTGTGCTGTTCTGCACACTGCCTTGTGTTTAAGTTCATAATGTAGCTGCACTACTACCGGTCTCCGTCGCTTTGCTTTTACCTCCTCTGTCTGCGCTAGTGAGGGTCTCTTACACTAGGCACCGAACCTGGCCTTCCTCTTCGATGGGTGGTGTCTCCGCGAAGAGTTCGTGCAAGGTTCGCTCCTCTTGGCCTCGGTTCTCTGAAGATGATTCCTCTCGTCGGAGGGGAGGGGAGCGGAGGGTGCCTGTTGAGGCAGTTTTGACGCTTGGACTATGGGCGGATGCTTCAGGTTACCCTCACAATGGAACTCCACCTGGCAAGGCGGAAAAACCCATCAGACCAGCTGCCTAGGCCTCGTCGTAAAGCACACGTGAGCGGTTGTCAAAATCATGGTCCCTCTTTTTGGGTCCCTAATACAGTACGGCACCTAACATTTAGGGTTCCCAAATTTTGACAACCACCCACGCGTCACAAGATTGCTTGTGCTCGAAACCAAGGCTCTCCATTCCTCTTCGTCCTTTTCCAATGGCAGTGTGAACTCTTCGGGCTTAGAACACGCCATACGAAGGAAGGGATCCGGATGTTGAGTATCACACTGGGTGGGTGCGCCTTCTGGAGGGTCAACTAAGATACGTACGACACTCTGAACTTCAGTGCTTCTGGTTTCATGGGGGCCTAGGGTACCCCAACCGCATATAATCCCGAATCCTCATCATTTATAACCCCGATAGAAACACCCTAAGCCGAACGTGAATCCCCGTGCATTTATACTAAGGGTTCGGGCTAGTGCAATACGGGGTACAGGAAGATCCACACACTACCATAGCTTTGGTTTTCTCTGATGTTAACTGGCTTCCTGCTACTCAGACCGGGCCCTGCAGTGTCCAGCACCCCTCCTGCTTGCAAAGGCTTCGAACCACATCGACCACGGTCAAAGCATCCTCGCCATCACCTAGGGAGGCCATGCCCGGAAGCTTCCCTGCACTTCTCTCTTTGTTTCGTGCTGATCGTCAGTGCTGACCCATCCCTGATTGAGCAAGGCACTCCACTGGCCATCGTCCCCACAGTCCTCGCCCATAAGCTGGAAAGCTTCCTGATCCAAGGCAGGGCGGCAGGCTTTCGCTCACTCGCTGCAAATTGGGCCTGCCCGTCTTCAGGTTCCCGCCCACGACTTTGTCGAGCAGTCCAGTTCCCAACCTCGGCCATGAGTGACTTCCTCACTGCTTGTCTGAATCTGAATCGTTCCAGGTCCACGAAGCCTCAGAAAGCCGTGATCTGGATACTCAAGATATTCCCCTTGTTTTCTTTCCAGAGGCTTACTGGAGCACTTCCTCCAAAGAGCCCGGGGGTCTCACAAGCCGCTAGGCTGCCCCGTGGCCACCATGGGCGACCACTGAAGGCTGCTCTTGAGGCGGTTCGGGCACAAACACGGGCCATGCTTTGCAGCGCGGTTTGCTCAGAGCTGTCCACTGAAGGCCGAAGCCCACTCACTCTCGTACGGCTAAAGCTTGCTCACTTTCGTCTCGGGTCGCATAGACGCTGGCAAACCACGGTCCTTGCCGAAGCCTGACATAACAGGACTGCAGTACACGGCCGCCACGGGGGAAACGTGCTTTGGCACGCTTCGTAAGCTGCCGGCGGATCAAGCCTTCCTGTGTGCAGCTCACAACCTTAGCTCCCCAGGTGTTTTGACCCAGGCGAAGCTTCACGACGGCACGGCATGCAGCGTGAACGCAGCTCTTCACCAAGCTGGTCTGTGCCTTACTTACTTCATGTCGCCACGTGGCCAACCAGCCATCACGCGTGAAGATGTGCCCGTGGGAAAGCCCGCGTGCACCCGTCAAGCGAGGCGAATACATTGCCTGTTCCATTTAGTCGAGGTCCGCTACCGTGCTGAAGCTCCGTGTAAGCAGTATCACTGTATCTGCCTCATAAAGAAGTCAGATAGTGACACTCTAGGCACTCTAGTTGATGACATAAGGCAAGTGCATAAAGAAGCCACTCGTCGGCACGCCATCTGGGGAAGGCGTGGTGGAACCACATCGCCTTGGTCACTATCAGGACCTGGAACCCTGAAACCTGCGCCAGGCGTGATTGCTGCCTCTTCTGTTTGCCAACACCTGTTTTGTAAGTGTTGTGAGTTGGCTCAGGTCAGGCGAGTCGCGTGATCCAACGAAGCCATCATAGGTCGAGCTTCCCAGAATGATTTCCAGGACATCTCCACCCTTGCTGTGCCTCACTAGAGTGGTGAGAACACGCCACGAGACTTCCACGTCCAACAGCTGGTCGACGTGATGACTTCGCCTCAAACCCTCGAACCGAAACCCAAATGCTGAGAAAGCAGCTGAGAAGGCCTGCATCACTCTGATAGGCCAGGACGGCGTGGTGCACATGCTCCTTACATGCGTGCAGGTCTTAGCCGGCAGCTTTCAGGTCCGGCCCAGGAGTACAAGCACGACTCTACGACATTAGCGAGCCATGCTTATCTTTACCAACGCAGTAGGCAGTAACAACAACCACACCACCACCACCACCACCACCGCCGCCGCCGCCGCCGCCGCCGCCGATACCAACTACTAGTACTCTATAGTACTCTAGTATATATGTCGGTCAGAACTGATGTCACCACCACTGTTCGCGCTGATCAGAAATCGCGACAAGGCTCATACATACAGAAAAAGAACTCAGCAAGAATCAGCAAGGAGACGTAGACGGCACTACTCGAAACTGTTTAGAGGAGTGCCGACGAATCGAGAACTGAGAAGCTAAGGCTCGTCATCAGGCAATCGCTCACGAACTCGAAACCAAAGCAGTTGAGACGGCATTCCCAAGCCAGATAGCGCGTACTTCACTCGCATCTGCTTAGCTTCTTCCGTATTCCTTAGGACAGGATCTGGAACTGCTAGGCTGCTAGGCACATCAAGGCATTCCAGATTTCAGAAGCAGAGCTCATGGCCAGTTGAGTGAGTCGAGAACAACACGGACGTCAATCGGATTGACATATTTTTTCCTGCCGAGGCCAGTTGAAAACCAAAGGCTTCCTCTACACCAAGGGGGCCCCTCCTATGACTCAGAATCCACTTTGCCAACGGCTGGATCTCTGGATCATGCAGGAGCTTCGTAAATCTTTCCTCTTCCTTGGCTCTGGCACAGGAAAATGCCGGCAAGCTTCGGCCTGTGAGATGAAGCTCCGGAAATTGAAGCCGATTGCTTCAACTTCTTTAATATGACTAAACGATTTTGGGTCTCCAAATCCTGATGCAGCTGGGCTGCCGTCGGCAGAGATTCGGGATCGGGGACGTCTGGCATCCGCGCTTGATGGCACACCGAATAACCTGGTCGACAACTTCGCAGACGAAAGGTCTGGTGTCTGGCGAATTCCCGTTTTGCCTATAAGACCCCGCCGAAAAAAAGCAGTTGAAGCCCCTGGGTGCACAGGGCCTTCAGGACGCTGGAAGCTCGCTTGCATGGTGAATATCCTGAGACGCACAGTCACAGAGCTCTCTCCTGCTGCTGTATGCTCCTGTCGTACCACTCTGACGACATTCGCCTTACTAATGGATCCAAGCATCCATTCTCCCTGTTGCCGAGCTGCCACAGAACGCGTGGCAAAGCTGTTTCCATCTCGAACTCGACTGATGTCCTCCGGGGAAACGAAAGAAAACTATCCTCTTCCTATACCTAGCAGCTAGCGCCCATGCGATAAAGCGGGTCCACGGACTACGTCCACAATTAACAAGCCATGTGAACCGAATGCTTTCTCTGCTGATTTGCACGAGCTAAGCTCGCAGCATACACAATGGGATGCTCAGGCTGCCCAGCCCGCACGAAGTAAGCATGCAAACCTCGTGCAAACTGCTTCTCATTCCCTCTGCTTTAGCTAGGGCGAACCTACCATGCAGGGTCAGATGCTGGAGAGTTCAGGAAAGCTGGGACACTGGGGATGTGTGCGACCCAACATTTCCAGCCGAGCAACTGTGCAGCGAAAGGCCGGGTGCCTCGTGGAGAATTCAAAGTTGTAGTCACGCTAGGCACGCTACTCTTGGCATCTGGACATGTGAAGTATCGAAGAAAGCGGGGGCGCAGCGAACAGCCAATGCATGATTAGTTGTTCGTGGTAATGAGTTGGGCTGGTACGAACAATAGGATGAAACAGAAAAAATGTCCTGCAAGCTGAGCCGCGACGGTCTGGCTGGCAGCAGCCAGAGACTGGCCCAGAACCTGCAACACGGTGGGCTTGAGCACAAAAAAATCATGCAGTCACGGAGTGCAAGATTTCAGAGAAACTCGCCTTGTGCTCGCTGAGGCCCAAGAGAGATGGGCTTTACGCTTGGCTCTGAGCTTTGTGGTTGAAGACAGGAATTGAAGCTTTCAGGAGTGTGCCTGACCGCCAAAGACCGCCCGAGCGCCAGGTGGCTTCCAGAGAATCTCGGGCTTTGCCAGGAAAAGATTCCTTGACAGACAGGGTTGGTAAGTATATTGGCAATGGAGCCTCGCCACCTTACGTGGGAGTTTCCGAATATAGTACCCTAAATAGTAGGATCCTTATCTAAAATGGACCCCCAAAATAAGGTGCCCCCTAATATAGTACCCAAATAGTAGGATCCTAATAAGAACCCCCAAAATAAGGTAATGTAGTACCCTAAATAGTAGGATACCAATGAGAACCCCCAAAATAAGGAACCCCCTAATTCCGGAAACTCCCTAAACCCTAAACTCTAAACCCTCTATAGAACCCCTATAGATCCCTTTGAAGAACCCCCCTAAAATCCGGAAACTCCCACTTGAGGCTCCGCTAAAATAGCCGGGCCACGGGTCTATGCGGTCAAGCACAATTGCCTCAAATTCGGTCACCATGCTGCCGGCTTAGGGTTTTTAGGATTTAGGGTTTAGGGTTTTTTTCCCACCCGCCCAGCTGACAATGTTCAGGGTTTTTAGGGTTTAGGGTGATTTCATCCAGCATCAGTACAGGCTCGACTTAAAGATATCTGAAACGAATCTGAGCCACCTGGAAAACATTCTGCTGTGGTGGCCCCTCTGGGGCACCTTTGCGCTGTCCTTCCAAGCTCGACTTGGTGTCTTCCTCCGACGCATCTCCTGCAGCAATTCTCGTTGACCAAGGCGGTTCAAGTCTGTCGTTGTATGTTTCAGACGATTTTGCTCATTGCTGTGCTGTCGTCAGCAGCCGTGATGAGTTCAGCGGCTCAACTTATGCCTGTGAACTGCAGACACGATCAGTTCATGACGTGTCGGTCCTGAGTCAGAGCCAGCCATGGCGAATGGCCCCGAAACCCAGCTCTGCGTGCTTGAGGCTCGGCTACGGTACATGGAAACTCATCTCCAAATTGGGAGTGGACCAGTTCAAATGTTTTGGACGGACCGAATGCAACGAAGGATGCAGGCTTGCTCAATTATAATACTAATATACTATAATTCCAATGTTCTATAATTCTAATAGACTATAATGCTAATATACTCTAATACTAATATACTATAACTCTTGTATACTATAATTCTAACATACTATCATTCTAATATACTATAATACTTATATACCAACAATAATTAGTAGTTGCGGCCAGGGAGCGAATGGGTTGCCCTCAGACATGCTGTCCAGACCTCGCCGCAGAATCACATGAAGGTCAAGGGCCTCCCTATTATGTATTTAACTCGTCGACAAGCTTAGCTTGCGCAAGGGGGCTGTGACTGAACCTCCAAACACTTCCACACAAATTCTGTGCTCGAACTCGCATCTTCCATGACACGTTTTGGGGCTCAATTCCGCAGAAATCTGTATGAACGGCGCAACGTCTCCTACTGCGTTCGGAGTTTCTTTGCTTTTGGGGTGCCTTCTCACGGGGGTTCTGCTGCTGAGGTCCCATCGCTGTTGGCGTTGTCATGTTTACCCCTTCTTGTGAACCTGGTCCACCTCATCGGCCAAGGGGCACCACTGAAAGCGTGCAGGAGCTCTCTGCACGGGTCTGCGAGACCAGCCTCGACGGTTCAGGAGAGCTTCTCCGTCTCTTGCTTTGGCTTTGAGATGGCCGCCGACTTATCACTGCAAATAGTGGTGTCTGGAGGGTCCTGCCTGCAGGAATGCGCAAGTTGATCTGCTGCTTCGGGTGCTCCTCTGACTTCTCGGTTATGTCTTTGTGATGTTCCACCTGCTTCTCTGACACCTCCGTCGCAGGAGTCGGAGATTGCACCTGCCACAAAAAGCGGCAGAGCCGCTGAGAATTTCATTGTCTTCCGGTTCTCTGCTTGCGACCGTTCGTCCTCATCATATGACCGCGGTCATGATATGCCTACTATGTGTCTAAGTTGAATTACACACAGACACATCCGTTCGCAGCTTGCAGGCTGCTGGCAGTAATTGCTGCTTCTTGTTGCGTTGCTAAGACTCCGGCCGATCTTGGCCTGGGTGTACATGTATATTGCACATTCATCACATCCATTCTGACAGGAAGCCCACCCTCCGCAGCATGCATGTCGGAGTACTGGTGCAAGCATGTCTCAGTTCTGGCAACAGTAAGTAGTCGTCGTCGCACTAGTCGGACTACAAGTTGTTACTAACATTATTGCTGTTCCGCCGCTCGAACCAGCTAGTTAGCGGCTGGTTTGCTGGTGCTTCATCCACAGGCGAACTCCTTGCAACAAGCTACTTGCTATTTCAGCTTGTAGCTGATTTCAGGTGTGTTTTCTGCGACACTTGCCCCTGCAAGCCTGCCTGTGATGCAGGCTGCTTGGCCAAGATCTTCGCCTTGAGGCCTGGCCATCTTGAATTGCTTCCACCAGCATTGACCACCAGCGTCTGTGCCTCTGCCTTAGTTCGACTTGTTGATTAGCAATGACTGGTCGCCAGAACGACATGGACAACCATTGCCACAAACTCTTGCTGTCGCTTGCTAATACTACCTGCTGCTAGCGGGTAGAAGCCATGAGAAGGCAAGCAATACTCCGCTGTTGAAGCTCATTCGCGATGGTATGGATAGCGACTGTAAATACCATGGAATGTTTCTTCAGGCACAGCAGCATACTCAGCATGTGGATGATCAGAATATGAACGCCAGTGCCGCTGTTGGAACTGAAGAATGTGCTGCTAATTTCCATAACTGCCATTTCTGCTACCGCTCGTAATTCTATTTTATTTCTACTTCTACTTCGACTACGACGACTACTACGACGACGACGATGCGACTAATTAGTAGGCACCAAGTCCTACTGCGACGAGTCGACAGTGATAGCGGTGACGACGACTACCGCTGTTACGACCAAGCAAACAGGGTTGCTGACTGGCCTAGTGGCAGCAGTTGCTGCGAACCGAGTCAAGGGGGCCCACCGCGCCTTTGACTGGGTTGGCTGCGTCATTGGTCCTCGATCAAACGGATACAGACTGCTTCCTCTGAAGCTTGTACACTTGCCGGTGTACACAAAGCATCAACTATGTCTTCTCGGCCTTCTAAACTGAGCCCACATTCACGAAGCGTTTCAAACTTGCTGACAGCAGCGGTGATCATGCAGAACTGTGGCACGGCAGCAAGAATGAAATGATAGAGCTTCTGATTTAGTTGATGCCTTGCTCTTTCATGTCACTATTGGTTATCCGCGTTGTGAAATGTTCGTCTAGGAAGGTCTAGACTGTCGTAGAAAAACCCTTCCCAAATCTCCTGTCCTTAGGCTGCAGCATGGTTAATCCAAGCTACTGGCCGGCTTGGCCGCCACCTTCTCGGACTGGCCACGTTCGATGTTCACCTGAGCGAACTGCGGACTATGCGCTCCTTGTTGCGATCAGGCTGCCATGCCAGACTTTGTGCTTACTCTGCCGCATTTTCAATGGCGCACATGCACTTCTTTCTGCTCCCGAATAGCACCTTCAACACTACGACTACCACTTCCAGGACCACATCACGACCACCACCACCACCACCACCACCAGGGCCGCTGCTGCTACTCCTACTCCTACTCCTACTATACTCCTACTATACTCCTACTACTACTACTACTACTACTACCACTACCACTCCTACTCCTACTACTACTACTACCACTAGTACTAGTACTAGTACTAGTACTACTACTACTACTGCTGCTACTACTACCACTACTACCACTACTACCACTACTACTACTACTACTACTACTACTACTACTACTACTACTACTACTACTACTAAAACAACATATTACTACTACATACTACTATTACTACTAATACCACTACTACCACTACTACCACTACTACCACTGCTACCACTACTACCACTACTACCACTACTACCACTACTACCACGACCACTACTACTTCTAGTAGTAGTAGTAGTACTACTACTACTACTACTCCTACTCCTACTCCTACTACTACTACTACTACTACTACCACTCCTACTCCTACTACTACTACTACTACCACTACCACTAGTACTAGTACTAGTACTACTACTACTACTGCTGCTACTACTACCACTACTACCACTACTACCACTACTACCACTACTACTACTACTACTACTACTACTACTACTACTACTACTACTACTAATACTACTACTACTGTACTACTACTACATATTACTACTACATACTATTATTACTACTAATACCACTACTACCACTACTACCACTACTACCACTGCTACCACTACTACCACTACTACCACTACAACCACTACTACCACTACTACCACTACTACCACGACCACTACTACTGCTAGTAGTAGTACTACTACTACTACTACTACTACTACTACTACTACTACTACTGCTAGTAGTAGTAGTAGTAGTAGTACTACTACTACTACTACGCCTACTACTACCACAACTACTACTACTACTACTATTTACCACCTCCGGGTCTACCAGCGAAAGGCAACCCATGAGGCTAAGCCCTCCAGGCCCCTCATGAAACAGTCAGCCGCCGCTCAAGCAGTCCACTGCCTTCTACTGCTTACTGGTACGCATGTCTAAGGCGCCACTACTCACTGCTACCCGCGACTGCATGATTCTATGCTTACTACACAGTAGCTGCATGCAAGCACAGCTGCTCTTATTCGTCTGCTTCGATGTTCTTGTTCTTTGATGTTCTTAGTCTTTGTGCCCGACCATCTGGTTTTGGACAGTAGGACGCAGCATCTATTCAAGGGCTCTGGTCTAGGCTCCCCGCCGCATCGGCTTGAATACGGCGCGTAAGCGAGGGGGATTCCTCCACAAGACCAAGCTGGTATATGCACATATGCGCTGCTTCAAGCCTTGAACAACTTAAACAAGCAAAGGACGTATCTAGGTCGTTTTCGAACGTAGCTGGTGCGAACTGCGAACCTGCAAACAGCCCATGCGTACACTGGAGTGGTATTTGCTCGCAGGGGTATTCTTGTTGAGTCCTGCCAAGCTGAATCTGAACTCTTCCTAGCTTTGGACAGGCGTCCGCTGTCTCAGACATCCAACTTGAGCGCGAAGACAGGGGCTCGAGCTCCTTTGCCTGGGCTTCGAGAATACTGACGTGAGTCGAAATCCGCTTCCATGCGCAGCAACATGCGAGGAAGGACCATCTCAAATTGAAGAAGCTTCTTGCGGTAGGTTGCGTTTGCTCCGGCGTTGGAGAAACGCTTTTGCCTCTTCCTTCTCCCATCCTCTGTGCTTGGCTGTGCAGGCACCTTGTCGTCCAATGTGCCACAGCACGCAAGGCTTAGGGTCCCAGCATTCACGGGTGCCAGACAGACTCAGAGGCACCAAACATTCACAAACCTGCTCGTAGCACCGGTGGCATTAGCAACTCCCCTCTGCTGGGCAGTCCCTGCGATTCTGATACTCACAGCATACTCGTATCTCGAGTGCTGAAGCTGAGGCCTTGTCACATCACGATAGCTTGCTGCAGGAATAGGTTTTGTGTCGCTGCAGGGCGCTTCCTGTGCCTACAAGTGCATCTTGCAAGGCCATATGACAAGAAGTATGGCCCCTTACATGCAAGTTCGCTATCTTGTGCTGATCACCTGAACCTCACGCACACATATCTGCAGTATCGGCAGGCTATGCGAAAGCATCTGCCTCTTGCGTCGTCGCAACCACCTCCCTGCGGTCCCAAGGAGATGTCACGCTGCTGCTGGCAGGTCGCGATGCCTTATGACTTCCATGAGTTCAAGTCTGTTATAATTTTTTGCATGCTTTCAGGGGCTTTGTAGAGAGTCGGTCAGAAGGTTTGTGGCTCGGTGCCTTCACCCCTACATTCCTCTTGCTCCCAGCAACCTGTAAGGCCGTAAACTTGACGACTGACTGTCTTTCTTGCTGCGACTACACATTTCTGGAAAACAAGGACAACAACAAGCACCACTGCAGCGACTACTGCTGCTACCTCTACAGCTCCTGCTCCTACTCCGCTACTCAAAAATACGACTACTACGACGACGACTACGACTACGACGACGGCATCGACGACTTCTACTAGTGTCATTACTGCTACTGCTACTGCTGATGCAGGATGATACTGGTACAACTGCTATTACAAACACTGCTGCCGCTACGGCTGCTAATTACTGCTGCTGCTACTGTTGCTACTACTACGACGACGACTACGACTACCAACATCACTTGTACACGTTGCTTCTCCCCTCCTTACAACTGGTCATGCTGCGCTCATACACGCTGATTGCGAGTCCACCTCTGCCGAGTCTGCCTCTGCAGAAGCTGCCTCGAGATTAGTCTGAGCAGGGCTTATTCCGGACCCTAGACACGTTTCTATAGGGATTTTGTAGCTTGTATGTGTTGAAAAGGCGCTGTTCAAGATTCTCGATGATTGTCCCGTGATGGGGCCGGTCTTGCACAAGCCTACCCGCATCGTAAGAGACAAGGCCGTCCAAATCTCCCGAAGATCCCTGGGTTCTGGTGTACTTTCCAGGCCGACTTCCCAAGCGCGGGTGGAAAAGGGTCCAGGTTTTTATTGTCAGGGTGCAGGGTTAACTGTGGTGCCGTGGGCTGCCTTGAAACAATCAGAAGGAAGAGTGCTTTTGTTGCTTCGGCCCTCGACCGGGGTAAGTTGCTGACTGCCCCAGGTCTTGAAGGTTCGTACTCGGATATGCCCTGCGAAGTTTTTCTTGCCACAGCTGACTATGTGCGAAGCTGTTCAGTTTAAGGGTTCGGCTTAGGGTTCAGGAATTTAGGAAACATGATTCAGACAGGGCTCTAGAGGTATCGGACACTAATTCGCTCAGTTTCGAGTGGTTCACAGGGGGTTGATCGATATTTTTGTTCCGATGGGTGACGATTTAATACGCCTTGCGACGGCCTTTGGGAACTCTAGCGTGTTTCTTGCACGCAGCATGTTTGAAGGAAACTTCAGTAGTGACACTAGGAATCGCCTCTGTAGGGCAAATTCAAGAGAAGGGGGTTTAGATCAACCCTCTGAATCAGACTAAGACTAGAAGCTGGGTTTGCAGGTACTATGCACGTGACCCATTACGCCCGTCTTTTCAGCGGCTGTTGCTCCTGTATCTCTGTTACAGTTGCCTTCGTGGCCTGTGTACTTTCGAGCGCTCGCCTGCCATACCTTGCTTTACTGACCACTTACTTGGAGGTTCATGGTTAGTTACAAGTAGGGTTGTAAGGCCCCTATTAGGAGTTTTAATTTTGGTTGCCCTACTTATAACGCCACTTATATCTACCCATGAGCCTCCAAGTATTCTTAGCCCATTCTGGAATCCTAGCCTGAGGCTTCCGGCCTCACTGGGAGTCACGATGTGGCGCAGCCTCACATTCGGCCCGGCCGCCTCGTGCAAGAAAGAAAAATGCTAAAAAATCCCAGAAGCTTTAACCTCAACACCTAACAGTACCAGTTGTGGATGCAGTCTTGCCGCTCATCGGATGCACATAGATCCAGATTGGCGTGCTCAATATTCAGAACAAGGACCCCGAAGGAACAGCATTTACAAGGCAAATCCAGCCTCTACAAATCTCGAAGCCTCAGCTGAAGGTCTCGAACACCGGACCGGTGTTGTCGGTTGTCAACTTTAGGCGCTCACGCTTCTGCCCCTTGGAGCTTGGGGCTTCCGATAGCTATCAGAGCAAGGCTCACGATGGCAGCACCGGTCGTCTGCTGCTGCGGCTTTAGTTGGAGATTCCTTAAAACTAAGCCCTCTGCAGAGCAGGACAAAGGAATGTGCTTGTAGGACTCATGAAAGAGTGCGCTGGCCTCCTCGAAAGAACGAGAGCCAACTTCTGTGTCGCGGAGGCCCACCTGCATCAATGCGCTTCCACGCAGGGTACTTGCCATGACGTTTCACATGCCACAACTCACAATCGTGCTGTTCAGCACATGCGATGGGCACTGGAACGCCGGATAGATGTCCAGACAGAATACGGGCATGCTCAAGCCAGCCTTCTGTGATGACCTCTCGGCATGTCCGTCGTGCCGGGCCGCTTCCTGCGATCGAGCATCACATCAATCAAGCCGACAAGCCCTCATTAGTTCCCGAAGCTGCTCAATCTCAATCGAATAACCCCCGGCCAGTCCCGAGCCTCGGCAAAACCTTCCGACGACTGGCCAGCAGCTTCAGACGGTGCGCTGCTTCGGCCAGAGGCGGCCATGAGATCCTGAGTTCAACTTCCAGCTACATGTGCGCATCTGCTGTGGAGACGGATTCCGATCTTTCTTTCAAGTTGACTACAAGACCAAGGCAAGGAGCCGCCTGCGAAGTTTCTGTACTTGAGGGGGGTGAAAATTCCGGGCTGAACGCCAGGCTTGCTTGTGAGCTCGGCCCTGCCCTGCTGGTTGCGAGCTCCCGGCATAAGCTCTCGAAGCTCCATGTTGGATATCACCAAGTCTGACCCACGCACACAAGAACTAAGGCAGAAAAAACGCGGGTCGAAGAGCATGACAGAATGCCAGGATGCATCGTACTCTTGCTGATGTGTCTTAAGCCATTTGTGCTGACATCCAGGCTGCTGCAGTCACCATTCTTAGCTCTCTGCCCTAACTCTTGCTGCATGCTGCTGTTACTGATGCTACTGCTATTGCTACTACTGCTACTACTGCTAGTACTACTACTCCTGCTGCTTCGACTACTATTATTCATTATTACTACTGCTACGACTACTACTTTCCACTACTACTACTACTACTACTACTACTACCACTACCACTACTACTACTACTACTACTACTACTACTACTACTACTACTACTACTACTACTACTACTACTACTACTACTACTATACTACCACTACCACTACCACTATGACGACGACGACTACTACTACTACTACTGCTACTAGTACCAGTACCAACACCAGTACCAGTACTAGGACTAGTACTGGTACTACTACTGCTGCTGAGACGGGGTGGCAACGACCACTGTTGCTGCGACCAAAACAAAACAATGAAGCTTACAAGCCTGCGACTACTGCTAATACCCCTTTACACGAAGCGAACCGAGACTGGCATGTAACAACGCCCGCGACAGTTGATGGTTGCACTCGTGCTGGCAGTAGTCACATCTCTCTTAACATAACAGATTCTGCTGCTGCAGCCGCTGCTTCTGTTGCTCCTACTCCTACTACCGCTCCTCCTCCGCCTACTTCCACTCCTCCTTGGAAACCGACAGGTAAGAAATGAAATGGCTAAACCTAATACTTAGGTGCTAGGGCACAAGGAAATCTCTGGACTTGTCGCAGCAGAACTACGAGCTAATGGTTTACGCCTCGCATGTATCTGGCAAGCTCCACTGGGGCAGCATCTCCAGTTGCAAATTCACTGATGCTGCCCGGGTTCTTCAACGGGTGCAATGTGGTGGAGCGGCGTCAGATTTCTGGCAGTTGGCTGGCTGACTGGCAGCTGGCTCGTCGATGAATCTGAGGCTCTCCTCCTCGGGACGAAACGAGAAAAATCATCGCATGATCTTCATTTGCCCTATTCCTGTCTGCAGCTGCGACCGGGAACCCGCATATCCTGCTGGCCGATCCAGATCTTGCTCGCCGGTCCTGACACTGCATGCTTGCTGCAGTGTCCCGGCTGTGCAGTGACGAGGCACCTCAAACACATCAGTGACAGTATCTTCTCGATAGCCATAGTAACGGCAATGACGACATTGCTCGCAGAATGATCCTTACGGTTGTGACCCTGGAGGCCCTGGCTCCTGCACTGTCACTTCTCTTCGGGCCGGAGCTGGGAAAGACGCTCGGCGACTTCTCGTGTCCTTAGAAATTAGAACTATCCACAGGCGCAGAACCCGAGATAACCCGCGAAACAACCGATCGACCCACACATCTCAGAAGATGATCCTAGATGCTGTTGACGATTCCTTGGGAGAGGGCAAAAACTGGATGTCCGATGTCCAAAGCAGTGCCCTCGTGCTGCCTGACGCTGCTACTGCTGCGACTACTCCTCCTCCCGCTGCTGCTGGGACTGCAAGTCTCAGTACTACGACTACCACGACTACTACCACGACGACGACTTATTAAAACCACTACTATCGCTACCACTGCCACTACTTCCACCGCCACCGTGATTGAGTCCATGATGATGACGACGATTGCCAACTTCAACCTGTTCTCACTATTTGGTTTGACTCTGACTTGCCTGACAGTACTTATGAAGAACACCAGGCAAGCAGCAGGCATGCTGGGATGCTCCCGCTGCCGCGTTTTGCTTGGTCGCCTTATCGGCTTGGACCTTGCCATGGCTTGTCCCTGGCAGGGCAGCGGATGCACTTTCACCAAAGTTTCTTTACCTTGTCATACGGAGGACGCGGCATCACGTTGGAAAGACAGTCCATCAAAGTTGTTCGCCTCGGTTCCTCGCGCAAGTATAAGACATGTTGGAGTTCGCAAACCGCAGTAGGCACACCATTGAATATATCACTGATATTGGTCGCAACTATAGGAATGACTATGAATTTGAGCTTGCTAATCGTCCTCACCATCAACGCCATCATCCATAGAATCATCACAACTGATGTCTTCGCGAGCTCACTGACAATGATGAGGTCCCGCCCCGGCCACGCTCATTCCCAACACGACCATGTCACAAAATCTCGCCTTGTATCAGAAAATCGGTTGCTGGACGCTCCATTCGGGAATAAACTTGACAGTCCTATGAGGTCACTTCCTCACTCAGACTCTGCACAACAACAGTACACTGGCTTGCATTCAAAACGATGGCTGAAGACTGGTGAGAAAGCTCACATGTGGAAAGCCCCTGAACAGCCAACATCTCTGCTGCTACTCTCCGCCGAGCCTGCTCTTCTTTCATCGCCTCTTTCGGCAGAGGTTTCCCTGTGCCGTCCTGTGTCAGAAAACCCAAGCTGCCCCAACAAAGTCCCGAAGTCTCACCCCGGTCCTTCGCATCACCGACCTTTTTGGCAGAACTGCGGCGACGGCGCTTTGTAGCCTCTTGATGCTGCGCACGGAACCGGTATCTATGAACCATTGCTAGCATGACAGCTGCCCAGGTCAAGATTGAAAATGCACAGGTTTAAGGAACAGGTAGCTCCATGGCAGAACCTAGTAAAGCAGCTGGCTGTTTGCCTCGCGGCTGGGCTTGGCACCCGGGGCTTCATTCTCTGCCTTCGTCACTGGCTGTCGTGGGCAAGTCAAGTCAAAGATCTCGCAGCATCGCAACATAGCTAGGTGGCGAGGTCGGGCACATCACTGTCCATGCTGTCCATGAGATCATCTGGCCAACCAACCTGAGATCACGGGATTACCCTGAGAAAGCAGCCACGACGGACATGAGGCCTTCGCAAAAGACAGTCAGGTGTGCGAGGTCAGCCTCCCTCAATCACTAATTACTATAGTCTCCATTGGAGTTCCTTTTTTTGGTTTAACCACTTGTATATTAAGGATCCTACAAGGTAACCCCAAAAAGGAACTACAATGGAGACTATAGGTAGTGTCATTCCGGGCAAACCCATGCGCAAGACACCTCCGGCCACATGCTGTAGCCGTCTCCAACAGTCTAAATGCGATCACACGCACCTTATTCGCGAAGAAGTCCGTCTCGGAAGAGGTTTGAACAACAGGCTCCGATGGGCCACTGCGCCTGGGATTCTTAGAGCTTCTGGGAGGAGCCTTTGCCTAACAACAGGAAGGATCTTGCGGGGGGTTCTGAGCAGCTCCAGGCCATGCAGCAATGCGCAACAAAATCCTGCGAAACTCATTCAATCGGCTCCGTTTTGATGTCTAAGTCTCGGCTGCGTTGAACCATCTCGAACTTCCGGTTTTTGCTCCTCGGATCGGTCTTCAAGAGTTCATTCGTGCTTTAAGGTGCATCGGTTTGCGGCCACGTCACCCCGTCCTGCTTCCTGCGGCCAGTCCTCCAAACCTCGGCACTTTCTATCAGCGAGCATAGCGCCGGTAAGATCCGAGCGCACTGAAATGACAAGATCCTGGTCTTATCCTGCAACCTTTTCACCATGCTGAATCTCGGGTTACCTTTGTGAGAAGTCTGCCATGTCAAGCACCGATGGCAGAAGACAATCTACCACTGTGGCCGTGGGGTTCTCTGCGGGTGCTCATAATTCGTCGCACTTTTAAGTGTTATGATCACATCACTTGGCTTTTGACCAGTACTAGTGCTTGTGTAATTTTTGTCATTCTCACCATTTATGCTTATGTCATGGTGGTTATGATTCTTAATCATATGAGAAGGAAGACTTCGCTTGTCGTTAGCTAGCACAGAGTCGGACTTGCACCAGCAGGAGCCAACCGGTCGTCGGTGACTGTTCTACGCAAATGGAAAACATCGAGGGTGAAACGCTACATGAGATGATGGACCATGTCTTTATACGAGTCTATATGGCCTTTGGGGAAGGAGGCTGGGATATGTTTTCTCCGCCTGGTACTTCGGGCTTTTGTGAAGCCCGAACACCGGATAGTCCCGGTGTGAGATCAAGATCTGGCTCCGGGTCATCCTTGGCTGGTTCCTTCGGTGATTCAAGGGGCCCCAGGGGAAAAGAGCCCTCTGAGACCCCACTGCCAGGAGTGAACGGCTCCGATGGCTGGTAAGTCCTGCGATGAGTCTCGCTCCTCACGGAGCGCAAATCCTCCTTGATCTCGGTGAGCATGGTCTGCACTGCTTTGGTGGCTAGGTAGGCCTTGAGATCTCGGAACGGAAGAATGCGTTTACACCTAAATGTGGTAAACCCTTTAACATATCCTATAAACCATCCGAAACTCCCTTTAAGGGATTACTATAAGGTTCTATGATAGGGCTCCCAGCATTCACAAGATCAAGCCAAGAGGCGGCCACAGCATCAGACTTGCTGATGTCGCCACGCATTTTCAACAAGCCGTGCAGCAGCTCTGCAAGTTGCAGTGTGCCACTGCCGTCAGCATCTATAATCTCAAACATGTTGGCACGATCGGGTGGCAAGTCCAACTCGTTCATCAGCTTTTGAACGCTCCTGTCCTGGATAATGAGCAAGAACATCTCCTTGGTGATTTCCATGTCATGCATTCCGTCCTGGGCAAACAACTTGCTCGGCTTGTTCAGCTTCATCTTCGCTAGACGCTTTCCTGTGTCGTCATCTTCTTCCATTTCATGAAAGGTGTGGTACGCTGCCTGGAACTTCTTCAGAAGCTCCCGCGTCACCCTTGCAATCCGAACAGACTCGCGCGAGTACTGCTCAGCAGTGATTGCATCATTCTCCTTCGCTGCCTTCATCGTGATGTCGACATAGACAGCAAGAATTACGTTGAAGATCCCCATAGACACAAGCATGTAGCTGATGATGTAGGAAAGAACAAATGGAAGTCCATATGCCTCTTTCAACTCAATAAGGATTGGGTGTCCAAATTCATTCGTGCACTCTCCGGTGAAGCAGCGGAATGCAGTGAACATTGTCTGGGGAATGTCCGCAAAGTAGGTATCGAGATTCAAATCTTTTGTCTTGCTGTCAGAACCGATGGTAATGGCAGCGAGTCCAGAAATCACATAGAGAACTCCGAAGAGCAGCAAAAAGGCAAGACTGAGAGTTCGCACTCCTGCGATCAGGCCCTTCACCATCAGCCGAAGATCCCTCATTGCTTTGATTCGGAAGACTTTGACAATCCGTACCAAGCGAATCAACCTGCAAAACCTGAGAAGCGAAGTGCCATTTGCGTCAATGATGTTTTCGTCGACGACGGCGTGGAGGATTGCATCGGAAAGCCCAGTTGCAGCAAGGAACACATCAAAGTAACTCCAGTAACGGTCAGGGCCACACCAATAGTTGCGACACCGCATGAAGTACATGCGGATGCCTATCTCCAAAAGAAGTGTACATGTAAATGCCGCTTCCATCGCAGGCCATCCACTCCAGTCCTCGTTTCCTGGATGAGTTTGCAGGCCTATCATGACTCCATTGGCGACGATGAGAAGGGCTACTATTGGCTCCATGATGGTCATTATATTTATGCGCTCTGCAGGTCCGGCCAGATCGTTAATGCGAACAAATGTCAACTCTGCCACAAGCCGATTTGTGTCAGCCGCAAGCAGAATTTCCTTCAATGCCCGAAATTGTTGCATGCGCTTTACGCCGAAAATCTTCTTGTGGACCTCACCCTCGGTGGCAAGCAATACCTCCATCAATGCTTGCGCAGGGACAACATTGAAGCTTCGCATCGGCTGCAGATCCTGCGCGGTTGTTAGTTTCTGAGTGACGCTTTTCTTCAACTGAGGCCCATGAAAATCCGACTCCACCTTTTCTGGCCATTGCCAAACTGGCCGGAAGGGAATCTCGTCACTGCTGAACCAACCCAGTTGGATTCCGTCATGCTCTGGAGCCTCGTCTGTGTCCATAGCCTCCTCAGCTATAGGGCATTAATCACTGACATCAATACGAAAACCTCCGCAAATCTGCGAACAAGGGATTCGGGCCGGTTTAGTTTAGAATGTCGATATGCGGATGAAGGCAGTAAGTCGGAAAGGTGGCATTCTCTGTCTCTCTTTTCTTTCGCCAGGGCCCGGGTGGGGAGTTGCCTCCTCTGTCTCTCTCTCTCTCTCGCGTCTTCTTCTTCCCCGGGGCATGAGGGGTGTCTGAAGCCCCTCGGCCTTGAAGGCCCCCCCGATGTTCGTGGGGCTTTTTGGAGGAGCGTGAAGATCGAATGCGTTTCCCCTGTGTTCTATTTTTATCAGCAGAGTAAGATTAAGTTCAGTTGTACAACGGCTCAGGGTTTACATTCGTCTCTGACATGGTGGTCCAGGCCGGGGGCACTTGGTTCATTACACTCAACATTATGTAGGAGTGGGTCACAACATTCATTGCCAGGGCCACTGTCGAGCGAACTCCCAAACTTGCTCTCTCCCTCTCTCTCTCTTTCTCTCTCCTGCTGTTGCTACTTCCCGTTGCTACAACTTTAGTGTTAACCGTGAAAGCTCGCACAAGCAGTGTGAAACCGTGTCATCTTCCTGATTACACGCTGGCCCGAAAAAGGAGCCTTGCAGGTTCAGCTTTGCTACCTGCCCAGCCAGGAATAGCCACAAACTACGCAGTCTGAGAGCAATTTCGATAGGTTGCTCTAGGTTCAGGACCTTCAACGAGCCGTGTGCTGTCCATGATTCTTGTCAGTGCTTGTTGCTTTTCTTGGAATCGCAACTTCGCAGCAAGGGCGTTACAGCCAGTGGCTCCGCTAACAGTCTGAAACTCCCGGCCATAGCCCAAAACGGCACCTTGCGGTCGGACAGAAATTGACTTCGATTCCGACTACGGAGTGTGCAAGAGGCCCAACCTAAACTTACCTGGGCGGCTTGGAACGCCATGGCATTTGAGAAGACTGGCAAGCAGTAATAATAGTCCTGCGGTTCATGTTTTCAAGTGTGGTTGTAGTAGCATGTAACAACTAAATGTTCCACCACCACGAAGCCCGTAGAGGCGTCATGTGAAGGACCAGCATCACTGTCCCAATGAGCAACTCAAGTGAGATCGACAGTATGGCAGGAAGACAACAGGATGGAAAGCCTTCCGCCTCCCGTGCTTCCTGCGTACCCGTGAATCTCGACAGTAAAGTGAAACGACCGGATGAAATGCATGTCTACCCGGCTTGCTCGGTTGAGGTCGCCTGGATTGCTTCGGCTTGTCTGCCCACCAGGGCCAAGCAAAGGTTTCGGGTTTACGATGGAATCTGGCCCGCGAAGCCTTCGGCAAGATGCATGAAGAAACTAGACATCAACCAACAAGGATTGTGATACACTGAGGACCCAGCGAAGCTAAGCTTGATAAAGTCTGCCAGCAAGTTCACGAACTCATTCATGTCCTCCTCCGTGTAGGTTGTGAGGCCCAGTGTAGAAACCGCATCATGGATAACTTTGCCTGAGACCATGGTCTTCGAGGACATAGCTCCAAGACGCCATCTCAATCGATGGCGGACCGTGCGCGCCTCCTCGGGAGTGAGGTTTGCGAGAACTGACCGGAAGATCGTTGAGGAATCGCCGTGGGGAATATGATCACTTTCCATGGAGCTTGAAGTCATAGAGATTATGTTTGCATTGCGTTCACGATTGCCCTGGCCGTCTGTCTCACTTACGACCCGGCTGGTAGCATGTGCTGATAAGCTGTGCGAATGAGTCAAACTGCTGCCTTTGCTACTCGCACGTGATATCGGACGGCTAGTGGGACGGCTACCCGCCCGGCTGCTCGCCACTGACTGCGCTTTGGTCACCCTGTTGATTGGACCTCGGAGAGCCCCCTCTGTTGGGGGAGCTCGGAGTGACTCATATGCAGTTACCAGCCTTTCACGAAATTCATCACACAACCTGTCTATGGTGTCGGCGAAGTCACCATGTTCCATGGCCCTCGCAACGACGCGGCTAGTCCCAACTTGTCTCAACAAGCATTTCAAGGGATCGAGCCGCGACAGCGCTTGTGCCAACGAGCATGACCATGCATGTATCTTGCTCGCAACGTTGTGCGTGGTCGAGCGGCTGCAGCTAGCTAGCTAGCTGCTGCGCGTAGCATGCGCGATAGCTTTACCTGCAAACTCGTCTGAGGTCAGGACCGCAGCTTGCCGTGACCTCCTTGCGACACGAACCAGATCAACGCAAGCATCCCGATTGCAGTCCGACCATCGTCCAAGTTGCGCATGCGCAGCCTTGGGATCCGCCTTCCCAAGCATGACAGCAACAAGACTTAGTGCTTGGAGCGCGAAGGCTGACTTTCTACATCCACATGGCTAGCTATATACACCAGGACAGGGTTCTTTGACCCCAGGGACCCAATGTCCTACAGCCGCACAGGAGGATGATTCGGACCCATGAACTCTTTACTTGAGGGACGGGCTGCAACCAGGGATCCCTTTTGCCTTACACTCAAACTGCACAAAGGAGGAGTAGGGGATTTTTTGTGACTTTTTATGGATAGGTGAGATAGAGAGAGAGAGAGAGAGAGGGAGAGATAGAGATATATATATATATATATATATATATGTATATATATATATATATATATATTAATATCTAAATTCCAAGGTATCCCCCCAAACTCCATAGAAACCTAACCCCTCCCAGCCCTTCCATGGACCCCCGGGGGGGCAACCTGGGAACCGGCCATCTCATTGCGCGCATACCTCACTGGGCGTGGCAGACGGAGTGAATTTGTCATATGGGTTGTTGTCAAAATTAGGGCACCTTAAATATTAGGTGCCGTATTATATTAGGGACCCCAAAAAAAACTAGAATTTGACAACCATAGGGGCCCTTAGGGGGTAGGGGGAGGGGGGGTAGGGGACTATACTTCCTTAAACTGGGTCTTATTCAGTCCTTGTTTTCGGTATTAAGGACCCCTACCCCCTCCTTATGAATTTGAGAAGGTTTCATGAGGACATCAGGGGACTTGCTAAGTACAGGGCCTATATAGGTACCTCAATTTCATAGGACATCAGAAAACTTGGCAAGCATAGGGTCTAGGTGCCTGCATTGGGCTTAATGGTTAAATGCCACTTTGCTTACCTGTCTTGGAACCCGACTTACTCAGTCCCAAGATCCTTTAAGTAGCTTCTGCAGCTGTGCGTCTTCTTGGCCATTGCCTTCAGCATTGGACGAGAAATCTGGATGCCCTCGGCTTTTCCCAGAGAGCCCAACACCCCTTAATTAAGGAACATAGCTTTAAGGCTCAAATCATAATATGAAGCCCTATATAATTTAAGCCATATTCCTTAATTCAGGGGTATTGGGCTCTCTGGGTCCATGCCATTGGCTGAACTGGAAGCGTCCACGGGGTGAGTTCTGGTGACCTTTCGCGACCAGGTCACTTGTAGTGCAGCGATTGCCCCTGCAGCCTTTACAGTGTACTGCTGCACCTGTCACAAAGAGCTAGCCGACGATTCTTTGGGCTCTCTCCTCCCGTTCCAGAGCTCTGTCCACCAATCCCGGCAGACTCTAGCAATAGCCATAGCAGTGTGAGTAGCAATGTCCCCGGGTAGGACGGAAATCACACACCTGTACTGCACTGAACAAAAGCCAGCGAGCCCAACTTAGTTCAAACCGACAGGTAAATCAACAGTCCGCCTATCGCTTTGAAGTACTTGCACAAAAATCCGCCTGTTCCAGGTGAGCTACACATGCTACTTACTTCGATTCTACTTTGGCCGTCAAGCAGTAGCCGTGGCGCCAAGGAGACCCCGAGGTTCAAGAGGGTTGCATGAAGTACTGGAAGTACTTGGAGGTCCATGGGTAGTTTGCAAGCAGAGTTATAAGTCCCCTAAAAGGACTTGTAACTAAAGTTACCCCACTTATAACTACCCATGAACCTCCAGGTACCTTTTCTTCCCGACTGGCTGTGAGGCTATCGCAATTTTCGGAAGTCCATCTCTGTTGGCGACGCGGGCGTATAGTTGTTTCCGCGGCAAGAAGCAGACTGATTGGCATGCTCGTGTTCCAGAAGCCGCTCAGCCCGTTATCAAGTTCTGCCACCTTCGCAGACAGGTGTCAGTGCGTTTTGGCAACATATCGCGGAATGGCGCGGGCTCATTGTATCCTGCCTTTCCCGGAGATCGACTTCTGCAAATCTCTGACTGTCGACGAGACTCGACTCTCTGTGAAGCTACTTCCATCCGTCGAGCGTCTTGTTCTCACAGCAAGCATGTCCACCCAGATGCTGTGTGGAAACTTATATACCCCAGACATGCATCTTGATACCAGTACTGATTAAGAATTCTCGCGCAACACCCTATGCCGAGCGAAGCCGTCTCATGAGGCACTTGGTCGCCTGCCTCGTCGGAAAACTCGAAGGTTTCCAGAAGCGTCCGCAAGTTTCCCAAGCAGTGCTCGACTTCACTCATCTGCTTACCTGATCAAGAGTAAGAGGATCCCACGTCATTGCTGTTTTGGACAGTTTGTTACCATCTCAGACGCTCCCCGGCAAGTCAACTTGTGTAGAGGCCAAGCAACTTATGTGAGATGTTGACAACGCCTTCCGCAGCTTCTTCAGCTCTTGCAGCAAAACCTTTCCTCCAGAGCACGATCATGAAGGAAATCTCCGAAAGTGGTGACCCGCTGTCGCTGTGCTACCAGTATGTGCGAGAATCTGACTGCATCTGAAAGAGTACATGCGCACAAGCCCTCAATCGCTGGTGCAATTCAACATACAGCAATTCCAACTCATGCACAGGCAACGTATGAGTACATGTGGATCTCGCATATGCACACGAACTGTGCATACATGCTTCATGCTATACCCTGCCTACCTTTCTGCCTACCTAGCTACCTACGCAACAACATCACCCAGACTGCCTACATGCATGCATACAAACACACATGTGCACATCCATACATCCATGCGCACATACATAAACGAACATGCATGCTTGCATGCATGCCGCATGCCGCATACCCATTACACTGAGAAGGGCATCAAAATGCTGTGCCCACTGAACCCTTGTCCCAGGGTGGGAAGCATTGGATCTTCGTCAGCCAATGGGCGTTTCTTGTCCTCCTTGGGGTCAACGCCACGCTGTCGGATCCTTGCACACAGCTCGGGAGCTCAACTTCGCATGCGCAGCTCTCGCACTTGGCTTTGCTAACATTCGGAGCTCAAGCTTCGGCAGTTGGAAAATGATCTCTCCGCCCTGCGACCGGAAGCAGACAATGCCAACTTTGCCAAGGCACCTCTCTTGCCTTAGTTAGTGGGTGACCCGCTTGTACCGAACCTATCTTTGAGAGGACACATTTCGGGCACATGAAGCACAACATCATCCTACATTCAAAACGGCAAAGGTTGTCTCATGTGACTTTCTTTTTTGCGAAAGCGTGGAAACGAATCTCGTTGAGCCGAACGGACGGAATATTGGATTTGGCTCGCCGAAGAGTATCCGCCGCTGTCGGAATCATCTCCCAGAGGGAGAGACGTACATCAACATTACGTACATCTAATCTGTCTATTCGTACCTAAACTTGGAAGGCTTAAACGCAAAGGAAAGCAACCCAGAGAAGTAGTAGTGCTCAAGATCGTGGCTGAGAAACAGCACTCGGCGGAGCTCGGCCAAACGTAGCAGGGCTTCTCGCACACGGATCGCCTGGCCCATAAGCGTGCGAGGCCCTCTTGGGGGAGGATTTGCTGACTCTTCTGCTGTTGCGACAGCTCTTAGCATCAACATTCTAGTCACTAGTCTTGTCGTTGCAATTTTCGATTAGCCTGTGTGCGGCAAGTACTTGGAGTGGTCTTGGTCAGCGAAGAGAATCATTACCAGTATCCTTCCTATCACCAGGGACGTGATTTACGGTCGTGGCACTCGACCTATCCTATAACACTGTGGAAGCTTCTACTGTCAGACTGCTCTGAGGTTCCCACATCCACGGCGTTTCTGGGCGAGCACAACTCCACGGCATCATCTAAGCTGCACAGATTCCGAACTGTCACTTCTGGCACGATAGCAACCAAGGCTGTCAGGCCACTTGCGCCGAGTATCATTGTAATGGTTCTACATTCTACATACTACTTGTAGTAACTAGTACCATTATGACTGCGACTACTGCTAACTATTGTGGCTACTACAATCACTGATCTCGGCTAAGCTCGTCGACTCTTCGGACCAAGCAGCCATCCGGGGTGGAGTCCAAATCCACCCCTCGGCTAATTTGGCAGCTGCACGATGGGTGCACACGTCCACAGTCCACAATATAACCACATCCATATCCATCTATCTGCTTGCTTATCTGATTGACTGTTCATAGACCGGCCCGGCCCGCGGATAGATCGATCGATAGAGGAATGGAAAGAGGGCGGGAGGGAGAGAGAGAGAAAAAGAGCACAAGTCACAGAGACGCACGCGGCTCTTCCTGGCTTGATTCCTTGGCGTTGAGGGTTGGGGATGCCAGCTCGCCGCGGCCCTGAGAAGCACGCACGCCACTCTCAGTCTCACTCTCTCTCGCTCTCTCTTCTTGCTCTCAGCCCGGAGGGTCCCCCGCCCGGGTTTCCATGCATTCTGTCGGGCAGAAGACAACTGAACCACTGGACCCCCACAGCAACCACTAGACCCCAACGACCGGTACCGGTGCTCAGGCTCTTAGCCTGAGCCAGCGACCGATTTCGGCTATGTAGCATGAGGGGCGTTGCTCCGGAAAGGACGTGCCGAGTAACACAACAGGACATCACTTGCAACACATCATGCGTGCTGGCCCCGTCAAAGCGACCGACCAAAACTTGCATCGCCTCCTAGGGGAGGAGCAAAGAAGGGCAGGAGTCAGGAAGCAACAGGCGCAAGGGTCTGGCAGATTTGTCACGAAGGGGCGTCTGCACACCCACCTGGTACCTTCGGCCTATGCTCGCGCTCACGGTGCGACTCTCTCTTCCTTCTTGCTTTCCTTCCTTCTCCCTTCCAACCCAGACCCATTCGCCTCTGGCCTCGTCTCATCCCCGAAGCCGCAAACAAGTAGTCAACTTCGCCCCCCCCCGCCCTCACACGTCTGCCAGGGTCCTCCACAAACCGCCCTGAACAGTGCGAGCCGGACAGAGCGTGTTCGATGCCTTTCGCACTGACGCAGTGGCGTCGCTGCCCTAGCGCTTAGACCTACAGCAAAGCCTGCGATCTGTCGAATGTTCCTTTGCGGTTCGGTTCGGTTGGATAGTGATGCAGTAGGACAGGAGGTTTATTATTGAAGATGAGTTTAGGTGCGGTTCGGTTCGGCGGCTCATACATGTATACATACATACATACATACATACATACACACATACACACGCACATATACATACATACATACATACATACGGACGTGCACAATTGTGAGGACACGCATGCATACGTTATACGTACATATATACATTTCATACATTTTGATGGACAGTTCCTAAGCCATATTATGAATGTCCTCGCCAAATTTACCAGTCCTGCTCGCATGCGCTCCGAAAAGTTCCGCGCTTCTCTGCAAAACCGCGTTCCAACAAAGTAGAATGAAACCTCGTTGGCTGGGAGCGTGTGGGAAGTCTTGGTTAAGTACCAAGTTGCCCATGATCTGAAGGAACTGCTTGACTTGCTTGGTCTCCTGCCACATCCAGACTTCTTTGCTCTCTCGTTCTCATGAAACTGCTTGCTCCTAGGCCGACTCCTGTCTTGAACTAAGCGCCGCATTTCTGAGGGCACAATTTCGAGCCTTCGTCGCTTCTAAGACCAGTCGAGCGATACATCTCAAGCCTGGGCCAAGCAGGGACAGCCGCAGCTCAAGTTGCCAAAAGTATGTGGCGCAGCGAACATAAAAGACGGCCGTCTAGCACTAGACTCGAGTGACTCAGTGACTAGAGTTACTCCCAGAAAGAGAGCCGACTGAGCGGCAGAGGCAGCATGATGCTTGGACATGCCTTGACGTACACTGCTTTGAATCTTATTCATGCGCGTGGTCACGCGGTCTTCACAGTCAGGAGTCCTCCGGATTGAGACCCGAGAATATGCCAGGGACCCGGCTGCCGAGGTTCACTGGATCTGGTACCGGGGCTTCCTTGGAACTTGAGGAATCGAGGACGAGGCCAGCGCCGGATATAGACACGAAACAGAACGCGGCATGAGTCTTAATCCTTTCTGTACTCGAGGCTGTCCCAAACCAAGCCGAAACTGGAATCCACCGAGCACTTGAAGTCCTCTTTTTCATTTGCCCCTGCCGAATCATCACAAACAGGCGCAAGGAGCTCTTCGAATTAGATGGCTCAAATTCGCAACAGAAATCAAACAGCCAAAGCCCTCACCTAAAGCCTGCACGAGTCGGCCCGTAGGGGCAGCAATCAATCGATAGCTCTTGTCGGTTCCATTCTTGCGCAAGGCTTCTCCTTTCCGCAGACCCTCATGCATCAAACCACGAACAACTCCCGAACCCAACCACCTGAAGCCCTCCAGGAAGGCCGTGAAGCCCGCGGGTTTGGGGCTGCACTTTAGCCACAAGCTCTCAGCCAGGATTCAGAACGACCAAGCTCGTAGTCTTCGGTCAGCACCAATCGCTTCCTTCGAATCTCCTCGGTGAGTTTGGGCCTTGTCGTCCATGAAGCCTACGAGCCTTGAACGTAGAAATATGTAGTCCTCAAGGCTCCATGAGCCAGTTCAATACTAAAACGGCTGGACTCTGAGGTCTAACACGCCGAGGTTCGGAATAGATCCTCCTTGACTCCACGACGCTTGGCATTTCACCATGGCCGAGGCAATGGAGCAAACCTCTTTACCTGCAGCCTCCGAGAAAACCTGAGCAAAATATACCCATAGTATTCAAACCTCGCCTCAGAGCCACCCATTACGTAGACGGGTACATGAGCACGGCCCTGCATGCCTTGCCTACAACAGCCGTCTTCAGCGATGCCAACTGGACGGCGGTGCATCAAGATCAAGCATCAAGCATGGTAGCTACAAGTAGAAAGGGTTCCTGGCACCTGATGCAACTGTACGACTACGACTACTCCGTCGGACTTTCCGTGCACAAAACCGCAGACTCCGAAGCACCGTATTTGGATCAGGCCTGCCTGAATCACAGGCTGTCCGGCTTCGAACCTGAGCACTTGTATAGACTTACCGGTGGAAACGTTTCCGATGTCCTGCAGGTTTCAAAAATGCTTCATCCTGAAGTAGCACGTCGCAGGTACAAACTCTTGAGGCATGTGCTGCATATCCTCAATGAGACTCTGCTCGGAAGGTGGGTCCTGAAAGGACAGATGTGCTTCCGAATCCAATCGCAACGAGGCAGTTTTCAGGTCTCCTGTGCGCTCCGCTGACCGAGATGCTTAATACAGGGGCCCACAGAATTACCACTTGAGAAGAGGGCCACGAAAGCTAGGGGAGAGGAAGCGTAGCTGCGAGCAATTGGGGCTGAGTAAGGCGGGGGACATATGTGACATGAGAGTACTGTCGAACACGAGGCCGAGGCGACAAGGTATGTTCGGTTCAGTTTCATGGAGTGTCACTGCGAAGGACCAAAAAGAACTGGAGCCAAGACGCAGCGCAAACGACAAACTTCAAACACAAGCAAACTCAGGGACCTTGTGGAAGGGGGGGGGGGGGACCTTGTCCCACGCGCCGCAACCTTAAAGGTGGGGGGGGGAGGCGGGGGGAAACCACACCTTGTCTCTTCAAAATGCTTCATGAGCGAGGTGAGGGGGGGGGCGGCCCCTCCTCCCCCCCACCCCCCCACCTTAACTCTTGGACGTCCCACCTGATAAGGTGTAAGCCCTGGTTTTGCCCTAGTGCCTTAATACAAGGTAGACCAAGTGAAAATTGCTAAAGGGCAACTCCCGCCAGCTCAACAGAGCTAGCTTTCGTGAATACTGTTTTGGGGTTCCTGGTAACTATAAATGATAGTATAGTATAATATACTCCACAACCCGTCTAATTGTTCAGGCCCCAATACTAAATCCTCATAATAGCCCTTATGGTAACCCTTATGGACCCCTTTAAAGGAACCCTATTCTACTTACTAAGGCCCCTATCTATACATATATGTATGGATAATGCCGGCCAAATCTCGGGCCAGCCCAAGCCTCACAGGCCAACAGCTCAATTTAATTTACCATCATAGGGATCTATACGGGTTCCTTTCAGGGTTTCGACGCTCACACTCGCACAAGGCAGGCAAGGCTCCACATGAGGGTTCAGGGTTTAAGGTTTAAGTTACCATGATAACGCTATAGTACATCATGTTATGGTTTCCTTGTTATGGTAACTTAAAGTAAATCCCTTGACAAGAACCCTCACGCACGGCTTTTCGTGCCTCTGAGGGTAGCCTTGGTCTCGACGGCCTCAGGCGAAATTGTACTCGATTTATCTATGTGCTTGATGGGAGTGTGTCTGAGATCTGCTTCTGAGACTAAGCGGTGCCTTAAGACAAGCAAACATCCCAGCCTTGATAAGGGAAAGCCTGCTTTTCAGCCTTGGGCACAAAATGGAACCTCCCCAACACCCCACCACCACCGTGAGAGGTTCTGCTTTAGGCTTTGCCCGTAGAGAAGCTGTACAAAAAAATCGGACCCTAAACCTTAAACCCTAAACCCAACACGTGCAAATTCGGCATGTCGGGCTCCAACGCCATTGCGAGGCACTGGGCCACTTGGAGGTTCATGGGTAGTTAAAAGTAGGGTTACGAGGCCCCTAATCGGGCTTATAACTATAGTTACCTTACTTATAACTCCACTTATAACAGCTGTATAACTACCCATGAACCTCCAAGCAGAGCAATGAGCCAAGAGAGTCTGCTAGGCATCTGCCTAAGCATTCTGGGTGCCGGCACGCAGTTGCCCAAGGAGTCCTAGCTTCAGTTGGGCCAAGAAGATGGCAGTCAAGCCAAAAGATGCTCCATGGCTCGCAAGCACAGCTATACTGCAGCTTGCCACATCCCAGACCCGCTCCCGGCTGTATGTCAGAACACTTCTCTGCCATTGGCCTGCTCCGTAACAAGCCTCAAGCACAGCTTGATGTGTTATGTGACTTGGCACCAGCCCTCCACGTCCCGCTCTGCAAAGCATGCTTGTAGCAAGCTGCCACTGGACACACTGGCTACAAGCGCTGATACAGGCGTTGAAAGTAATCATCTCTGGTTCATGCTTGGAGTCTAGTAACCTTGCCGCAAATCTCCAGCTTCCTCCCTTGTGGCATGCACTGACGGCTGCATTGATACAAACGGAATGAAGCCGCAGGTAGTTGGCGGCTGACTGTTGCAGCATGCGCAAGGATTGCATCCAAGCTCCATCGCTCTCAGCTGCTCCGATCAATGCAGTCATCGTGAAGGAGTCGGCCTGTAGTCGGTGTCTGCAAATCTCTTGCGATACAGTCACGGCTTGTCTCCACTGCACACTGGCGGCCGAATTGATGGAGGTGGTGCCCCACGGCACACTCTGCAGTCCCATCTCCTCTAATGCACTGACAGCGGCATCCCACCTTCCTCCTTTCTCGCAGCCGCTGATGAGTGCATTGTATGTGATCACATCACCTTGCACCTTTGCGGATTTGAGTGCCCGTGCCAGCTGCAAGCTATGCTGCCAGTCCTGGCGGTTCTCGCAACTGCTGATCAGAGTGTTATACACGACCACATTTGCTTGAATCCGATGCAGCATCGCATGGGAAAAAACGCTTGACGCTGCCCGCCACTGCTGCCCTTCTGTTAAGGAGCTGAGCAGTGCACCAAGTGTGACGACCGTTGCTGCGATTTGCTCGTTCCGGCCACTTGCCAGTATCAAGGATCTCGGCCACTGCCCCGGCACGCAGGCGCTTATGGCAGCGTTGCGGCACTGACTTGTCACGACTGTGTCTGCCCTCATGCTGTCAGATGTCATGGTCAAAGCAGCTTGCCAGCTACTCGCCTTGCCGCAGGCATCGACAGCAGCAACAATGCAGCGGGCATCCTTCCTTAATGCAGCCTTGCTCAGGCGGGCCATGATTTCCCATGCAGCTCCCCAGGACGAGCTCGTGCTGCAAGAGCCCAGGAGTGCATTGCAGCTCGCAGCGTCTGCCTCCACGTTGTTGGAATTCAATACATCAAGGAGCTGCAGCGTCATGTGCCAAGCTGCTGTATCTCTAAAGGTACGGACGGGGTCAGCTAAGCTTGTCGGGGACACACGCGATCGGCACATGAGCCGAAACAGACAGCTGGCCATCTGCAGCTGCCTTGCAGAGCCACACGTACAAACTAGGCCGCCGTAGACTGCAGCAGGAAGCCCTTGCTGGGAAATTGCCCATCTTGAAGCAATATCCATGGCTTCCTTCCATCTCAGATGAACCTGGCGGTAGGCACGAAGCACTGTATCAAGGGTGATAACGGTGCGACGTAGGCCCCGAATACCCATTTGAAGAAGCAAGGAATGTGACCTGCACCATTCATTGCGCAGCAATGCCGCATTAAAGCAAGCGTCGTCTGCAGAAGGATTCAGGAGATTGACGGCAGCTTCCCACTGACTGCACCTGGAGTGTAGCCCAATGCTAGCACTGAGGCACCTTTCGTTCACCTGAATCGCAGCCACATTCATCAGCGCCAAGAACCGAAGCCCATGCTCCCAGCTTTGCCCTAGCTCCACAAGTGCCACCATGCTCAACACGAAGCTCACGGTGGTGGGCTGAAGCTGCTGGTTTCGCATGTCGAGGAGTGCGAGCTGCACTGCCCAAGGCCCGGAAGTAGCAGAGGTCTTCATCGCTGCATTGCAGTTGATGGCATCGACCCTGCAACCGTGAGCCTTCAGGGCTCTCAGAGCTTGGAAAGCCTGCTCCCAACGATCTGAAGGAAGTGTCGTCAAGAAGCGAGTGACCTCCGCTTGGCCGAGGCATGCTATGCTCCGACCCGGACTGCGCCCACTCTGCCAGGACGGGCTCAAGGGTTCCATTGCACTGCAAAGCGCTCGAGCTGCGCATGCTTCAACTGCTCAGGCTCTACCGGCTCTACTACCAACGAGCCTTTTGACCTGAACTCCCGACACTCCCGAGCACGAGCACTTAATTGTATTCTCCAGTTCATGCCCAGCCGTCCATCCGTGCTATCACAGATGAGCTTCGACCAAGAATTCATTCACTTATATTCACTTCCACGCCCTATTTAACCACTGTGAGCTTGATTGGGGTCTTTCCAGGAACACAACCGACCCACAACTGAAAGATTGTTGCGATGTTGTAACTCGGTTGGAGGCCTTTCTCGGTTTGCTACGATGGTAAACCATGAGCATGCTGCTGGTTGGTATACTTACTTCCAGTTTTCTTCCATTATTATCGTGACTACCGCGAGCATGAGTTAGTCATGACAGACCGAGTGGATTTGTCGGCTCCGCATCTTTCCAACTGATCGAATCACACAGCTTGAGGAGCTTCAAGGTAGGATGCACTTGGCCCGCCCGAGCACATGCATCGGCAGCGTTGGCATAGCTGATCAGGTCGGGCGTCAGCTCAGCCCGGGGCATGTACCGGAATAAATTCAACACAGCAAGCCAAGAAGATATTGACTGACAAGCTGCAATGGCCGAGTTTATACTTATGAGATTGGGCGCTATGCGCAAAGTTACCATGCAAAAGACGTGGTCCAATGCCATGTTCCAGGTGGCGCCACCGCACGCATTGATGAAGCCGTTGTGGACCATTTCGTTGGAGGCAATACCTGCTATGTTCATATGATCCCAGAGACTCAACGATGATGGCCACCGCTTCTGCTCGGTGTTTTCAGCACTTCTGGCTAGGGCGTTTGCAGCGCTGCTGTAGCTCACAGCGTTGCTTGCAAGCCAGCTCGTGCGCAATTCTTCCAGCAGTTGCATCACTAAAAGCCAGTCGTTTTCACAAGCGCCCAGGGCATTGTTGAACGTAATTACGTTTGCGCGGACATGCGCTCGAGCCATTTGAACAAAGGCCTGCAGCGCCTGGCTCCATTGACTTCCTCTTGTCCAAGCACAGACCGTTCTTCCAAGTGTGACGACCGTACACCGCACTCGCATCTTGGACATGTGACTGGACAGTCCCAGCGACTGTCTCCAAGCGCCAGCTCTCTCAGAAGAGGTCATGATACTGTTGCAGCTGATCTCGTCGGGTGACAGTGCCAGCTGCGGAGAGACACTGCGCACCAAGTGCAAGCCATACTTCCAGAACGGCCCATCATCAGAATGACATGTAAGGCTGTTCAATGAGATGGTGTCCGGCCGGACCCCATGATCAGTAAAACCAAGAAATATCGACACCGCATGCTGCCAGCTTGAAGCCGAGGAACATGCACTTAAGATGGCGTTCCATGTGATCAAATTTGGGTAGACTTGTCCGAGCTGTCGGAGTGTTTGCAATGCAAGCACCCACTTCCTTCCCATAGAGCTGGTCGCACTTGTGAGGCTGATCACGTCTGGTAGGCACCAAGACATGGCCATAGCAGCTAATCGGCGCAGGGCTTGCGTCCAAGAACCTGCACCCTCACAAGCAGCAAGCACAGAGTTCTGCATAACCACATTGCAGTTTACAAGCTGCTGCACGGATGCCAGTAACTCGCACGACTGCACCCATCTGCCAGCGGCATCTCTTGAACAAGCTCGCAGCACGCCGCTGAAGCTGAACAAATCAGACGTCATGCCCCTCTTTGCAGTTTCGTCCAGCAACGACAAAGCCAGTGGCCAGAACGGTCCAAGGCGGTCGCCTTCAAAGCACATGCAGGTGTTGAAGCTAATCAAATCTGCACGCAGCCCCACCCCCACTCCAGCGTGAAGCTCTGCCAGCAGATGTAGAGCAGGAGCCCATTTCAGCAGAGGCCGGCCACTTTGCTGATGAGCAGCAATGCAAATGTTCAACGAAGACGTGTCCGGCGTGACCCGAAGCTGCTGCATGGCGGCCACCAGATCGAGGACTGATTCCCACCGGTGCTGTCTGCGTAAGGAGGAGATGGCTTTGTTGCATTGGAATATGTCGTCCATCGAATCGAAGATACAAAGAAACGAGAGTGAAACGCACGTGTTCGACAATCAGCCCTCAGAAAACGAGCTAGCGGCACCAGATTGCATATATTGCATGCACATCAGCATTTACGGGGGCCTACCCCCATGTCAGCCGTGGCCCAGCAAGAATCCGTGTCAAGACAGGGCCGGTGAGTCGCAAACACTCTTCCGATCGCGCGATACCGGCATGTGGCAGCCCCGGCAGGGGCGCATCCGACGACATCCATGGCATCGTGCTGGCGCTGCGCAAGGACTTGAAATCTCAGCATCCAGCCGGGCTTTGATGACACAATCGCTGGAACAGTGCACTCAACTGGCCGCACTTTGCCTGGCTTTGCTTCATGAAGATTCGGGGCCCGCGCCCCCTCGGAAGCCCATGGTCCTGCACCAACAGAGGTGTGTTGTCCACTGACTCTGCTTGCTTTTCCTGAGCCACATCGCTCCTTCTTCGGTCGTGGTCCAGGTGTAGCCTCTCCATCGAGAGCACAGGCATGAAGTTTAAGTTACCGGACAGTGCGAGATGAGCTTCCGCAAACCGATGATGCAGATTCATTCAACAGGGAATATAGGCTTACGGATACATCAGCAAGACTAAGACTAACAGTTTTCTCGTCATTCCTCCGCGGCCATCAGAACGTCAGTACCAGAACGACTATTTCATGCCACCAACAGCTTGCTGCTCGCACTATGGCCTGGACCTCCACCATGGAGCGGCAAGCCTGCAACACCTGAAGCGTTCACGCAAGCAAGGAGATCTGTTCTTCCTTCGGCGAATCATGCGCGGCCTTCTTTACGCTGTCGATAGATGTACATCTGTACATCGTAGAACTGGACATCTTGTTCGATGCGGTTCCGTCACAAGTCTTAACGCCTTCATCCTACTGTAATTCCGGTCCACATTGCTTCCATGCTTGTGTATTCACCTGCGCTATTCTGCATGAAAGACATCCACCGATGTCCGTATGCCCCGGCATCTAATCCACATCGACTATTCAGAGTGGCGTCAGCATGCGTGTGCGTGTATACATGTTTGTTTTCGCATGCGATACCTTTGACCAAGCGGCCAGTGGCACTTTGAAAGAGCGTGGCTTCGCTTACACAGAGAGACACACCCGCACACGAACACGCCCCCACACACACACACACACACACACACCCACACACACACACACACACACACACACACACACACACACACACACACACACACACACACACACACACACACACACACACACACACACACACACAGACGTGCACCTTTGTGTCACACGGCGTGTGCAAGTCACTCCCGTTGTGTTCACCAGCAGGCATGACTGCATAATAAGGTTTCTGTCGCTCCCTTTGGCGGCATCCCGTCTCAGTGCAGCAGTCAAGGGCCCATACTCATCAACAACACAAAGAGATACAAAAAGCTCGTCGGGAATCACACGCACGGTGTGCCCTAGCGCAGCTCAGTGCCAGCCTGACTGTTTGTGCTGTCGGAATCGTCGCTATCCCACTCCGTTGTCCCCGAACAGGGTGTTCGAGTAGTTTCCTTGGCCAAAGATTTCCAAGGCTTCTATACGCCTGCAAATGCCTCGTCTAACCTCTCGCGGCCCCAATCGAGGTCACTGCGCCCGTAAAGCTCCAGTGCATCTGCTGGACACCAGAACGACTGGCGCAAGCAATTCCGTGTGCTTGTGCGTGGGCTGGGGGGCCTGAGTGTAGACTTACGAAATTCGTTCCACCCCGCCTCCACATAGCCTGCTCCTCGACATAGAGGTGGCGCAGGGCCTCGTGCATGAATTGGCGTGGGAATGTCTACACCGCGTCGCAAGAACAGCAAGCTCCGAGTAAGCTTTGAGTACCCACACCAGCATTGGGTTTTCTTCTCGGAGTGACATGGGGTTTGAAAGCAAAGGTTGTGCTCCGCAGAACCTCGCCAATCAATCTCTCTGTGGCGAGCAGGCTCAGCCAAGCACCCAACAGCTGCACTATGGAACGTGACAAGAGTCAACAAGCCTTCTGCATCGATGCGCCGCTTTTCACGATTGAGTCCGATAGAACACATAAAACTCACAAAGACTGGGTTCTTGTTTATATATGGAGACCACATTGAAAAATAGTATCCCTATAAGATGTCAGCAAGCGGTCTCGCACCGCGCCCTCGCGGAGAAGGCATTGGCACCGGGCACGAGCAGATGATTCCGCACTGCTCGAGGTGTCAACGTTCAAAAGCGGCTACCTCAACCGCGAGTCTCCTACACGGGATGGATGGAGCACAGAGAATTATAGGAGAGCCAGAAAAAGTTGGAACATCATTCTCCTCATGACTTGAAGATAAAGTTTAGGGGATCCCAGAAGTAATCATCGTGAATACATGTTTCAACTTTCTGGCAGTCACTGTAAGGAGCATCTTGATCTGAGATGCCAGAGGCAGTTAATCTTGCAGAACGGCGATCCCAAAATGCCGCCCCAACCATATCTGAGACTCTTAACCCTAAACCAAAAACCCTAAACCGTATCACGAACTGCCAGCATGCAAGGCGTCGAGCGACTTCGGAGAGTATTGGGTATTGGTTAGAAGCTGCCCCCCCACCCTGTTTTCTAGTGACTATAAGGACTATATTAGGGCCCTATTATATTCCTATTACACTACTATTACAGGGTGGGGGCAGCTTCTAGGGTATCGGTCCAGTCTGGGTTCAACTTTCGCACACGGAGGCAACAGGTCCTGAGCTTCAAGGTGGGGGCTGCCAGGCCTAAATCAATTAAATGGGACTTTCCGAAACTAGGGGGCCCTAATAAAGTACCCTAAATAGTAGGATCCTCATTATAAGGACCCCAACATAAGTTACGCCTAATTTTCGGAAACTCCCAAATACCAATGGGTACCCTCCATGCTCAGGGCCATAGGAGCCCAATTGCCGGTGCTCTCGGCCATCTCATGGGCCTTTCCAAAACTTTTCAAACATTCCTGGGTGGTTCTTGGAGGTTCATGGGTTGTGATAAGTGGGGTTATACGTCCCCTAATTTTTGCCACCAGCCCAGCTGAAACATAGGGGTTATAACCATAGTTGCCCTACTTCTAACCCCACGTATAACTCCCCATGCACCTCCAAGTTGGCATGACGACCCTTCAACCTCGACAGGTGGGCAGCGAAGCAGTCATGTCAGTCACGAGCAGCTCTGCAAACAGCACAACTACCTTTGGTAGTTGGAATGTGTGCTCATGTCAAGGCCAACTGTCAAGATTCAAGTTTCATTAGATTTGTTTTGTAAACACGGTGCAATTTGGAAGAAGTCAGCCGCCCCATGAGATTCACGGACATACTCCGGCCTCCAGCCAGGACTCAACGTGAATATCACTAATTCTCCTCGCCAATCACGGCACCGGTCACTCCCCAGCTTCGGCTGCAAGCCGAGTTCAAATGAACAGACAGCAGGATGGTCATCCTTGATCTGTGATGCCATGATGCGCAGCTGTTCGTCTGTAATGCAACACACTGGATCCGGTCTGCATTTGAGCATGGGGCCTCCCGTCTATCCGGATGGATACCTCAGATGAGCAAGCAAAAAATCACTCGGGTCACAGCAGCTGCTGGCTAATACTTAGGCTTCCCTGCAGATCTTGCACCTGTGCTAAGTCTCATCACTGTACATAGGAAGATCCGCAGCAGAAGAAACTGTGCCGGCGAGCTGAGTCGGAGACCTGTACCACACGCAGAAGTGGCAGTGGTCACACCAATGACCATCTTTGCACCCCCGCTTCTTCTGTGCGTACTTACCTCGGATTTAGTGCTGGCAGCTCTCAGATATGCTAGAGTTTCCGAAGATGACCCTAATAAAGTATCCTACATAGTAGGATCCTTATTATAAGAACCCCAAAATGAGGTACCCCTAATTTTCGGAAACCCCAATATGCTACACTTGCCTGGCAGACAAATGAGGGAAGCGGGAGATGGCCAGAGTAGCGGCATATTTTCCCACCCGCCCAGCTGAAAGCGGTATTTGAGGCATGGGGTCGAGGTCTGGACAAACCTGGATTGTGCCAAAATGAGAACGTGCCTCGTGCCAGTTTCGGATCGTGGTTTAGCCGATTGCTGCTTTCATCCGAGATCGGTGTCATTCAATCAGCAAACTCCCTCTCCATGCGCTCCCATCATCACGAGCAGCCAGCATGGCGCGTCGAAGACGCGGCGAGAGGCAATTCTTGCGGGTCGATGGCCAAGCTTGACACGCACCCAAAGCCCAATGCAGGCTGCTGCTCCCAAGAGGTCGCGTTTTGACAGCTCCTTACTCCAATTAGTCTGCGTACATGAAGAGACTTGTAGTTCGGCTATTGTGCTCATCTCAAGATTTAGCTACTCCCCCACACGCTGCTGGAGAATCGCACGTGCGCCGAGACTGCGAAACAACCGACCGCATTCATGCCAGCACATCTGGTCATAGTCAGCATCTTCGCACCCATCAGTGTGAAAGATTGCTATTGCCACTTCTTACAGATTTAGCTACGCTGCATTCTGAGCTCACACATTGCAGTCGAGGAACATGGAGCCGCGCAACTGAACGGATGCCCCAAGGACCCGATCTCGGTACAGTGAAAGTCCGTCTGTGCTGCATGGACAGTGTCCGACATGAAGGTGTGCAACACTAGGTGGGCAGAGCATGCAGTAGCAGAGCTCTTCCAATGAAATGCAGACTTGTCCCAAGGTTGCAGCACTGAATCCTGGTAAATCTGGCATCGCTTCGGCTGGTGCCTCTTCACTCAAGCGAGGCTGGCAACTGGCAGGTGATGTGCATTCTAATCCATGTCAATCTCTAATTGTTCTTGCCATTCGGCTCTGTCACGTCACATCACAAATCGGCCAACCGATCCTTACCCGCTGTCAGTGCCTGACACGCAGATGACGGAGCTGCTTCCGGAACCCTGCATCGGCTCAATCATTGGCAGATGGTCAAGCTTCCAAACACAACAAGAACATGTAAGTGTAACTACCTCTGAAAAGGAACATTAAAAAATAATATGCATGTATGTGTATATATATATATATCTACACATATTCACATGTATGTATTTGTATATGTACACGAGTGTCTGTTTGCGCGTGCGTGTGCGTGTCAATCCTGTGTCCAAGGCAGTTGCGGACTGAAAGGTTTTTCAGTTTTACAGCAGGGGGACCGGCTTGCATCCGAGTTTGATATGATCAACGGGACGTACCTGTTCGTGCATGGCTGTTGTGGGTTGTTTCCCGGCCGTCAGGCTCACAAGCGCGGCTGGAGAAAGCTAGGTAAAGCTAGATAACTACTTTGCTCACGTGCCGAAGATTTGTGGAATTGAAAGAATGAAAAGGTAGGTCCGAAAACACAACAGAAAGCACAAGTGCTGGGCTTTCTGCCTTGAACATGGAAAGTTAAACCCGAAACCATGCTCCCCGCCATGCAAATACCAGGCCAACCGTGCTAGACAATGCTAGATAATGCTAGACACTGCTAGACAATATGCTAGAAAATGCTACAGAATGCTAGATTCCGGGCAGGGCACAGCGTTTGCCCGGGACGATTTTCTCTCCCAGGCTGGGCATCTTGAGTCGAAAACTTTATCAGACAATCATGTCCACAGAAGCAGAACGTGCAGTTCCCAAGTTCAGCAGGTTGGCTTCCGAGCGGAGGAAATATCTAGCAGCTTGGTTTCTGATGAAGGACATATGTTGCTGAATGCAGCCAAAATCCAGCTTTATCTTGCTCCGGTGCTCGTTTGCTGGCTGTGAAGAAGACGGCTTGCACTGTTACAGCAAAAGCCGTGTAAGATACCTGCCAGTTTTTCATTTTCACCAATCCGTCAGAATGAGCCTTGAAACCGACATCATGTATTCCATCTAGACGAACTATAGCTCCTGCAATGATTCATCCAGATCAGAGTTTCTGGACACCAATCCCATCATCAGCACCTAGAAATAGGTTTAAATACAGGGAAGGATCATTACAGACGGTAACGGAAAGATTCCGCAAATAGTTATCGTCAACCGGTATTGACTGGCATCTTCATGTGCGCTTCCCGGCTGGTAATTCTGTCAATGGGCCAGTTGTGATGGGTGTTGCGCCCGGAGAGATACCCAGAAGTTTCTAATACATGATGTTTTCGAGCAGACTGCCACCCATACCCAGATTTTTAAAGAAGGCCTGTAGGCAGAGAGAGCGGGAGGGAGGGAGAGGGTGGGAAGCGCGCAGGCACAATACATAAAGATATACATACAAACAGCCATCCATCGATCCATACATATGTATGCACATAACCGTGCACATACGTACCCTCGTCCATGCATCCCATCACCCACCCATGTACACAAACACACACCTACATCTATCCATCCATCCATCCATCCGTCCATCCATCCATCCATCCCATCCGTCCATCCATCCATCCCATCCGTCCCGTCCCGTCCCATCCCAGCCCATCCATCCAATCCATGTATGCATGCATGAATGCCTACTTCCTACACACGTACATATATACACATGTGTACATGGACTCGTGAAAGTATATGACCGGGACTTGGCCGGGGTCATGGGTATGCATGTAGCCGTATATGTATGTACATGTATGTATATGTATATATATATATATATATATATATATATATATATATTACACATATAGATATATATATATATATATACTGTTTTTTCTATTTATTTACTGATTTTTACACAAATATGATGCAAGGCCGGAGCCCCCACACCCCTCATTCGCTCACCCCCCACCCCATGTATCCTCCATTTGTGGCGTGGGTCTTGCTGGGGTTCACGGGCCCTCCCTCCAAGCTTAAGTCTAACTAAGTGTTGTGTTTGCTCCAGCATGCCACCAAGCAGAAGCTGTAATCGTGGCTGACTCGTCGCATGCTGTGCATGTTGTAACAACACTGGATTGGCTGCTGAGCAGCCAGCGAACCTACAAAAGTTTGCTTGCAGTTTTATTATGTCAGTAGCATTGTCATCCTTATTGCGGTTGTTGCTACATGTCACTATCCTAGAAGTAGCGTTTTCCCCTGTTTTCCGTTGCCGATGTGAACGGCGGTATACCCGTCGCCTCCTTCTTTGCTGTGGTTTGGGTGTTGGGTTGTGTTGGGCGCGAACTGTGTCTTCTACCTGCGAAGCCAGAAACAATCATGCAGATCACGACCATGTGCCAGCTACTTTTACCACTTTGAGATGCGAATTTGCCCTGAGCATCGAAAACTTGCGAGTCAGAGAAAATGTGACGCCAAAAGGTTCAATCTCGGTGACTTGCGGCAGTTTTACATCGCATTGATGTAGGCATGCATGTGTGGATGTATGCGCGTGCAGAACGCACGTGGAGAGCTCCATCTGTCGATAGAATCCGAGAGACAGATAGACGAATGCCTGGGTGCTACATCTTTGTTGCATCCCGATTCATATTAGTCTAACACAAAATACCTGGAGACTCTTTCGTAATGTTTATTTCTATTACGAAAAATATTCCAACGATTTATCGTAAATCCACTCGGAAAAGGAAAAGCGCACGGATTGGGAGAAATGTGTTCGAGCTACTTTGTGGAGTGGCTTGATAGGCATTGGATATGGGTTTAAGGCGGAATACAGCATCAATCGGACCATCTTATGCAGGTTTTAAACATAAACGACATTGAATACGGGTGCACTCGATGCTAGATTTGGATCCCAGCTCTATATACAACCCTGAAGCCCACATCCAAAACAGCGCACGCACGGCCTGACCCACGTGGACATTTTCTTCAACTGACTGCTGGTCCGGTGCTCAGCACAAGAACTTGGCATACTGCCGGCGGTAGAAGATGAGGCATTTTGATATGGTTCGGCTAACAAGAAGGAATGGATGACACTTTCGAGTGATGCGACACACCCGGCCAATGTAGTCTTCGTCGCTCCAAGTTGCCCAGCCTAGGCTATGTTTTATTGAATGTAACAGGGGTGTCACCTAGCTGAATCATACAACACACAAATTTTAAGGGCAGTCTTGCTGCACATCGTGTTGTGTACACGTTGGCATCCATCTTCCAGGGCCCATTGCACTTCCAATCTCAGGCTTTGGAACCAAATATACAGTTTCGAAAGCTACAGGGGTTTACTCACTTAAGCCTACTACAGGCACATGTACCAAGTGCATTCAAAGGCTCATCAAATGTGCCTGCATATGTAGCTTTGGCCTGTACTTGAAGAGAACCCATTTGCGTTCCATTGCCTTTTGGGCTAGCAGGTCATAGCCTTCCTTAACCGGATTAGGGGCACACACAAGTTTCAGTGTGGGGTAATAATGCATGTTTGTATAAGTTCACTAAACCCTTAAACCCTTATCGAAAAAACATTGCACTAAATTCCATGAGGGGCTAACATCTTCCAGCCACTCTCCACTACAATCTCCGCCGCGGAACGGTCAAGGAAAATTCCTGCCCCATAGAGGGTTCTGTAGTAGAAGCCACAAGCCCGCAAGGTCCAAGCAAGTAGCTGCAAAAGATGAAGGTCTCCAGGCGCCTAAGATATAACATAGCTCGAGTGTCAAAGTATAGAAATACATATCCCATCATATCCAAGAAGCCACTGCATCTGCTCTCAGATTCAGGATAAAGGTTTCCAGCCAAGCTAGCATCACGGCACAGTCGTGGCCCTTCCCCAGGCCAGCAGGAAACTTCTTCAGCCTGACTAATTGGAAAACAGATAGTTGACTCATAACCCTATAGGTGATAACTACAGATTTAAAATATCCTAGAAAAAGTTCTCCCCATGCAACGATTTGTCGATCTTGAGGCTTTTGAAGTCAAAGCGTATGATCGACGTGCTCTTTCCTGTGGCCTGGCAAAAATCTCGAAAGTGGTCGTAGGCCAAGTCCAATGACTTCTCGACAGACCCAGCCCAAAAAACTCTGATGTGGACAAGCATTAGCAATGCACCACCTGCTAGATCCTTCCCCCACCCGTTGATAGCATAGGTGTGAGCAGGATCAGGGTGGATTGCCAAAGGGTCTGACTGTAAGGATGACAAGGATCGTAGCGGTGATGCAGGTCCCGGCTTGTATGGGCTTGGGGCAGGATCATGTCTTTGAAGCCGTCGCACACCACCATGCTTGGAGACATCATACCAGTCCTTATACTAATATGCATAGAACCCGGCTACATGACCTGAAGTTTAGTTAGATATTTAAATATATCTATATATATATATATTAAATATATAACTAAATTTCAGGTCATGTAGCTGGGTTCTATGCTAGTTATAATTTATACAAGTCTATCAGTATAGACATTCCAGGATTTGAGGTCCTTGGTTTCAGGCTACATCAAATGTGTAGGGAAATGGCCAATATGATTCAAAGCTTCTGTGGACGGGCATATATGGCACACCCGTTTGGAAGTAAATCCAGTGGCCAAATTCATACTGGTTCGGAGCCATGGCCAATCGCCTTTGACACCAGTCGTGACCAAGTGCAACTGCTTCTTCTGGCCATTGACAGTCACCTAAGCTATAGATATTCCTGCCAGCTAGCTATAGTTTTAAGAGGCTCAGGTGACAGAACTTACACGTTTTGGGGCCAGGGTTTCGGGCCGGCCTTCTGCACTGTACATACAAGGGTGTAGGATTTAGGGTTTAGGGGATAATAGTTAAGGGCTTAGGGCCACGGAAGTTCTAGGCAAGCAGCTTCCACCCCATAGCGGTACATATCCTCTAGATCAGCGACCATTGCTTCAAGCAAGACATTCAGGGTCTTGGCAGCATACATTTCACTCGGCACAACTGTAAAGAGAAACCGGCTCATGAATGAATGCCTGTGATGTTTCTGGGATGAGGGCCAAAGTTAAGCATACATAACTAGTTATAAACAATATATATATATATATATATATATATATATGTACAGATATCATAAAGTTTAAG